AGCTTGTATCAGCAAGGTTACGTTGCTTCTTTTTGCAGCTCGTTTGTGACCAATCGTCTACAATCTAGTTGAATCTTGTTCTAAATCAATGATTCTGTAGTCTATGAATGGCATAGTTTATCGCTGTCATACTTCATTTCAATTAAAGTTCAGTTTTTAGTGTTCAGCAATTGCAACTTTCTTGAAATGATAAGATAACAATATGATGACTACTCTCCGACCAGTCAATAGAAACAAGCAATAGACTTTTAGCACAATACCTTTATCAAAAAAATAATGATTCTACGACGCAAGTTGAGCTTGGTGCCAAGGCAGTAAAAGGAGAATGCTCTCACCAATACTGATAGGAATAAGTGTATGCAAACAAAGTCTCATTGAATTCCGTACAGATACAAGAGTTGTAGATGCTCACTGATCTATGGTCATCAATAGTAACATACTCATAATATTCTAGAAACACATTGTCATTCAACATGAAATTCAATCCACATATGTATAGAATTGAATTGTGGTCGACCACCTGCCCGATTGGTCAAACAGCATACAAACATCAAGGGAAAATTGATGCTTTGTCGCAATTCGGATTCTTACCCAGTGATTCTCACATGAATTGATCTTCGACTTGATTCTAAGTAATCCAAATAATAGTCTACAAATCATCCTTTTAGAGTAAGGACTAGATTATTTTAGACAATTCAAGATAATCTTGGACAATTCGACGCTGAATCAAGCATACAGGGTACCTAAAGACCACATAAAACACTGCTTCAAATATAAAGACTCTGTACATACAACAGCAAGATTTCAAGTGCAAAGGTACAAAGTTTTCATCAACTTGACAACTAGTAGTCAATAAAGTATCAATTCTACCTTAAAAAAGCCATCTTGTACAAACACTATCTAACAGAAACTCTATTGGATAAACCAATGTCCACATAATGACAATTCAACCAACTCTCTCGTAGATACTCCTAAAAAATAACAACGTATGTTAGTCTTACTATCAAACAATTGGTTTTGAATGGAAAAGTTGATTCAACTTTTGTATGCATCGAGTTGTGCCGTTATCTTGTCTAACACATTGACTCCATTCATTACTAGGGCTATATTTCAATAGCCAACTTTGAACGTTTCTAACAATCAACGCATTTAGACGCGAATACTTGAAAAAAATTGACACCAGATTCCTGACTCTTGTCTGCGAAGTGACTATAGCGTACCCAGTGATGCTTGGTTCGAACGAAATGATATAGCTGAAAGCACTTTAAAACAAGTAGTAATCAATTGAATCAAGTACAGGTTAACGTAGTTATATCAAAACAAACAACTAGTTCATATCAAAACATATGAACTAAGAGTAACACATTAGTGGCGCTGCAAAGGTATAATGCGATTCATCGCTTGAGTAGATTCATGAAACTATCTAGGATGAAACGATCAACGAAAACGTATCCAGTATCGCAAATCAAGTGCAAGCAATGAGAGGAATAATTCGGTATTCTGCTACTACCAAGTTTTTTTCAAACCAAGTCTTCATTTCGCTAGTCTTCTGTATCCTTAGTAATAATACTACTATTAATACTATATGGCAAATCGTTTTTCTCGGGATATGGACTAATTCGTTCGATAAATTCAGTATAATCTTTAAGAATTCAAAAATTGAATCAACCATAGAGGACATTTCACTAACTTATGAAACAGAATTTCGTCTTGATGACATATTCGACTAGTAATCAACAAATGACCAACTCTTACACAAAAAGTCATTTTAAATTAGTAGTATCAAGAAATATCTTACTTTCTTTCCAATGAACATAAAATCACTGAATTCAGTATGCAATTCAAGTAATATAAAACAGTAACCAGTTTCTAGATACGTTGAGAAGGAAGAAATCAAACAGGCCTCTTCCTAAATATCGACTAGAATAATTGTGCCATATCCTGTTGAGATTTCACTGGAAGTGGTAAGATTCAGAGTAGTACTCTAAAGCAAATGATTACTGCTTACTTCAATACAGCTGTAACCAGAATTGTTTCGGATATCACACTAAAATAAGATTCAAATTCAACACATCAATAGAAACAAGGTATTGGTATGGCATAAATACATTGTTATTTATGACTTTCATCAATTGTGGTAATAGTTCAAGATAAAGAGGTGGATGAAAACCACCAAAGGTTGCGAATGGGTTCAAGCATCAAAGGATATACGAAAGGATCCTGAAATTAGAACATGACTATTAGTTTGTGTTTTGCTGCTACTTGTGTAAAAATCACAGAGTTGATTTTGCTTGCTTTTTGTGAGGATCAACCTCAAAATCTGCAAATCATAGGTCTGATATTCTAACCTTGTGAAACCAGGGAAGCATTCATTTCTTCTTTTCCTTGAATTTCTTTCAAATGACCTTTCTATATTATGCAATTCGAAAAGTATATACTATATAAAACATAAATTTTTGTCCTTTATAACAATTCTTATGAATAAGGGAAAACAACCAGTAGGTAGTACTAGACAATTTCAATTTCTATTCCCAGCAGATCGTTTGTACAGAACTTTGACTGCAATCTAGTTGATTCTTTCTTTGAATTTACATCATCCTGCAGTCTTTGAATACTACTTTTTATCGTCTTCATCCCTTTTCTTTTAAGAACATATTACAACTCTAAAGAACAAGATCTTCACCATTCTATAATTACTCCGATAAAGAAGAGAAAAAACGAAATAGAGATATTATCTTATCCTTATCGACTAGATGACTAACTTCATATGAAGTTGGCCTTAGGGTCGAACAAGTAAGGTGGAAATGTTTTGGGGCACAAATAATCATAAGATGGTTTTAACATGAGAGCATTACAGTATGTTCAGATAGATCAGTAGTAGATTCTAGATCACAGAAAACAGTATGTTGTACACTTTCATGATGCTGCAAGTTCACTTGTTAAAGATTACTTGATTCAACTGACGAAATTGTCTCGAATTGATCATTTGGAAGTTGCCTATCCCTCCAAATGCAACGCAACTATCACGGGACAAAGAGATTCTTTGTGATTGAGATTTCCAATGAAAAAAGCTTCTGAAAAGTTTTTACTTCGACGTTTTCGGAAAAGAAATGACGACTAGTTGCTTCATCATACTATCATGAGATAAGAAATAAGTTCGTTTCAAGAATCAAAAGATAAAGATTAGTCTCAAACATGTACAAGCAAAATCGAAAATCGACGAGTAAAGTAACTCGATACTCTATTTGTTGTTCAAAATCAGGACCGTATGTAGTTCTACTGATATTAATGTGCAGGAGTAGTCTGTACGTGTGCAAATGATGCTTTTTTCTTTTGTAGAGTCGACAATACAATTTTCCTGTATGGTCAAAATTCGTTCTTTTTCGTACTTTTATGACGAAAACTATTATTAATATTCCATGTACTACTACAGTAATACATGTCTTATTTCTTAAGTTGTTGTTGTTGTTGTTGTTTTTCTTTTTCCAATTCAACTAAATCAATGGCACTTTTCCGCTTCCTGTCATCCAACGACGAAGGCAGTAGTAGATAGAAGCAGGAATCATTCTCTTTGTTTAATTGATGATTATGCTATACTGTACTATGCTTTGGCTCATATTTGTTGTTGTTGCTGTTCTGGTTGAATTTCAAGTAGTGGCGAATGGTTTGATTTTGCTGTGATAGTCGAAAAATGTTTTATGGTTCGTGTCAATGTATTTGCAAACCACTTTGTTCGTCTGCGTATGCTTTCTAGGAATTATTTACCAGAAGTTGGACTTTATCTTCAGAGTCGAACCAAAAACTCTAGTCGGACACGATGATATCAATATGTGCACTCGTGTAATATTGTTCGTGTTCTCCCCATCCTTCGTGAGTTTCTTTCAGAGCTGCTTTGTATACTATCCAAACGCAAGCTGTTTGTACAAAATGTTGTTTCTCCTTTTCACCTTTTTGACAGCTACAACTACCACTACTTTCAACAGCATGACTTTCAGTGTGTTGAAAGTGAAAGCAGATCAGCAGCACTCTTGACAAGGCAAATACTGTTTCACACAAGTCTCCTTTTTTCCCATTCATACTTTGCTATTACTGTTACCCTCCTTTTCAACTATATAAGGACCAAATGACAACTTGCAATAGATGCCTTTCAGAAACAACAGCAATACTGGCTTCACTACTATCACTCTTACGACTTACATATCGTTTTAGATATATTTCACCCTCTGTGAACCCACTTATTCAAAAAAACAAAGGCGTTTCTCAAAACGGACTAGTAGCTACAGTCGCCATCGTCAAAACATTTTACCCAGGTGAAAACAACCAAGATTTTCAACAGTGTCCTTTTGCTTGCTTTATTTCATGGTTCCCAACAAGTTGAGTATATTTTGAACTGAAAACTTGTCCCTTGCTTTCAAAATACAAGTTTATTCAGCTTTTCGTTATCTAAAGCCCTCCATCCATATTATTTCAAAATATATACTCGTATCAATAGAGAATTGATATAAACGCTCGACAACACAAACAGCCATTAAAAATATGCAATGATGGACTCGAGACTTTCCTATGCTATTCTGGAAAATGAATGAATTTTACAAAGAGTGCGAATATCGTTTACACTATAAAACCTGTTGCAGAGTTACAGACCACGTTTCCTATCTTGAAAGAAGTCACATAGAAGACGAAAACTATCATACGGAAAGTAACTCTTTATACTGACCAAAACACTCAACTAAGTGTCTAACTGGTTTCTTGAAAAACATCTTTGAAATATTAACCCAAGACTGATTCTCAACAATCGACTACAAGACTAGACTGTCAACTGCTAATACATACACAAAAATGCTCTGCAACAGTTATCAGTAAAAACTAAATCTAAATGAACTTGCGAGACAACTAATTGGGTAATGTAGTGAAACTCAACAAAAGCTTAAACTCCTTTGTCTTTGCTCTTTTCTTGACAATACAGCTCACAGATTTCCATACAAGACCAGAAATGAAATAACAACAAGTCTTGCATAAGGTATGTAAAAGTCAAAGAGATAGTCAATGTTGTACGAACCAAAGAAAAACACTACAGTCTATCCGGAACTCAGAGCTCAAGACGACTCGATGGATTTTTATAAAGGAATGAACTGCAAGGCTTAAAAAAGAAACGTAGATAATAGAAATCCACTTGTCCAACTAAAACAACGAATGAGTTGGAAATTAAAGTCGGAAAAGTTTCAGAAGTAAACTTGACCAAGTTCAAAGCCTTAACAACACTGGCCCTTCTTAAACTATTGTGTAATTTCCAGTTGGACTATGACGAGAAGAATTGCTATGTATTGTCTCCTTTCCATTGGAGGTATAGTATCTTGCATGGCTAATGAGTTTTATGAAAGAAAATATTTTACTTGGAGACTTGGAAAGAGCTACTTTAATAATAAATGTGCTAGATACAACCAATCTCACACCAGAGTAATGTTGTGAAAGGAGAAAAATAGTGTTGTAACAAAGTTCCTGTCAACTTACTATCGACACTGTACCTTTTAACAGAGTTGAGTTTGACAAAACTTGTCTCTAAGGTAAATTTCAGACTTCCTGTGACCCTACTTGGATAACAAATCAAAAAACGGGTTTTGCTATAACCAGTTTTCGACTCGTTCTCGATCTCAGAATCTTCCTTTGTTAGCCTCTCAAAACCTTGGAAAACTGCTTCACAATGTATAAAATGGTCATTTTCCAGTTTCATGGAAATAATTCTGTTGGCTTTCTGTGTAAGAACTATAGCCTTTCCTTCTATGCAAAATAGGCTCAAGGAATAGTCTTTATGCCACTGTGAACTGCAAAGAAGAAATAATTATATACTCAACCCTAGAGTTGGAAAGTATAGAGAGGACAAGGCTACAACAAAAAACTGACCAAAGGTTTGAATTCTTTTGTCTATGTACAAATACATAAACTACTTACGACAAGGAGGATCGAGCCTCAAAAGTTACAAGGGTCTCGCTTTGTTCTCTTCATAAGCAACTTGTACAGAGTTTTGACTGGTATAACAACAGTAAAAGTGGTGACGCTTTTACTTCTCCTTGCACATATATTTCAAGATTCACCTTTCTTTTTTACTTTGCCAAGAAGAGATGAAAGATTCTTATTTTTCCATTATTTCTACATTTATATTCTTTTTTACTAATAGACGAAATTTATCGAGTATATTTAAAAGAACAAGACCTTTACCGGTTTGGATAACAATCACAATATAAATTTGAGATTTGACTCAACAAAGGAATCAGTTAAATTGTTTTATCTTATTCTGCTGAATATTGTTTGCGAGTTGACGACATTTTTATTCGCTGTTGAGTATGTTTGCTAGTTGAGCGTCTTTTTTTTTTTTTGTAGTTTGACTTGTCTCTAGTAGCGTTTCTCTTCTTTTTCTATTTGACTAGACCCGTTTTTTATACGAAACGTTGAGTTGTCTTTGATTCTCGTTACTAATATCCAAAAGGAAGCCTCTATTAGTGTCCCTATCGGGTTATATTTCGCACGAGTCTTCTTCCAAGTGCCTAACGGAATGAACTTTTGTATAGTGACTCACTTATTCAATGAGCTGATGGTTGAGAATGGAAGAAGATTAGGACTCAAATGCAGCTGGACAAATCGTTCTTTGAATTTGCAGATCTTTTAAAAGTTTTACCTTTTTTTATATTGGAAGAGATAATAGCCCTCTTGGAGTTATCTCGCTCCTAAAGTAGCTTTGTACTTTTTATAGTTTGCTTTCTTGTATATCTTTAAAAGTTGTGGTTTTTACAAAGTTTATCGTACAAGAGGATGCAGCAAAACATTTTAAACTAAACGGTCATGTTTACCTTCAAAAGCACCTCAAATGTATAGTCGACTATTGAGGAGAAGGAATTCAACTATGATTCAAATGCTATGCAATGACAAGATACGAGAAGAGAGTCGCTAGAATAGACTCAATTCGATTGAATTGAATTTCTTGAAAAATATCTTTTCTCCTCTTAACAGAATTCACAGTATCAAATGCTACTATTGTCTGTGAGTAATTTCAGAGGAGAAAGAAACAGGAGTTATTGACTCTTACAGAAATTGAGTATTGATGATACACTTGTGTGAGTCAATGTTGTTTCTGAGATTTGATAAAATCACGAGATATTTTGGATCCTTCTTTGCACGTTTGTTTTGGTTTGTCTTTTGCTATCATCAATTTTTGTAGCTTTTGTGATAAGCTGCTAGTTGTCATGATATCGTAAGAAAGGAATTTGGTGATTGCTGAGAATAAAGGAGTGTTGTGCTTGCGGGTTTCTGCATTTCTACTAAATAATATATTTCAACTGGAGCTTTTGGGTAGACTACAAAAGAGAATGACTTGGTTCATACTCTAGTTCCGTGTTTCGAAATGAAGCAAAAGTGACGTAAAAACTATTCCATAAAATACAGAAAATCTAGAGAGAGACGTCTATGGAACAAATTCTTCATGAACAATCTATATTGCTCGGAACTCTCATGACTACTCTCGAAAATTCTGAAAGAAACTTTCTTATCTATTTGAAAATGGGCCATGTTTAATAGCTTTATACTCTCAAAGAGCATAAAAAACTTGTGAAATAAACATTGGCTTCCTTCCAATCGTTCTTGTACCCTATGAGAGTTGCCATTATATTGGCATACGAGAATAAGAATATCGATAGTTGAAAAAGCCATATTGATCGTTCTTCCATAGTTCAAATCATCTCAGTCCAAGCCATAAAGGTTATGATATAGTCATCAGTTGATAAAGAGAAGAAGTTGGATTGGTATCCTTTACTATTTTCCTTGTTGTTGTTGTGACCGACAAACAAACAGTTAATCGTTCATTTATTTATATTTTGTACTCCGAAATAAACAGAAGATTGTTTAATTTCTCTTTGGCGATGGCGAGTTTGGATGAAAAGTGGGAAGCTTTTGTCAAGTTTGAGTCTGTTGTGGTAGTAGATCGTGAAAGAGATGTTTTTCGAGTGACAGAAGAACTGTATTATCTTCATAGCGGCCGAGAGCAACTCAGGGGTGTAACAAGTAGTTGCAACTATCGCTTGACCATACCATTTGCCCCCCATCTCTTTGGCTCGGGCAAAACGACCTTTGCCCGAACCTATTTGGAGTTGGTGCAAAGGTTTGGTGAAAATTTTCTGTCGACTTTTGCTTCGGACCCTTCGAGCAGAACCTTTTTGTAGAAGCTGAAAAGGGCTTCATTGCTTTATGTGGATTTAAGGGGGTTGAAGCCCACAGAACCGAAAGAACGCAACCTAAAGTGGGCAGTATACTATTTATTGTACCGATCAGCTTGTAATCAGATGGGTCTACCGTTTATGAAGCCTGATGAAGCCTACAGACACTTTCCTCTCTATCCAAGCTTTCTAATTCCAGAGCTACGGAAGACTTTGGGCATTACTTCCGATCAATATCTTTTGTTGGCATTTGACGAAGTTGGTGTGTTTGATACAAAGGCAACTTTTTTTGAACTGGAGAAGAATGACAAAGGTGTGGTTCGACCGTACAATGACTTTTTTGGTATCATTAGTCATTTGTGCGAAGAACCCGACTTGTTTTTTATTGTTGTTGGGAAAAGCAAGGGTTTAAGTATTAAGAATGATGTGGCTTTTGGGCTATCAAGAGTTATATTACATTTTATCCCTTTATCACCTTTGGACGCTTCCAGTATCGTTGAGTTCCTTCAAAAAAGTCTTCTTGAGACACCTACTCAAGTTCCGGTTTGTAATGTCTTATGTAGTTCTTCATTTTCAGTAAATGAATTGGCAGATTCGTTATTGGAATGTACAGGTGGAGTTCCTGGTTTGTTGACTCGTGCTGTGAATATGCTTTTGAATTATGTGGAAATGAGAAATAAGCCTTTCATATCGAAAGAAGAATGTTTGACGTGTATGAATGACTACGATTTCCGAAGAATTTGTGCTGAACCATTTGTGGAACGAATATTGATTTTGGACGAGGATAGAAAAAGTGTTTTTGATATACTTTTGATGATGGCTCTTTATCGTATACCGTTTCAAGTAGATGACATATTGACCTCGGAGTCTTTTTTATTTGATGCAGTCACTGAAATGGGACTATATCGATATCCTATTGACCAGAATACTTTTCAAGTCCTGATTCCAAAAGTATTTGTTGGAATCTTCAAGAGGGACCCTTCCATATCTTCTTTGGAAAAGATACTTCTTGGATCACTTGATGTAGAACCAGTAGATTGTTTCTTCTATTCAAAGTGTCGTGTATTTGAAGGAATTGTTGCTTTACGACTAGTTTTGATGTTGTCTTCAAAGAATCGAAATGAGTTGAGAGAATTGTTGTGTCAATTGTCTCCGATATGGAAACAAATGAAACTTCCAATCAGTACAATATCACCTATTCACTATATCAAGTCTGTTGTTAGTTCTAGAGAAACAAGAAGTGAATCGAACAAGAGTCGAAGAACTTTTGCCAATACTGAATGGAATAAGATTATTCGAGAGACACTTTATTTAGAGACTATTTACATTCCTTTGGACGCTACTTCTCATAGTCCTGATATTATATTCCAATTACAATCTCCTGTGGAACCCAAAGTTCTTACTGTTGGAGTTGCATGTAAAGGACGTTGGAAGTCGGAAGGAATTGGCTGGTCAGATATTATAGATGAAGCCAAGAAATTTTTATATCCTGTTTATGATCAAGTCTTATCCAGTGCAATGGATTCTCATCATTGTATGCTTATTATCGTTAGTACAAAGTTATCCTTGAATGTTTCTAATGAGTTGGGTAATCAGAGTCGTTGTTACTCCAGTGGAATGTTTATTGGAAATGATTCGTTCAAAGTACCTGATAATTGTGAACTTGTTATTCTTTGTGAAAGAGATGTCCAAATGCTGATTGACGAAGAAATATTGAGCGGACTTGAAAGAGTATTTGGTGTTTCTCATAATCCTACTTTTTGGGATTTTGGATTAGATTTACTTGATAGAATCCGTAACAGTTTCTTAAGTTGGCAATAGATTCTAACTCAATCCTTCACTTTGTGATTTGTTTTGAAGAGCAAATAAACTTGTTTTGTATGTTTGAAACTCGGTTAAAACTTATTTGCTTTCACTCTGAGGATTATTGTCTTAATATGGTACTAACCACGAAAATCAAAATAAGCCTATTGTTGTAAAAGTCACTGTCACAGTTTGACAGGTCTTGTTTGCTTCTTGTTACTTCTCAGGAGAGTGTCCCAAAGTGTTGACAAATGGGTTTTATACAAGGTATTGTATTCGTCAAAGACTTTATTTATAGTTCGCCTTAAGTTGAAAGTTCCTCAGCTGGTCTATTTTCTAATAGCTCAGAGAAGTTGTTTTTATATACAATTGCACACAAACCAATATCCACTCTTTATTACAAAAAAAATGAGAAAGATAGTCTTTATCTAAAAGGCAAATCATGTTCTTATCAAGACTTGTTCAAAGCTTCAAAAGACTTTCGTCGCAATCAAGAGTTTGAGCATTGGACTGTTGGAAGAAGATTGATCGACCATTGTTGTATTTTACTGTCGCATAGTTTACTTCATAGCTTACGATATGTCTAGTGAGTTTCAACCAGAAACCGTATATGACATGGTTGTAGTAGACCGAGAACAAGATGTTGGCGTAGTAACAAAGCAGTTGTTTTCAGCTATACACTCTACGTAAACTTGGTATTCCTTTCAAACCAGTCATACCCTTTGGTCCCCACCTCTTCGGAAGTGGAAAGACGAAATTCGTACAAAGTTATTTGGAACTGGTGTATAATATGGGTGAAAGTGCACTGATAGGTCTCGATTACGTTGGTGAGTCTGAGAAGGCCAACCGAAGAGGTTTCCTGGAGAAGCTGAAAAGGGCTTCGTTGCTCTTTGTGGATTTAAGGGAGTTGAAGCCAACTCGACCCATCGAGGAAAAACGCAACCTAAAGTGGGCAGTCTACTATTTATTGTACCGATCAGCTTGTAATCAGATGGGTCTACCGTTTATGAAGCCTGATGAAGCCTACAGACACTTTCCTCCCTATCCAAGCTTTCTCATTCTGGAGCTACGGAAGACTTTGGGCATTCCTTCCGATCAATTTCTTTTGTTGGCATTTGACGAAGTTGGTGTCCTTGACGAAAGTCTCGACGAATTTCATTTCAAGAGAACCCATGACGGTAGAGTTCGACCATACGACGACTTTATCGATATTATTCGTGAGTTGTGCAAAGAACCCGACTTGTTTTTTATAGTTGTTGGGAAAAGTGAAGACTTAAATATATATAATTACGTAGCTTCAGTCTCAAGAGTTCAGTTAGTGTTTATTCCTCTTGCGCCGCTTGAGAAACATAGTATCGTGGAACATTTGGAGAAAAGTTCTTTCTTTTTATTCACTGGGAGCCCAAAGGTTTCAGAAATTCTTTGTCACAAAGACTTCTCAACTAGTGAACTTGCAGAATTGTTGTTGGAATTGACTGGTGGTGTTCCTGGTTTACTTGTTCGAGCAATCAGTTACCTTTTGCTGTATAAATCATCCAACAACAATTTCTTATTATCTAAGGAAACCTTCTTGATCATAATGAATAGCTTTCTAGTAACAAATTATTGTGTTGCGACATTCTTACCTCTTCTGATAAGTCTCAGTGAGCAGCGTAAGCGCTTGTTAAGAATGCTTACGTTATTATCTTTGTATCGTATTCGATTTGATTTTGATGAAACTGTGCAAATGAGCTCAAATTTCTGATGTGTTTTTGTTTGATCTAGTTACAGATATGTGTCTCTATCGTCGATTGGTTATAGAACCAGACGGCAACGAACGCTATGAAGTGTTGATTCCCAAGTTACTGATTGAATATATTGACCAAGGCTTAAAGGATGATCGTTTAGAATGGTTACTTTTACAGACTCTCAAGTCTCAATTTGTTGAATTCTTTTATGAGTCGAAATGTCGAATTTTGGAAGGTCTTATTGCTACACTGTTTTATTTACATTTTTCTCGGCGTCCTACAAACAGCTCAATGTTTTCTACTCTTGGTCAATTGTCTCGTGTTTGGAATGAAATGAATTTACAATTTTCTTCCGAATCTGCTGCTTATTATATGAAATCTATACATTATACCAGAGCTGTATCAGGAACAGAGAGAATGACATTTGGAAGCAATGATGAATGGGAAAGGATAGTGGAAGAAATGTTAGAATTTGAAAAGATATGTATTCCATTTCATTCAACATCTCATAGTCCAGATATATTATTCAAGTTGCATGGAAGAACGAATGAGAAGAATTTGATGATAGTGGGTATTGCTTGTAAAGGCCGATGGAGTCGTAATGGTATTCGATGGATTGAAATTTTGGAAGAAGCTCACAAGTTTTTAAAACCAGTGCATGATCAAGTATTGACTAGTCATCCTACTTGGCATTGTATGTTGATTATTATGAGTACTCAGTTAGCGACCAACGTATCTGAGGACTTGAATCATTCTAGTCGTTGTTATTCTTTTGGCGATAGTGTTGGAGATTTCGTGATTCCTCACAACTGTGAATTGGTTATTCTTTCTGAAGCCGATGTAGAAAACTTTATTGGCAAAGACATTTTATCAAATTTAAGGAACGCTTTCAAGGCTGTGGATAATCCACATTCGAGAAATATTGGCATTTCAACACTACAAAAAATAGTTTTATTGCTTTCCAAAAATATTTAGGAATATCTTGTTGTTCTAGTGAATGCTTCTTTGTTATCATTGAAATATTTGAAATTTAATATTTTGTAAAGGATGTGGAGTTTCTTAAACTTTCTTTATCAAAAGATTCTGAAATGAATGGAGATTACCATAACTGTCGTAGTCTTATTTTGTAGCAAACGATTTTCATTGTCCAACTTCATGGGCAGCTAAGTATGCGAAGAATCCACCTTGCAGGTTTAGAATATCCCCTCGTCAATAGAGAATCAGCAATATTACAAGTTCTAAACGCTTTTGAAGCTACTTATCCTTCGGACTCAGAAGGTGTAATCCAAGGTCAGCGACCAAACGTGTGTTATGCACCCCAAATGTATGGGAGTGGTAAAAGCACTTTTGGGGAGAATTTCCAAACCTTTCTTTTGGCCAACAAAGACAGCTTGTTGCGTTATTTGAATATGAACAATATGTTTCCTGGCGTTGCAAGGGGTGAAAATGTAGGCGAACGTGCTTTGGACGCTTTGCTTAATGAAACTTTATATGTCAAGTTGAACCTTGTTGAAGTACCAAACGGAACTAGTTTTCGAACGACACTTTTGAAGTGGATAAGCGAGGAGGCACTTGCTGAGTTTCCAAACGGTTCAGAATTGCTATCTCAAGTTCTTTATTGCATGAATAGTTGCGAAGAATGGCTGCAGAAACTCTTGCAAGTTACCCAAAAACGTTATTTATATCTATTCATTGACGAAATTGGAGCTTTAGAAGGTTTTGAATTCTCCAAGTTTGAGGATTTGATATACAGTTATGGACCAACTCCGGTGCACAACATTTATCGTGCCTTTTTTAGAGTCTTGTCCAGTTTGTTAGTCAGGCCTTTTGTAATTTGTGTTGTCGCAGGAAGATCAGATGCTATTATCACAAGACAACGAGATGCCAGTATTTCACGAGTAAGGTTGTCTTTTCTTCGTTTGGATCCCTTTTCAGAAGAGACTGTCAAGTTCTTTATACAAAATACGACGTATCATAATGAATCTATTCTAAAGCTTCTTTTTCCTAATCATCCAGAAGGACACGATTGGTTCTTTAAACAAATACATAGTTATACTGGTGGTGTTCCTTATTACGTTGTTTATGTTTTAAAGAAATTGTGCGAGACTTGTAGAATTGTTTCGAGATCCATTGATCCTTCAGAGGATGAAATCCAAAGTAGAATAGAGCAAATTCCTCCTGACTCTTCGCTTTCGGTGAGACCTTCTCATAGGACACCAGAGGCAATGACTACTTTCACTGCTATGCTTCTCGCGAGTATGTTAGAATTTCGTATTCCTATGGAAGAGACTCTGTTGGGTGGTGTATCTATGGGACTTGATTCCAAATATGTTCTGGATATTGCTAATCATTTTGGTTTTTATTACGAAAATTGTTCTAAGAATGAACACGGTGAAGAGATTGAAGCAAGTTTCAACCCAATAGAACAAACATTTGTCAAGTTGGTTTTTCCAAAGATTGCTTTAAAGTATATCGAAATTGAATGCTGGGATGTTCCTCCTATTCGTTTTATTTGTAGTTTGTTTTCATCCATTAGTCGCTTTGACTCACCTTCTAGTCGTGGTTTCAAGTTTGAAATTATATTTACTCTTATTCTTTATGTTCGATGGTGTTTTTGTTCCAGATTGGGTGAATTGAGTCTATTTCGGCATAGTCTTGTAGAAGATATTCCTATAAAAGTTGGGCGGAGAGTGTTAGGAGAATTCGAAAAGGATCCTATTCTCAAGTGTGTTCCAGCATTGAGTTCCACAGTTGTTGGTATTCATAGTGCCAGCGAAGAAACTTATCATGTGAGTGCTTGGAAGCCGTTGTTTGAAACTTGGTTATCAAATGATGGAATATTTATTCCTACAAGGCAAAACTCCAGTGGACCTGATGTTCTTATTCGAGTAACACAAACTAGCGACAATTCTATTCTTATTGGACAAGATGCATCTTCTGTAGAGCAAATATCCATGGAAACTGAAACCAGTGCAAGTGATATTTTGAACAAACGGAGGATCTATTTGATTGGGATTGCATTGAAGTGTTATCAAATGTCAAGTCCTGGTGTTGGACGTTCTATGATTAAAGCAGAATGTGCTAAATTTTTACATCCAGTTGCGTCACAATTGGACTTGGAGAATCATAATATAATGGCAATTCAGTTTATTGTAAGCAACAAGTATACTGCAGAAGTTTCCAAACAGCTGAGTGATTCCCAAAATTGGGTATTGGATAGTGGAATTTATTATGAAGACCATAACAATCATATTGTCTCTAGTCCTATCAATTCTGCGACAAAACCACAGAATACAAGGGAAGAATGGCTATGGATTCCTCCTCATTGTCAAGTTGTAGTATGTTCTACCAGCTCTCTCAAATCCTTTTTAGGTTGCAAGGCTAGTGAAGATCTAGATAGAGTTTTTGGAGACCATCCATTATGGTTGGACCAACTCAGACCACTTTCAAATCTGTTGGAAAATTCATTGATAGACCTGTTGAGTCGTGCACCATTTGAGCAGTCTTCTGAGAGGAATATTCAATCCATGGAGAGGGGTAACCCAGTTATGAATTGGAATGTTATGCAAGTGGAAGAAGAAGATACACGAGGCGAACAAAGGGTTGCAGCATCGAGTTCTTTGTCTTCGTCATTTGATTGGAATACTTTTCTAAGAGAATATTGTCATTTTACGGAAGCTCCTTTAATTGAGCGTTATGCTCATCAATTGCGATTGTTTAGCCCACTGTCTTTTCCTTACTTGAATGACACACGTTTATCTCGCTATGGTATAGCTCCACAGGACATTCCATTGATAGTTGACGGAATACATGAGTTTCTTGAGCAACAATCGATGAACGTGGATCTTGTTGAAAGATAAACTTTTTCAAGGCTGGATTATTGTGTTTCTAAAATAAAACTATAGTTTGAAGAAAATTGTATTCAGAATATTCAGTGTTTTATGATTACATAGCACCTAATACTACGTTTTGTTTCTGCTATTTACTCTTTGGTCATAGCCAACTTAATACACCACTGTCGATAAGTATTACAATTGTTTTTTTTGGAAACATGTTAGAACTGTTTGCCTTTTGATGTCGCTATTGTATCCATCACGACTGTAGTCGAGATACGAATTCAAATTGTTAGCGTATCCAAGTCTCTTGTTATTCCTCTTAAGACAAACTATGACTTGAGTGTTTACTGAAAACCAAAAAGCTGATTCTGACTAAGAAATTATATTTCTTAAAGAGTCAGTTGCATAAAATTGACAAATAAATAAGCAGGTCTGAAATGTCTAGAAAATTTGGGTTTGCAATCTATGGCAGCAAAGTTCTGAGTTCAAAAAGCTATAACAGAATGACGTACACGTTTCAGTGCTACTTGTTCCATTTGAAACAATTCAGGTGTCCTTTCTTAGTTTGTTTACAGATTTTTTGGAAACATCATAATTAAGCAAGTTGCAAAAAGATGACTCTGCAATAAAAGGATGACACCTTTATTTTGACCGTTTTTCAAATCGACATGCAGCTTGATATTTACAAATATTGAAAGTTGAGGCAACTCATAATCGATCGAGGTTATTGCTTTATGATCAAGATTGGAAAGAAACGGGAAACTAGTAGAATTGGTCTGCTGAACAGAATGTTGAACATCTAATGCACTGTCATCTTATGGGACGTTTTGAGAATGACAATTTAAAACACAGCTGAAGGTGGAGACAACTCAGGCACATATTTCTACTTTCTTAGACTTGGAAATAACCTATTCATTTATTATAACAGAGAAAAAAGAAAGGATAGAATAAAATTTGTTGTTCTGGAGGAAATGATTGATTCTTTGTCGATAGAATACAAAAATTGAGTCAGACCATACAAGCTAAACACATGCTATCATTTCGTACTCGAAGAGAACGCATAGGACAACCGTAATTTGAGAATCTGGTTGCTGAATAAAACATGATAATTGGTTCTAGCAAGATGAGCCGAAACACTTTAAAAATCCAATAGAATAAGTTTAGATATTTTGATAAGTAGATGAGGCATATCGAACAAGTTGGACATAACATGATTTGAATAAAGTTGCATCGTAGAAAGAGAAGCAATATGCGGGAATGAGAGAGAACTTGATCGAGAGCAAGGAACTGAACAATCGGGCAAAGTCAGCGATCTTTAAAAATTTTCAATATAGAACATTATAAAGGCGACTCTTATACTGAAAAGGTAACAAAAGCAGTGCAAACAAAAGAAAAGAGAAGAAAAAAATGAAAAATGGTAAGCTCGCACTCATTCAGTGCCATCGTTGGAGTCGTCTTCCTAGAGCCCTATCGATAATTAATATTTCAAATCAATAGAGAATTGATCAAAGACAATCACAATACAAACATCCATTAAAAATGAGCAATGAAGGACTCAAGACTTTCCTATGCTATCCTGGGAAATGAATCGGTTGTCCAAAATGTGCGAATATTGCTTACACTCCAAAAATTGTTGCGGAGGTACAGACTGACTTCTCCATCTTGAAAACTGCTGCAAAGGACAAAAATCTAACATACAGAAAGTTACTCTGTGAACTGACCAATACTATCAACTGTGAGTCTGACTGGTTTCTTGTTCTTGAAGAATGTCTTGGAGATATTAACCCAAAGACTGATTCCCAACAAACCACTACATGAGAAGAATTTCAACTGCTGATAAATATGCAAAATTGGTCTGAAACAATTATAAAACTAAATGGACTTGCGAGCAACTAATGGAGTGATCTGCTACAACTCAACCACAGCTTAAACTCCTTTGTCTTTGCTCTCTTCTCGAAAATGCAAATCTCAAATTTCCATATAATACCACAAGTTGAAGCAACAATAAGTGTTGCATAAAGTGTGTAGACTTCAAAAAGATAGAAAAAATGGTACACAAAAAAACACTAAAGTCTACCAGGAACTCAGTGCTCAAGAGAACTCGATGGACGGTTATGAAAGAATGAATTTCAGAACTTTACAAAGAAACGTAGATAATAAAAGTACACTTGTCCAACGAAAACAATGACTTAGTTGGAAATTAAAGACGGAATAGTTTCAGTACTAAACTTGAGCCAAGTTCAAAGCGTTGACAACACTGGCTCTTCTTTATGTACAAAAACAGCTCACTTGGTCCAGAATGGAATCCAACTACTCTCTTTCTCTCAAAATGCAGTTTTTTAGACTCGAGTCAAAACGAATCCTAACAAACACTAAAAGTAACTTTATTAAGTCCACAAACCCCATTATTTGAGAAGACCCTCTTGAATAGGTAAACAAGCGGTACTCTCGGCAACTTTTTCATATGGTTCACAGCGACCTCCAATATATTTGGACAAAAATATTTCTGCTCTTCCTAAAAAGTCTAATCGATTAGGTGGTCTAGCAAAACCTACACAAAACGAAATGAAATTGAAAACTATTGAACAAAATGCCAATATCTAAACTACTGTGTCCTTCATCGGGATACAGCACATATTCAACAGGTATATTCCTTTCCAACATTGCCTTTACTATTTGATCACTTTCGCGCTGCTTCACTCTAGGATCGTTTGCTCCTTGTCCTATTAAAAGTGGTGCCTTGATGTTCTCCACATGAAACAAAGGAGATATTTTTCGATTGAATTCCTCATCTGTATCTACAGGCCCTATTCTCAATAACAATTCCTTCTTCATAGGCTTCCAGTAATCAGGAACACTGTCTATCAAGGTTTTCAAGTTGGAGGGTCCAACGATATCAACTCCACAACAATATAGTTCTGGAGTAAACACAAGACCTGCCAATGTAGCATATCCACCATAAGAACCCTATTTCAAGAATACAATTATCCAATAGAATATGAGCAACCTGACTTACACCATAAATAGCCACTTGATTCCAAACTGTAATGTTATTTTCTATAGCCCATTTGACAGCATCCGTTAAATCATTTTGCATATTGCCAATGCCCCATTGTTTATCTCCTGCATTCAAATAACTTTTACCCTAACCAAATAAAACCAGTCTTTAATAATATTAATAAAATATACTTACGAAACCTGCAGAACCACGATAGTTGACTTGAAGACAAGCATATCCTCTATTGCTAAACCATTGTGACATGGGATTGAAACCCCAATAGTCTCTTGCCCAAGGACCACCATGTACAAATAGAACAAGAGGAAATGGTGCAGTTCCATAGACAGGTCTTGTTAAATAACACTGCAACTGCATTCCATCTCTTGCACTTACAATAATGGACTCCATCTTACTCAATATATATTCATCAAGTTCGGGACGTTCATGGAATAAAGGTGTTATCGTTCTTGATCTTCTATCAAACATAATATATTGAACAGAACGACTGTCACGAATTACTGATAAAACCCATATAGAGTCTGCATGGTCACGACTTGTAAAGTCCAAATCAACGTCACCAAACTTTTGTTCTATAAAAAGAAAGTCTTCTTTCATGGATTCATCAAAAAAATTCCATTCCTTTCGGGCAAATGTAAAAGAAACGGCCTATGTAAAGTTTCATAAAAGAAGGCTCTTATTATAAAATATCAACAAGGCTTAGGCTTACTTGAAGTCGTTTATCATCAGGATGCAATAGAACACGACCAACGTTGGCTTGATGAGAAAAAGCCAACGTTTGAACAATGGCCCCGTTGGAACGCTTAGCTAAAACTAGTTGTGTCTTGTCTGCTTCTAAAGAGCTTCGAAGATATACATGCTCATGGTCTGCACTAAAATCCACAATGTCTCCTTCCTCACCATATGGAAAGTATTTCAGCTCTCTCCAAGGTACCTCAGGACTATCACGAATACGAAGAATGGTACTTCCATCTTCTGGATGGGTAGCAGTAGCTCCCAATATTGTCATGGTACTTTCATCCAACGTCCATGATACAACATCTCCAGGATTTTCAGTATCAAAACATATCTCTCGTGAATCTAGAAAAATACGATGAACATCAAAACAAGACGAGTCTCGTTGATTCATTCCAATGAGAAGCTCATTAGGTCTCTTGGGGGAAGACATCAGTCCCTCCACCTTGACATTTTCAAAAGGAGTTAGGTCTATACTTGGAGAGCCTTCCTCAGTAATATCAACTGCCTATACTAACTTACAAAATAAGAAAAGAACGATGAAAGAGAAATATACACATACAGTGAAAGTTTTCATCGCCATCCTTATCCTGTAAATACAAAATACTCCTTGAATCTTCTGACCATTGAAAAAATCGAATACCACGATAAGTATCTCTAGTCACCATACGCTTCAACTCACTCCCACGAGGATAAACCCAAACGTTCAGCACGTTTTGATCACTTGGAGCTAGATAGGCTAGAAAACTTCCATCTAAAACAAAGCCTCAGTTGTATGTCTCAAGTCAACTTTCTACAAGTTTACCTGGAGATACTTTTACTGCTGTTTGTTTGGGGTTATCAAACAAGATCTTTCGAGGAATCAAAGGGACACTTGCGACGTTGGTTTGATGAACTGTCATGATCTTTCTGCTTGAATAAGAAGGAGTCACTTGAAACCGTCTTTTACAGAGTACAAAATGTCTTGCAACCTTTTTCAAACCAAACACGGTTTTCTGAGCATCAAACTTCGGTATCCACACATGGACAAACAAACAAAATCGACAAGACATCCCTTGGAGAGTTGATGGAATCAGTCACTTTTCTTTATTCATGGCCATGTAGAATCCTTTCTCTTTCAGTCAATAACAAATCGTAATCTTCAAGAAATTTTTTTCTATTTTTGGGAATCAAATCTGGTGTAGATAAGAGACGACGTAAAGAGCTCAACTTGGCATCCACATTCTTCAGTTTGCGATACGGCCATTGTTTGATTCCATTCTTGCGACAAATCTTTTTAAGAAGCGTTACACATATACCCAACTCTTGTGCAACTTCATCTCTAGGACGTACAAAAAAATCAATCAAATCTTCTTTAAAGATGGTATAGAAGACAGTTCTTTTGCTTTTGCCAATAATTCGTTTCCTCACTTGTGCCAATTTTTCACGTACATCTTTGTATGAATCCAAAAGGTCCTTTTGAGAAACAAAATGATCCTTATTTGGAGTAGTCAACTCTTCCTTGTCACTTTTCATGCGCTCATCAATGATACTTTCATATGCATGAAACAAACATCTTTCATTCTTATAAATCCAACTACCATGATGTCCGACAGTGCTATCCATGATAGCTCGAAAGATGCCAATAACCAATGGAAGCGATTCAGTACTAGTCAAAAAAGGCACTTCTACATGAAAAAGCACTGGTTCGTGACGATAGTCATTCTCGAATACAACACAACTGGCAAAGAAAACAGGCTTTGAGGCCTTCGTTGCTGATACCTCTATATAGACGAAAAAGTCTTCTATTCTGTTATGGCAATTCTTAGAATCCAATTTGCATAGGACACTGACAGTTCTTTCATACAAATCGAAGGTGAAGAATTTATCGCGTCTTTCATAAGAACTACCACCCTTCTCTTTCTTCATTTCAGTATCTTCTGAAAGTTCGTATCCGTATTGATCAAAAACTTTCAAAGTTAAAGACGAGGCGATAGCTTCCGAAGTATACTCATCGATAAACAACACAAATGTGAATTTCTTGTACGAAAAGGTATTCTCTGAAACCTCTGATTCATCCTGGCAACATGAGGGCAAAGTCTCATGTGAAAGGTTTGATGAAGAGGTGAAATGATTTGCTTTTTGAAGGTTAGTTTTTTGAAATGCATTTTCTCCGGGTCGTGATTTATTGGTGGCCTTATGGCCTCACCCTTCGTTGGTGATTGGTTTGAGACATCTTTCAACCAACTGAGAAGCAGTCTCATCATCATGTCTGTGCTGTCTAATGAAATTCAAAATGGACCAAATTCCAAATAAAAACCACTTTATACAACTAAAAAACATGCAGTCCAATCATATACAACTAAACTCTCGTTATTGGTTGGTTTGTTTCTTGGCAAAGTCGTGGATTTCAAATATACTTGGCTCCTTTTCTGTTTCCTTTTTCACTGTATCGTAACGATTCTACCAAAAAGCTTTTTAGTTCATTTTAACAAACCAAAACAGAAAACTACCTTTCCACTATAAGAACGACCCCAAGGATGAACAGTTTTGCTCCATATTTCTTGCGTTCGTGGACTCTTACTCACTTTAGAAGGACTACTCCCAAGACTGGGTGAGGAACCCCCTTCCGGGGAAGAGTTTCCACCCTTTGAATATTCATTGCTACTTCTACCCATCCAAGAGTCCCATCGTTCCTTCCAGCTTGACATTTTCTCTCAAAACAAACTAACCAAAAGCAGTGCTACTTCCCAATAATAACAACAATAATCTGAATCATTTGCAGTTTCATAATCTCCATTCGGAGGAGATTGAAATATCGCACCCTCATCATGTTTCCTCAATCAAATAATGGAAAGTGACTGTCAAACGGATTCAGCAGGTCCAACAGAAAGCAGCCTGTTCCACTAATACCCTCATATAATGAAAATGGTCTATCAGGCGTTCTCATTCCCCGTTCCGTATGAATACAAGGAATAGAGTTTGTTGAATAATTGATGAGAAATGAACCCATTTGTGCGGCTCGTTGAATGCATTGAAACAACAGCTTCTCCTTTTGTGCATCAGAAGGAAACTGTTGTAAACAACGAAAAAGTCGAAGGAAACAGTAAGCATTTCCAGCAATACCATGACTATTCACAATATTCAACGTCAAAACTTTCAAAAAAGTCTAGTCACTTACCATAAACCAGGGCCTTTCAATAACAAGCCACAATTCCAGACTGGTATGGAAGCTTCCAATGCGTGTTTCAAATATGTGATATCAGAGAAATGTTCCGCTGCCTTACAAAATAAATATACAAAGCCAGGAGCACCATGACACCATTGTACAAGTTCCGAACGTCTACTATCCAACGAAGAAAAGTAGTTGTTCGTCCGAGGACATCTTTGTCGATATAAAAATTCACAGGTCTCCTTTAGTTCATTCTCCGGAAAACATTGAAAATCTTTCAAGCCTCTTGAAACCAACAATAACAAACTATGAATAATACCAGCAGTACCATGAGCTGCACCAAGATAAAATTTGTTGTGCCACTGGTAAAGCAATGGACAATGTCTACTCCAATTAGACGAGTTTGCTGTTTTTCGACCATTCTCAAACAGTTGCATTGCTATATTTCTAGCACATATCTCCCATTTCTTATCATATCCATGGAAAAACATCAGTGCAGTTAAGAAGCCTGCCTTTCCATAAAGAAATTCATCTTCTGAATCTGTGGTAAGCCATGAATCCGTCAGGGATATCACTTTGCTATAAAAATGTTGACAGAGTTCCTTATTGTCTGAAATAGCGTCGGATATTAGAAAGGCTACCAAATAAACTCCTGTTGATCCTAACATAAGACTGTTACCCAGCCTTCTTGTGTTATTTTCTACAATATTCACTGAAGCATCGCTGTATTTCTTGGCTACAGCAAGATAATTTAGACGTTGGTTTGGTTCCTTTTAAAAAGTGAAAGAGAAAAAAAGTTACGGCCTTCTTTCCAAGCTAAAAAGTTAGGTGCATACCAATAATGGATGAATACCAAGCCTATAGAAAAAATAAGCAATTCCTGCTGTACCAGTGTACACCGTTGGATCCTTTCTAGCGTCTTCAGGCTTGACTCGGTGCTGAACTATCTGTGCAATACTCTAAGAGCAAACACGTCAGTCGTCTAACAACTCCTAAGTGTTTAAAATGTACCTGTATGCTCTCATAGGTATGTTTTCCGAATTTAGTTTGAATAGCTTGTTTCCAGTCTCCCTTTAGTATAAAATGGATAAACTCAGAGTCTTCAAAGTCGTCGACTGGCGAAGAAAAACATCGACGTTCCATTCCATTCCATTCCTTCTTCGATGGGGGAAAGTAGGACGACGACCACCACCATTATACAAGACAAATATGAACAATATGGTCCTGGTGCAAAGTTGCTTTACAAGTGTGGTTGGCAACAAGGTCAGAAACTTGGTAAATTTGAACAAGGTCTGTCGAAACCTATATCAGTAATCAAACGACAAGATCGAGTTGGTTTGGGAGCGGAGCAAAAAACAGTTTGGAACGACTTGTGGTGGGAAAGATACCTCTCGGAAGCAATCAACAAGAATCTGGAACGTTTTGAGAAATCTGACAAAGAAGAAAAAGAAGAATTGTCAAAGGAGCAGTTGCCTTTAAGGAACAAGCAGAGAAAGAATAAGAATACGCTTTTGAAAAAAAGAAAAGTTTCCAAGAAAGATAACAACAAAGAGCGAAAGATTCACAAACGTCGAGGCAGTTGAGGTTATCTAAAGTGCTCAAACTTTTTGCCTTGTCTGTTTCCTTTCAAATGTTGCTCAAAGTTCGTAAAATGTTCATAATGAAAGTTTGATATAGCTATATATGATCTAGATAATCCAACAAGTACAAGAAATCGTTGAAATAAAAACACGAGTAAGACAACTTGAGTATCATCTTGTTGAAACTCCACTTTGCACAACAGAATGGCAATGTCGTTGACAAAATAACAACTCAACGAGTCTTTTTTTAAGTTGAGGTGGATGAACAACAATAGTAAAACTGTCAAACTTGTAAGTAGTGATAATGAAATTTTTGAAGTCGAGACAAGCATCATATCACTTTCTGAAACAATAAAGAATGTCTTGGAGGGTAAAAACTAGCTTTAGATGAAACTTTATGCTTTTATTGAAAGACGCTTATTTTAGACACGGAGGATACTGAGAGCATTCCTTTGCCCAACGTTGAAGGAAGAATTCTAGCAAAGGTATTGTAAGAAGTTTTATCTATTTATTGTTTTTAATTTTTTTTTTTTCTTCTTGTTTCTACTTTTAGGTCGTTGAATATTGTAGATATCACTCGTTATTGAAAACTATCCCGCAATCCGAAGAGGATATTGAGCGCTGGGATAGAGAGTTTTTAAATGTCGATCAACCAACTCTTTTTCATTTGATTTTGGTGAGCTTGTTTCTGCTACGGAGGATATTTATGGAAACAAGTTTGATAACTGTGGTCATAGGCTGCAAACTATTTAGATATTAAAAGCTTATTGGATTTAACCTGTAAGAGAGTGGCAGATATGATCAAAGGTAAAAAACCCGAAGAAATTAGAAAAGAGTTTAATATCGTTAATGACTTTACACCGGAAGAAGAAGTAAGTTGAAGTTGATTATGTATCTAAAGTTAGTTGATGTCAAATGTTAGGAAGAGGTACGAAGAGAGAATGCGTGGTGCGAAGATCCATAAAGCATCGAGTATAATAAAACAAGAAAGTATATTCAAATGATTTTCTTTTGAAGTTTTTTAGAAAATATTCAACTCAAATAACCCCCTCCCCCAAATATATCAACCAACAAATAAAACTCAATGCAAAGGAAATGTCGTTGGAAAAAAGTTGTGTGTTCTAAGTTGCTCAAATATTCCTTGATTAGTTAATAAATTTTGATGAAAGAAAGCTCCCATAGCAATCATTGCCAATCTTCCATTCTTCAGTTCTGCAGTCTGCATCCACTTTTTTGCATTTCCTTTGCCTAGGCCTAGCGGATCAAAACCTAGAAAAGGGAGTAAGATATTATCAACTTTGTCTGATATTTTTTGTACCAAAGTCACCAGGTTCCTTTTCTGGATGGAAGGTTATCTTATCAAGCGATATTGCTTCCAGTGCTAACACTAATAAAAGAATCTGGATAAGGCCCAACTTGGGTACTATGGAAAAGAAAAAGAAATAAACAATTGAGTTCAATGAAAAAAAGAGCAAGGAACATCCATAAGAAACCTTGTCCCAACGCAGCTAAAGGACTGGTATTCGAAAACACTTCTGAAGGAAGATGCCAAAACTCAGGAACAACCCAACCCAAAGCAGCCAACACTATATAAGTGAAAATAACGAAAAGTGACTTCAGTTTTGTGCAATCGTGTGGCTACGTACTACAAATACGACAGTGTTTTATTTCTGCTTCCTGTAAGAACTTGACGTCAAACTTGTCACTAAACCCTAAAGGATCGAAACTAGTCAAATGAAATGAATTCTCTACTGGATACACAAGCTCTATATCCATACATACCCAGCATAACCTGGCATACTTTCATCCAATCTGGCAGGCTTTGGAAAGAAGGGAATAGCTTTACTCATACGCTGAGTTTCTATACTGCAACGAAGCTTTAACAGAGAACCTTGTCCTCTTCTATAGTGATAAAGAACATGGTTTTGACAAAATGTGGACAAAAACGGAATATAGCCAAATGCAAGTGACATCATAGGATACCAACAACCAAAACGAGATTAGAGAGATATAAACAATATGATTTGGATGGAGATCGAACTTTAGGAAGATAACAGTCACAATTGGGATTCCAATCATACGTAGCCTTTTGATAGAAACAGAACAATACTTGGATAGAGTGAGGGATCTTTTTGGCACTAAGGAGACGAGAGGTATGTACCACCTTTCTACACCAGGAAAGCAGGAAACCTTGTGAGATACTGTTTCCGTCCTTGTCAGAGAAAAGGTTCATTCGCAGTCTTTTTCAGTTTACGTCATGTTGCTGCTTATTGAAAAAGAAAATACAAAAGATCGGAATAGGATTTATCCACCCATACCTTAAAGGGGAAGTTTCGGTTGCAGTCATTGCTGAGTCCAACAAATTTTGTCTCTTCCATTCGACTGGGTTTTCATTTGTTCTATTTCCATGAGTACACAGTTCGTCATCTGTACGTTGGTTGTGACAAAGAAATCAGATATGGATAGTAAAAATGAAATAGAATGCGTAAGAAGAATTTTACCTTATAAAATGATTAGGCATCCAAGTATAAAACTTCCAAAGAGATATTTCTACAAGAGCAATGTTTTATACAAAAAAATGAAATTTCCAAACAAAGAATCCACATTGCTCATACAGCTCTTCTACCAGAATTTGCTCTTCACAACGTTGACAAATATATCATTACAAAGCACTTCTGAATCAAGTCTCGCTTAGTTTCTAGCAATTTATTCGTCGTCTTCCTCGCTAGATTCTTCTCCAGAACGACGCCTCTTGTTTGCTGCCGCACGAAGACCACCACCTCCACGACCCTTTGCTATAGTTTTGGCTTTTTGTTTTACGGATTCCGTAGCTCGTCTTTTTTTGGACATGATTGGCTCTTCTTCATCGTCGTCTTCTTCACCATAATCATCCTCATCTTCGTCTTCATCCTCGTCTTCTTCATCTTCCTCGTCATCATTCAATTCTTCTTCGTCCTCTTGAGAGTCCCAATCAATTTCATCATTATCATCCAAGTCTTCGTCATCATCATCATCATCGTCGTCGTCGTCATCATCACCATCATCGTCGTCACCACCGAAAGAACCTCCAAGTTCTCCTTCCTCATCACTCGCTTCGTCTTCATCATTGTCATCTTCTCTGTCTTCGTTATCGTCCTCTTCCTCACCATTATCATCATTGTGAGTTCCTTTAGCATTCTTTTTCGCAGCTGCGTGATTAAACTTGCCCTCCGAACGTTTTCCATTTAAACCAAAGGCTTCTTCGTTACCGTTCTGTGACTTGTTCTTTTTACTTTTCACTGAAACTTTACTTGCTTGTCCTGTATCCTTCTTAGGCTTTGCATAATTGTCCTCCGTTTCTTCCAACTCAGAGTTCTCTTCGACATTCTCTGAGCTTTCATCTTCAGAGACTTCACCCTCCCGAGTGATTCGTCCGTAAGGCTTCGATAATACCGAGTCAATTTGATCATAGTCGTCATCTTCCACACTTCCAACATCGTTTTCCGTAAACACCTCCTCTTCTTCGTCTTCTTCTTCCGTACCAACTTCGTTTCCTTCCTTGTCCGCGCCATCTAAAATTTCCAGTGAAGGAATCATAGCAAAGACCTTCTCCCGATACTCCGAAGAACGTGTGACAGGATTTCCATAAAGATCCAAAACTCTTAGATTCTTTAGGCGAGAGAGTGACTCCAAATCTTTAAAGTTAGCCAAACGGTTCCCCCCTAGTTTAAGAACTTCCAAACGAGGTGTTGCGTTCGCAAGTACCGACAGACCTGTTGATATTACGTTATCTGAAGTCTCTAAAGTAGTGAGCTTTGGTAGCCTCGGTAAGCCTTCCAAGGATGCCAATCCTATATTATTCAGCGAAAGAAAGGTCAAAGACGACAAATCTTCAAGACCCGCTGGTTTCGAGGTTCTACACTGGTTATCCAAATATAACTCTTTTACTTCGTTCCTCGAGCGAGAATTTATCGCTTTCTGAACGGCAACTTCCATAAATGTAACAAACAGAGTTGAATAAGGGCTACGAGAAGTACGACAGACACAGCCGACACGGCGTCTCCCAACCCAAAAACCCAATTTTTACTTGACGTACTTTCCCCGTTCCGCAAGTGAATCATCGAGAACAGTCCACACGAGGGTGCGCATATTTTACAAAATAAAGATTCGGATTTTTATGTCGATATATTACAATACGATCCGATGCCTAAGCAGCACCTTATGAGAACATTCAAGTGAGGCTATAGTGGTTTCCAAAGTTCAACTCCAGCAAAACACAGAGAAAGAAGCAAAACTGCACTCTTAAGGAAAAAATCTTCATATCTTCTATATGCAGTGGCAACGAATGCTCTTACCGGTAATACTAGATAAAGTAAATAGTGGGTACGTCTTAAGAAAGGTAATATATCATAACCCAAAAAGGTAATATATATATAATAGCAAACTGATGCAAAATAGATGAAATTGGAGAAAAACAAGGAAACTGAGCCTATTATATCGTGAAGTTAGGAACACAACATACAACGCAAGAAATATGCCACCTTTGTCATATATTACGGGTAAAAGAAAATAGCGAGCTACATAATTAATCAAAGCAAATAAGAGAAAACTATTGCAATGAACATCAAATGCATATAGCCATTCAACTCGAGACTCCACTGCCTGAAATAATACTGACTGCTAAAAAACGATGCAAACGACAAATAGACAATTTTGCTTACCATTCCTGACATTCTAAGAAAACGGTTGCAAAAAAACCAAAAAACCAAAGTTACCAGGCAACCAATACATATAAACAAGGTAACGTCTTTCACAATGTACCCAAGTAGTGAGATGCCACGGATTTGGAAGCAAACGAGATAAGCAAGGTCAATAAGCACAATTAGATATATTAATATAAGAAGAAACGCAGGATCTAAACATATTTCAGTTCAATAAAGCTTGATAAGTAACAGCTACGTCAAACCATCGCGGGCCCACTGATTTTTAGTCTGTTTATGATATTTGGTGTTTCTGTATACCCTTGAAGGTGATAAACACAAGTGCAAAACTTGCCAAAAAGCATATTCAAAATCAAGTTCTCCCAGACGGAAAACGCGTCTTGAGTATTCTGACACACTCATGTTCCACAAGTCACTAACGTCTTTGCTTTTCTCCGTATGGTATCAAAATAAAGAAGGCTCGATTTCGGTGACTTGTTCTTTTTGGTGATTCTTGTAAAAAATTAGCAAATACACAAATAGTACCTACAACAGTGTACAACTAGGAAGCCATCACCATCTATCACTAGTGGCACATTCAAAATTGAAAGATGGTTTCTAATTGTGATTTCATATGCCAACCTCAAAGAGCACTTGGTTCCTTGTGAATTGCTTTTAAGTGACAATAATTGAAGAGACACATACTAGAATGTGAACATCGACAGATGACCAGCACATACAAACAAGGATTTCCTGTGTAAAGTGACTTGGGAAATATGAACTTCAACTATTAAATGTGCCTCAAAGAGACCAAAGAATGTACATTCGAAATGTGCTGTGAATGAGTGGCTTCTATATACTCACCCATTCAAATGTTCTTATAAAAATGAAAAAAGCGAAGCTTCCGAAAGATAAAAAATAATGACGGATTTTGATATTTATGTGTCCAGATGATGCTATGAACATCATTGAAAGATTATGCCATTTCTTATTCGTAAGGGCAGAAGCATATCATGGAACTGGAATTCAAACGGTACAAAAGCACAACTTATTTCAAGAAGAGAAAGTAAACTTGTGGAACAATTGCTTACCTTCAATCAATTCATTTACGCCTAACCTGTCCGGATACAACTAGTACAAAAAAGTATTATTCACTTGTAGCATTTTAGATGAAACTCCAAAGTTTTGCGTCACTGGACTGCAAATTCATTCGACCAGCTAAGAAATAGCCAACTTTAAGATGAAATGCACATTCTCTTCATCTCTTACAAAGTCGAACGTATTATGCAAGGAAATTCAGACGTCAGTAAACATGTATCCTTGTACATTGAAACGTTTGATATGATGAAAAGGCATTCAATTGGAGTCAAAATGAGAAGAAAACACTCGACGTAGAATATTTGTAGAAGTTGAGAGTTTTTGTAAATTGCCAGTGAATGCAGAAAGTGCAGTGTATAGTACGTCGGATGCATCTCGAATACCTTGACCTATTTGTCTCAAATCTTTTTCCTACAAAGATTTCCATAAAATATCTTGCCAAAATATTGCGATATGCTACATTACTTGCTCTGAACGACAAGTCGGCCTGGCTAAATAGGCTTCACATGCTTCAAAGGCTTCCACAAGAGCAAGTCCTAGAGCCATCGGATAAAAGAGATTGCCTTGCTTTGTAACATACTCTCTATGTTGTATCTTTCGAATATGTTCTGCCATCGTAGCATCTGTTCCTATTCCATACTTGTCCATTAGCCCAAGTAAATCACTCTCCGATAAAGGCTTTGGAGCACTAGTGGAGCCTTCCTTCAGCATCAAGGAGACCACACGTATAGTTGTACCTTTTTCCAACTCAGTTGGTAAAACTCGTTCTGACCAGTGATCATATGGATATACTTCTAGATAGCCTGCTTCTTCAATAGACAGACCGTGAATGTGGAAACTAATTTGTAATTTTGCATCGTAAACAAATAAATCGTAAAATTAAAATTTACCTTTCAAACCCGACATTTACTGTAACAACTGTTTCATAGCCCTTCGCATCAATTGAACAACAAGCCAAGAAGCGTCTCGTCACAAGTTCATATATTGCATCGCATTCTTTATCTTTGAACCCTTCTCTAGGAGCTGGTTTGGTAGGATGTATGGGAGGATGTGCCTTGTCATCTTTTGTACCTTGTCTTGGACTGTAATGAATCCAGTGTTCCATTATCTTTTGAACAAAGCCTCCCCATTTTTGATCATTTTGCTGTAACAAAACCAATTTAGATAGATTTATAGTGGATGGAAAAATATTGGTCTCGGTTCTAGGGTAAGAAATATATCCTTCTGAATATAAGCGTTCTGCCGCTTGCATGGTTGTATCAGATGAAAAGAAAAAGACACGAGAAGCAAGACGTTGCAGTTCAACAGTGTCCAACGGAAGAGGTCGTCTTCGCGATTTCCTTACCTTCTTTATATCTGCTATTGCTATTTGAAAATTGCTCCTCAACAAGGAAGAATAACAAAGCTCATATAGCAAAGCACAGCAATAACTAAGTTGCATAAGTTCCAGTTGGATATATTTTCGTCTCATTTCATTACCGATCGAATAAATGCTTTCGTTCCCAGATAAGAACAAGTTTGTCTCCATCAGAACTTTCACAACTTATGGTCAGTTCCAAGTAATAAAACAAGCGAGGTTGAAAAGCTCGAATAGTAAGTAAACGATCCACCACGAGACCAAGAGTTGGAAATTGACAGGGACCTTAAAATGAGTAAAATGGTGATACTATCAGGTAATTAAAAACAAACACACCATAGCTCAGTATCGCTTTTTTGTCTCCCTTCAATGGGACACGAAACTCATTCTGAATGAATTTGGTTAAGAATCTCGTAAAGGCAGCACCAGCTCGAAGATCAATTTCCTAAACGGAGATGATGTTATTTCTTTTGTAAAAGATGATAAAACTTACCTGTCTGGTGGATACCATAGAAACAGTTGGATAGTGAAGTGAAGTTAGATTTTGAAGAGCGTTTCGAGCGTCTTGAGGTGTAATTGCAGAGAAACGAGCCCTCTTTACGTTATCTGGTATTCTAAAAGACATATTTACTTGTTGGCAAATGTCTAGGACTTCGTATGCAATCTTCTCTCCTTCTGAGTCACAGTCCAACCACAAAAAAAGTTTGCAACAGGATCGTGCCTCATTCTTTAAATTATTTTCTAGAAATTTCTTATCCTCGGGTACATACTCTTTGATAGGAGTCTTGGATGGGTCTAAAAGTGCTACCTGAGAAGTGCTTTGAGAAGTGACCCGAACCTCTTTCAGGATACTTTTTGTACCTGTTCGCAAGAGTCCCAACCTCGATAGTTTTCATGAAAATCCAGTGCTTTGATATGACCCGCAACATTACTGAAAACCATGGTTACCTTTTCATGGTCCAAGTCAAGTTCAAATTCATATACTTTTAGTCGAGAACCTATTTCCCGCCTATTATGTGCTTCATTTAATAAACAACACATTGCAGTTGAAAGAAACACAGACACTTTAATGTTTTCTTTCTTTGCAAGAGCATGAGATAGTTCTCTTGCAGCAGAAGGTTTTTCTGCAACATTTAAAATGCGCTTCATTTCATTCACTGTAAAATGGCGCCATACAAACAAGCATTTTCAAAAAAGAATTGCTTTAATCGGCTACAGTCAAATGGGTTTCCTTTGTCTTTTGATAACTTATTTGCACTTTCCTGTGAACAACTCATCTTTGTTCGATAATAATTTAAGCTCCTAGCTTGGAAGAACGTCTTTTCAAAGACTTGTCTAATGAATAATTTTCTCGAAAATGTTCATCGCGAAGCTGCTGTATAACATCTCTCCAAGAAGTAACACGTTGACAGATTCTTGCATCCTCAGCAAAAACTTGGCCTATTGAAGCAGAATCACCACGTTCGATAGTCACAAGCCTTTCTTTGGGTACGTGTTCCCAGTCTATTGGAGCCGTTGGGTTTCTTTGAGGTAACTCTTCTATCTTCCACTTGGAGTAGGCAGAATTTCTCTTTCTCAACGTGGGTTCTTCCGAAATTCTACGAGTCAACTGCTCAAAATACTCTACCTTGTCAGATATTCGTTTCGATAAGGTTCTATTTGGATTGGAAGCACCATCCATTGAAACTTGGTCATCCTCAACGGTCGTTCCTTGTGAATCTGACCTTTTTGTTATTTCAGTGGACTTGTACTTTGTTGTAAAGTTTTGTTCGAGTATATTGGACGCCACATCCTTTGAAGCGCTCTTTACACTTTGAATTTGTAGGTCGCTAGAATGCGGTCTCTGCTTCTTTCTGACTGTTTGCACTTCTCTGGATATTGCGCACCCCATTATTGACGATGATCTTATCGTCCCTGCTATTGCCCAAAGAACTCTAAAGAATGGACATGTTTGATAGTGGTTTAGCTTTGGTAGCACAGTAGAAGATAGTTTTATCGAAAAATATCAAAAAAAGAAACTTATTGGGGGATAGAAAATAGAACAAACGAATAATTTTGGTGTTGAGGAGTTTACTTGCAACTTATAACTTTCCTCGATATATTAGTGTGCTATTGTTTTCAACGCCATTTCAACTGCCATAAAAGAGATTTCTTTTCAATGAAACAACTTAAGTTTGAAAACAAATTCGCTATTTTTTCGTATTCTATATCCTCCTCTCACGAGAAGTCGATATTTATGTGATAAATCCAAAATAATGACAACGAAACTTTCCAGGATAATAAACCCTCTTCTATAAATTTAAAACACATTAGATAAGTTTATCCAAGATCAGTTCAGGTCCACTTCTCATAAACTCTTCTCGAGAAAACCAAAACTGCTGAAAAGTAACTGAGGAAGCTACAATGGAACCACCAATCCATGACGCAAATACCCTCTCTTCCGGTAACATAACTGAAATTGTTCTTACACGGTACATAGGCGACATTTTTTCCAATAACAAATCTTCAAAGCATTTGGTAAAACCTGGAAATAAAGTACTGCATCCTATGAGAAGGATGTTTCCAATAAGATCCCTGCGAACATCAGGATCACACTTCCGCAAAGCATTTAGAACCATGTCGCATATACCATCTGTCTGGTATATGTTCTCAATACTTCCGTCTTCGTTAACAAAGTCCACACATAGACCGTTAAGAGGTGGTTCATTCAATGAAGAAGGCTGAAAAACAACAAAAGGTATTTTCCATGAAAGTTCACGAGAAATTCGAAAGAACTGTCCTTTTGCTGATTCATATTGAAATATTTCTACGGGTACTCCATGACTATTTACAATATCTTCTTTCTTATTCCATAAGCCACAAACGGATTGCTTTATATCTTCCACAAGGCGTTGTATTTTGAGGCTTTCCAAGTCGAGGTTTCCATGAGGCTTTATCTTTTCCTTATCAATAACTTCTGAATATTCATTAAAATATTTCCATAAAATTCTCGTAAGAAACTCTCCTCCTAAATTGCTTTTCACTGTAGCTCGATTCAATGAAAAACCTTCTACAACAGGAACTACACTTGTGCCTTTGTGGCCTACACAGACAACTAGGGCAGTGGTTCTTGCCGACGCAAAAGTTGCTGCTGTAGCATGATTAAGAATAAAAGTGGCACGCATGGACAATTCTAGATTTGCTCACATAAGTTTCCAATTTTTTTTCAAGCTCAAGAACCTTTCAAACCTTGAAAAACTATCTTCGATAGCTGTAAATAGGTCTCCCGCTGTAGACCTCTTTCACTTTCAACAAACATACAAGCACTATCCTCCGGTTTGACGCAAAGAAAAGTAAGAGCTTGCTTTAAAAGACAACAAAAAGCTTGCCAGTCACTCAGAGTACCATCTTTTTTCAACAACTCTGACAAGGACCAATCTTTTTCATAAAATTGCCAATCAAAGGGACATTGATCGCAAAAAAATAAATACGGACTTTCAAAAGAAGGGGTAAAGTAACTTGTCTTTTTTGGTTCCGAGACTTGTAAACCTTCTTCCTGTACTCTAGTTTCATTCATAGCGTCCAACGTATTACTCGGTGTGACACTATGTTCTTGTGCTGACGCAATCGTATCCGTACTGACTACTTGTTCTTCCAATAAACTGCCTCCCTTTCTAAGTCTTTTGCAAGACAATTGCTCCACACTTCCTTTGTTATTCACACCATACAAGTTGCGAATAAGTAGCTTTGGAGAGTCGTCTCCTGCATAGCCAATACGAAAGTACCAAGTGCCGAGTTCTATTATAACTGCACCAACATCATCTCCAACACGAACCCATTCAGGCATTTTCAAAGTCTGTCCACTAAAAATGGATCTTTACCAAAATATCTCTCAATGTTCTAATAAAACTATACAATTATTTCTTGCAACTAATCAAAACCATCTGGTATCCAATGACCCATCCTTAGTTTCTTGGCTCTTAAATATGCTTTGTTTTCCTCAGTAGCCTTGGTGACTATTGGAACACGTTCAGATATCTGTATGCCATAGCCTCGTAAACCAGTATATTTGGCAGGGTTATTTGTCATAAGACGTATATTCCTTACACCCAAGTCCACTAATATTTGAGCACCAATTCCATATTCTCTAGAATCAACAGGAAAACCCAAGTCCTTGTTGGCATCAACGGTATCTCGGCCTCGATCCTGCAAGACATACGCTCGAAGTTTGTGACCTAGTCCTATTCCACGACCTTCCTGGCCTCTTAAATAAAGAATAACTCCTCTGCCTTCTTCTGCCACTGCCTTCATAGCTGCTTGTAGTTGAACTCCACAGTCACATCGAAGTGAACCAAAAACGTCTCCTGTGCAACATTCAGAATGAACTCGGACAAGAACTGGAACTTGGCCTTTTAGGGAACTTTCGTTGGTAATACTATCACTATGAAATGGACCACCCATGACCAAAGCAATGTGCTCTACATCGTCCAATACAGATCTAAAACAGTAAGTATCAAAAACTCCATAGACAGTAGGAAGCTTTGCAGGGGTCTCTCCTATTCTAAAAACAAGCTTCTCAGTCTCTCTTCTCCACCTAATCAGATCCGCAATGGAAGTTAAAACAATATTATGCTCTTTACAAAACTCCAGAAGATCAGGCAATCTAGCCATAGAGCCATCCTTATCATTCACAACTTCTGCCAGTACTCCAGCAGGATAAAGTCCAGCAATCCGAGCAAAATCAACAGCAGCCTCCGTATGACCAGCTCTCTTTAGAACACCACCTTCCTTGTATCTTAGTGGAAAGACATGACCAGGTCGTTGAAAATCCTTGCCATTCACGCTGGGATTGGCAAGAGCTCGAATAGTCTTCGCTCTATCTACAGCAGATATACCAGTACTAGTGCCATGCTTGTAATCGACCGATACAGTAAATGCTGTTCCTTTGGGGTCAGTATTCAAAGGAACCATAGGCTGTAAATCAAGCTGTTCAACTCGACTAGGTTCCAAAGAAACACAAAGTACTCCGCTTGTATGCCGAACCATGAAGGCAATGGATTCACTGGTTACCTTTTCTGCAGCCATTATCAAATCTCCCTCGTTCTCTCGATTCTCGTCGTCCGTCACTAGTATAAACTCGCCTCTTCGCAATGCTTCTATGGCTGCAACTACACTGTCCTTACCAAAACACCAACCATCTGAAAGGTAACTCGAGTCATCCTTGTTTCTGACATCATTCGACTGTTTAGAACTTGACTTGCTCGACAGAACACTCATGTTTTTCGAACAAACCTTATTAGAGGCAAGTTCTGGTACCGAATCTTCACTTTTACCATTTTCCTTGTGACCGTTTTCTGAAAATCGTTCAAAAGAAACGACGGATGGCAACTTTGAGCTTCCTTGATGCTCTACTGTTTCACCTAAATTGGAAACCATCTTTGTAAAAGCTCGACTCGTTCTGTAATAGCCCTGTATAGGTCGTCCATATACAACCTTTACAAAAGAAGAAGTACGCCATGTTTTTATAGACGACGTTTGATAGCTCCAACTCAAGGAAGAAGGCACAAAACAGGTTGTCTGCTTGGTCATGCTGTTTTGGTCCTTGAATGAGACGTCGACAAGCCCCAAAACCAAGGCCAAGGATTTCTACCATTTATCCTACTCTTCGCTGAAGGCTGTTTCAATATTTGAGATGCTTTCTACAGTAAACAAGATTTATCAACTCTTTATAGAGCAAAATCCTTTTTTATTTCCATTACGGAAATGCTAAACGGTATATTTGAAATGTTGACATCGAAATAAAACAACAAATACTTGAAACATCCTCACACATTTTTTTTTGTTTTGGCGCCATTTTTTTATTTCATGGAAGAATATTCTTCTGGCACCTTACGACAGCTATTAGGCTCCATATCCGAAGTGGAGACTTTGACACGTTTTGTAGAGACTCTATATGAAGACCACGCAAAGTGAGCTGTCTGTTTTTCTATTTTGTTTTCTTACCTGATCAACTACTTGTAGTGCTTCAGTTGTGCTTGTTTTTGAAATAAAGGCAAATTTGACTTTCCTTGTAATATCTCATGGTGTGGTTCTAGTTACAAACCTTGGAATTGTTGGAGAGAGGACTGTTGAAAGTTTTGGAAACAATGAAATACCTTTTGTTGTTTTGAACTACCGAAAAACTCAAGAATTTGTTTATTTGGCTCTTTTTGAAGTAGGAGTGAGAGTACAAGTATGGTCGAAATCGAAAACTGGAAAGTGCGATTACGTTAAACTTCTGGAAGGCTCTCCAGCAAATGCAAGCAGTTTAGAAGAATACTTTGGTTTAGATGACAATATTTTGAACAATGTAGATGCTTTCTCTGTGAATTCTAGTAGCAATAATTCGCAGACCTTGGGAAGCTCTGTTGCTGTAAGATTTGCACAAGAAGATGGTCAACTCAGATTAGGTGTTGCATTTTATGAAATCGGAGACAGTTCTTTTCTAACTGGAGAATTCTGTGAAGACGAAACATTTGCTCTGTGCGAAAGTATCCTTGTAAGCTTGCAAGCCAAAGAGGTTGGTTTGTTTTCATTCTTGTCGATCACTCTCTCTTATGTAATGATAGATTTTTTACTGCCCTGCCGATCTTCAAGAGAAAGAACTGCGAAAATTTCGGGATATGACAGCCAGATTAAATTTTTTAATGACTCCACAGGATCGCAAAGAGTTTGAGTCTTCTCTCGTAGTTCGGGATCTTACCAAGGTTCTAGGTTCGGAACATTGTTCTTTAAAAGATCGGTCTTTGTGTAGGACTTAGCTTAGTTACTAGGAGATGCATCGATTCCACCGAGCACCTTGGAACAGACTCTTGTATTGCAAGCATTGGCTGTGCTTTTGAAATGTTGTGGATTGGTTCCAGATCTTATAGAGTCAAATGATGAACATTTGAGCAAGCCTCGTTTTCTTCTTAAACCATTAGAAATGTCACAATACTTGAGACTGGATGCGGCCTGCATTCGAGGATTAGATCTTTTACCTCTTAATAATAGAGAACTAGAGCGCGTTGCTTCTTCAGTCAAAAGGAAAGACTCACTTTATGGAATTTTAAACAAGACGAAAACAGTTATGGGTTCCAGGTTGTTGAAGAAATGGTTATTGATGCCTTTGCAAAATATCGAAGAAATTGAAAAAAGGCAGAATGTGGTCGAAACTTTTATTGAAAATGCAATTTTTCGTACTGAATTTCGTGACAGTAAGTATTTTTAGAATATTTTTGAAATGAGCAGCGACAAAGTATTTCTAGGACATTTGAAGTTTGTACCTGACCTTGCTCGACTTTGTAGAAGATTTCAAAAGTTGAAAAATGTCACCTTACGGCACGTGATTTGTCTTTATCAACTATCCATTCGTTTGCCTCTTCTTCTGGATTGCTTTTCTCAGTACACTATGGCGGACGATAGTAGTCCTTTGAAACCATACTGGCAACGACTGATTTCCTTACATACTGAGCTGGATCGGTTTGAAGTAATCTTGTACTTTCCTTTGAATGAAATGTCACTAGCTAATATATAGGAATTGATCGAAGCTACTATTGACTTAGATTTGGTGCAAAACAATGAATACGTTGTTAGTGCACGGATCGATGAGAACTTATCTGAAATGATGAGAGTCAAAGACGAAATACTTGCTGAGATTGCTGTTGTCCACGAAGATGTTTGTTCACATCTGAATTTGAAGACTGACAAATTAAAATTGGAAAGAAAAGAAAGCGCTGGTTTCTTTTTCCGACTATCGAGGAAGGATGAACGTTTGGTTCGAGGCAATCCACATTATGTTATTTTAGAAACACGCAAAGACGGAATAAGGTGAGACATCCACCATTTATCGAGAGTTTTATCAGAGTTGTATTGACTGTCATCTTTGAAAAATAGGTTTGTAACAAAAGCTTTGAATCGGTTGAGTGAGAGATATTTCTGTATTTGTACGGAATATGATAAAAAGCAAGAAGAAATGGAGAACAAAATTATTCAAGTTGTTGCGTCGTACATTTCTGTCTTTGAGGTATTTTTGAACTCGGTGTTGTTCAAGGAGCCCTGTGAGTTGAGTACTTTGATAGGAAGCTAGTTTAGTATTGGCAGAACTTGATGTCCTTTCAACTTTTGCTATAGTAGCAGTGGATGCACCTGAACCTTATTGTAGACCATCCATCGATCAACCTAGAACTGGCATTTGTTTGATTCAAGCTCGCCATCCCATCGTAAGTATTTCATGGTTTCAAGGCTCCTTTTGGTTGCATATCATTTTGAATAGGTGGAAGAAAATTTGGAAGGAAAGCAATTCATAGCTAATGATTGCTTTCTTGAAAATGTTTCTGATTCAGATGATAGACTTGGTCAAGTTTTTATAGTCGTTACAGGTCCAAACATGGGTGGAAAAAGCACATATATTAGAACTGTAGGAGTCATCACTTTGATGGCTCATATTGGTTGTTTCGTACCAGCAAAGAGCGCAAGAATTGCGTTGACGGATCGAATTTTGTGTCGAATTGGTTCGACCGACTATCAAATGTTTGGAGTATCGACCTTCATGGCGGAAATGTTGGAAACTTCATCTATTCTTCGATTGGCCTCTCCATCTTCCTTGATCATTGTTGATGAGCTTGGAAGAGGCACTTGTACTGAAGAAGGTTTTGGATTAGCATACAGTATTGCAGAATATATTGTGCAGCACATAGGATGCCCCTGTATGTTTGCGACACATTTTCATGAGTTGGCGTTTCTTGCCGATACATTTCCTCAAGGAGTGGTATGTAATATGCTTGCTTTTGAAAAAGATTTTCTATAACTTTAACGTAGGTACAAAATGTACATATGTCGGCTGAACCTGATCCTGAAACGCAAAAGTTGCAATTTTTATACAAAGTCGAGGCAGGTATCTGTGATAAGAGTTTTGGAATACATGTTGCAGAATTAGCAAGATTTCCTGCTTCGGTCCTCCAAGATGCTAAAGATACTGTCGATAGATTAGAAAAATATGGAATAGGAGAAGAGGATTCCGGTAACAAAACATGCTCATCAGAAAAGAAGGAAGCCTACCACTTCATGAAATGGTTTCTTGCCAAAGTCCAGTATATTCAATCCTCCTCTCAAACTGAAAGCCAGAAGAAGGAAGCAATCGATAACCTAAAGGAAGTTGCAAGACGGTCTTCGAATAAGTATATTCAAAGTATTCTTTGATGTATATAATACACGTTTGTAAAAAGACATATTTTGTTGTGAACAGTCGTTATTTTATTTACTCATCAACTTTCATTTTCTTTTTTCCATTTTTCAAAGGTGTGTTTGTTGATATATCGCAACCCACAATATTTGCAAGTAGCAGGGTAAGGAGCTTCCAAACGAATATACTCTATTGGGTGCCCCAGTGGACCACCACCTCCATTACAAGCTGCAACATAACCATCAACTACAATCGGAGGTACTTTGGATATGAGTTCCATAGCGTCACTTTGCCACTTTTCTCTCACTTCTTCAAGGCTGGTTCCTTCCGGATAAACACCAAGAGGTTGATGTAAACGTTTTGTTTTTATACCAGAAAGTTCTTTTTCTTCTTCTGTTTCTACTCTTTTGTGAAATGTTGTAGTATGAAAGCTCTCATATTTAGAACGATATGCTTGCCATAACAACAACCTTGCTGTAGGTCGAATCAATCGCATCTTTTACCGAAGAATAATAATGAAAAGACTTGCATTTATACGTAGTTGTTCGGTTTGTATTCGTTGTCATGTCAATCCAACAAACAGAAAAAGGTTTTTATTTTTACATATGACAGTTTCAAGAAGAAATTTTACAAGGCAATGTGTATATTCTCTATCCATCTTGAACCTTTGTATGGCAAGACCACTACTAGCAGAAGTATGTTATGATAGTTATGCTAAGAATTATGATAAATTAGAGACAAGTGCTTGGAATAGATTGTTTCAACTTGATCTATTACGAAAGGAACTACTGACATATATTACTGGTGGAAATGTCTTAGAAGTGGCGGTTGGTACTGGCCTCAACTTGGAGTTATATCCTTGGCAACTTGTGAAGCAGTTTCGAGGAGTTGACACCAGCGCCAATATGTTGGAGCAAGCTAGAAACAAGTTGAATTCCTTATCGACATATACTGACGTTGATTGGGAACTGATAGAAGCTTCTGCTATTCATCTACCTTTTCCTGACAATTCTTTCGATCATGTGGTGGATACCTTTGGTCTTTGTGTTTTTGACAATCCACACTTGGCATTGAAGGAAATAAGAAGAGTTTGTAAGAAAGGTGGAACGATATTATTGTTGGAGCATAGTTTAAGCCCTTATGGGTTGGTTCAAGAATATCAACGGTGGACAGGAAGTTTAGTTGCCAAGTTGTCCAAAGGCTGTGATTGGAGTTTGCCTCTGCAAGACTTGTTGAAACTACACCGTCTTTACACTATTTATCAGAAATATACTTTGCTTGGAACAGTTTCCTTGAATATCGTTTCCAAATGAATATATATATATATATATATATTATATATATATTCACTTTTATAAAACACCAACGGAATTTATTTCAGATGGATTCAAAAAGAAAAAAATATAATTCTTTATTCAAAGACTTTATTTAGAAGCAGCTTTCTTTCCAGCACTAGTGGCTGCATTCTTCTTTGTGGTATACTAAAATGAAATCAACCAAATCATATCATTAAGACCAAAATATTGCAACTTACCAACTTTTCTCCAAATTCTTTTGGAATCAAATGACGAACAGCATCTCTTTCTTCAACCAACTCCTTTCGACTTTTTTCCATCATAGAAGCAGAAAACTCTTCAATTGGAAGGTTCAAGATCCTTCGGTAATGTCCACCAGGACACATCACAGGTACAGAATACCAAAGTCCTTCATCAATGCCATAAGTTCCATCGCTAGGAATTCCTACAGAACACCAACGATCACCAACTCCATGCCAATAGTCTCTCATATGATCAACAACTGCTGCTGCTGCGGAAGCTGCAGAAGATGCACCTCGAGCTTTAATAACTTCAGCTCCTCTTTGCTGTACCTTAGGAATCATCACTTCCCGAATCCACTTCTCATCATTGATAACCTTCCTGGCAGATTCTCCCTTGATTCTGGCATGAGTGATATCTGGATATTGCGTTGAACTGTGATTACCCCAAACTACCACACGATCTACTTCCGGAATCTTGCAGCCTGCTTTCTCTGCAAGCATATACTGAGTCCTGTTTTGATCTAAACGAGTCATAGACATAAAACGTTCTGGATTGAAACGAGGTGCGTTGGCTGCACATATCTACAGCATCTGAGTACTTGGTCATAGCGATCTTCGTGACCACGAATATTTTCAGTTACTATCTGCATTTCCTTCATTCAAGGCTTTCCCTTGTTGAGCAAAAATACTTGCATTGGTGGAAAGGAGATCTTTACGTTCCATTCCTTGAGAACGTGGCTTGGCACCAACTAATAAAGCAACAGAAACGTCAGCAAAACCTTTCCGCAAGTCATCTGTTGCTATGATTCCTTGAACCAAAGGAAAAGCACAGTCTTGTAGTTCCATAACGACACCTTCTAGTTTACTAAGAGCCTGGGGGACCTCCAATAGGTGAAGAACTATCGGTTGGTCTTCGCCTAACATCTCTCCACTATATTTATCAACCACTACTTTCAAACTTTTATAAGAATACTTACTTGGCAACTCTTGGCAATAAAGAATAGGCGATTTGCCCTGCTGCTCCTGTAACTGCGACGTGTAAGGTTGGGAGCCAATCTTTACCGGAACCTTTGTAAATCTGTACACCTCTCGAAGGCAGTATAAAGTTTCCACGAAAACGATTGCTGTTTGAGAGCAATTGATCTTGTTTTATGGCAAAGTTGTTTCTCACAAACTGTCCAAAGACTCCTCTCATATGACGTAAGGATGACATTGTGAAGATGACTATTTGAAATAAAAAATCTGAAACAACTACTTAATAATTTCAACAGCTCTATAAAAGACTGGAATAAACTTGTCAACTTTACTTGGGAACATTCACAGTTTGTAAACCTTTGAAGGACGTTACAGGAACAAAAGATACTACAGTATAAAAGGGATGAGGTGCGTCTTCATCGTCGTTAGATATTCTTGCATAAAGAATACGACTGAGACTGTATTGTGACACAAGTGCGATCTGAAGGACTTACCTTTCAAGCCTAACTCTCAAACGAAAAGGTACGTTTCGAATGCCTTGTTTCCAAATTTCCCTATTAAGTCTCGTATCGACTCGCACGTCTTCCGTTCCCATAGCTTTCTGAGCAAATTTCCTAATTTCTTTGATGGCTCGAGGTGCACGTCTCTTCCACACACAGCCGTGTAACCGCTTGTGCAAATTGATCGTGTATTCACGAGTGGCACTTTCCATCATCGTCTGTTTCGAACTTTTCTTATCCTTTGCCTGAAAAAAAACTATGTCAAACCATATCACGTCAAAGTTTGTTGTTGAAGTTTCCTACCATGATTCTCGTTAACAAAACCAGTCAGTCAAAATCAATCAATCACAATTTCTGTAGAATGAAATAAGAAAAGCGCTCGACGCCGATCATTTCCTTTTGCAGTGAAAATCATTTTCCATTGAAAGAGGAATTGGAAGGCTATTGCCGAAAGAGCCAACACAAAAGACAGTGTTTTGTTGTGAAGGTGACCATTTCTTCTTTTGTTTCAAATGTCCAAATTACAGACAGCAACAGTTCGCTCTGCAGTAGCAGATATTTTAAGAGAGTCACAAGAAAAGAAGCGCAACTTTGTTGAGACGGTAGAACTCCAGATAGGCCTTAAGAACTATGATACCAAAAAGGATAAGCGCTTTAGTGGCTCCATAAAGCTTCCGTACATTCCAAAGTCTAAGTTACAAGTAGCTATATTGGGAGATGCTATTCATGTTCAACAAGCACAGGAACTTGGAATAGATGCTTATGATGTGGAAGCTTTAAGGAAGTTCAACAAACAGAAGAAACCCATCAAAAAGTTTGCTAAGAAATATGACGCATTTCTAGCTTCAGACTCTGTTATTAAGCAACTTCCGAGAATATTAGGTCCCGCGTTGAATAAGGCAGGAAAGTTTCCGACACCCATTTCGCACTCAGATAACTTGCAAGAAAAAGTCAATGAAATCAAAGCTACTATCAAATTCCAGTTGAAGAAAGTACTTTGTATGGGAGTAGCAGTTGGTAACGTGCAAATGACGGAAGATCAGTTGGTTGCTAATATCACACTCGCTATCAACTTTTTGGTTTCTTTGTTGAAGAAGAATTGGCAAAATGTCAAGTCATTACACATCAAAAGCACTATGGGCAAACCCAAAAGAATTTTTTAGTAAAATGTTGTTTGTTTTTCTATCAACTTTGTTATCTCAGCAATCATATAATAAGGCTGCAACAGGTTTCTATGTTTATCCTTGTTGTAGAGGTTGCGGAATAGCTTTAAATAGGCAGTCAACCAAGATACTTCGACTAGGAAAACGAAACATTGGTCAAAGAGTGGCAATACTTTGTGAACAGTCTTCTGGTCTCGTAACAACAACTGAAAAGGTCAAAGTAGAGGAATACTTTTCTTTCCAACTTGATGACTTTCAACAAGCAGCAATAGAGTCACTTAGAAGACGAGAGAATGTACTTGTAGCTGCACCTACTGGTTCAGGTAAAACAGTTATTGCAGAAGCAGCTATATATTTGGCTTTGGCAGCTGGAAAAAGAATTTTTTATACCACACCTTTGAAAGCACTTTCCAATCAAAAGTTTCGTGACTGTCAAAGAGTTTTTGGGGTTTCCAGAGTAGGACTACTTACAGGCGACGTGACTATTCAAAGAGATGCTGATATTTTGGTATTAACTACAGAAATATATCGTAATATGTTATATGCTGATACGACAAGCATATCGGATTCCGTCTTTGCAGTTGTATTTGATGAATTTCATTTTATGAATGATCCGGAAAGAGGAACTGTTTGGGAAGAGGCAATCATTGCAAGTCCCAAAGAGGTTATTCTGGTTGCATTATCAGCAACTATGTCAAATGCTGCTCAGTTGAAGGATTGGTTAAGTAATGTACACAGAAAAACTTCACTTCATGAAACTCATGTTCGACCTGTACCTCTTCATTTTCAGTTTTGTAATCACAAGGGTCTACATGACTTGCTTCATACGTCCAAAAAAGATGAAAATGCTTGTTCTGCATTATCAAAAACTTTGTTATTTGACTACAAACAGCATTATCAGGTGGATAAAAACAAACGGAGAAGAAATCGTTCTACTTTGCGCTCATTGCAATCTCCTAGTGTTGGTTTTTTGGTTCGCATTTTGTTTCGACGTAAAATGTTGCCATGTATTCTATTTGTATTTAGTAGAGCGGGTTGTGATAGAGCTGCAGAGGAACTTGGAGACAAGCTGAGGTCGCATTTAGTAACCAAAAGAGAACAACAAGTATTGCAGAGTAGAATTTTTCAGTTTATTGATCATTTTCCTGAAATAGCTGCACAACAAGAAGATCGTTTGAAGTTATTGCAGTTAGGAATTAGTGTTCATCATGCAGGATTGCTTCCTGTTTGGAAGAACTTTGTAGAAGAATTGTTTATAGAGGGACTTATTAAGGTGATATTTGCAACAGAGACTCTTGCAGCTGGTATGAATATGCCAGCAAGAACAACGGTAATCAGTGCACTGTTCAAACGTGGTGATAATGGAATGGAGAGATTAAGTACGAGTTCTTTTCAACAAATGGCTGGAAGAGCTGGTCGTAGAGGAAAGGATTCGCAAGGTTTCTGTGTCGTTTTGCAATCTCCTGATACTCATCCTAAACATGTCTTTCAGCTTGTAACTGGCAATGTAGAGGCAATTACTTCGAAATTTTTGCCAACTTATGGCTTGGTTCTTAATCTATTACAAGATGGCAAATCACCACAACAAGTGAAAGACTTTTTAGGCAAGTCATTTGGTAACTTTCTATTTGCATATGAAAGAAAAAGACAAGAACAAGAAAAGGAAAATGAGTTGCAAAAATACAATAGTGCGATGAAGACTTTGACAGAAAACAATATCGTACTGGAAGAATGGAAAAGATATCGTAGATTGCAACAAAAGCTGAAGATGGAAAGAAGGACTTTGAGATATCTCACAAAGCAATGGATAGAAATGCAACGTCAACTTGTCGAGGAATGTTTGTTATATGCGAATGTTGGAGTTGTGCTATGGATAGATGACGATAGCTCATCAAATATTTTAGAGAACATGCATTATGAACAGAACGAGACGATGATAGTTGAAGACGTTGACAAAGAGCGACAAGTTGCTTGGCTTTTGAAATCCTATCCATTCAAAGATAATGAACTTTATCTTTGTTTTACGGAAAGAAATCATTTTCGTGTCGTAACTTGTTCACAAATCCTAGCTGTATCACCAAATGATTCCCCTTTTGTTTTGCAACCTGATAGGATAGAATATCTTATGGAAGAATATAACAAACAGAGACAGCAGGATAAGGTGACTTGCGATAATACTTTTTGCATTGGAACCGAAAGGACTGCAAGTATGTTAGTCAACATTCCCAAAGAATGCTATCTATTAGAAAACATGAAAGAAAGAGACCCAAAACTTTTATCGCAAAGAAGGAAAGTATTACATATCCTAACGCAATTGGAACAAAGTCCAGTACATCATTTGAAGAATCGCAAAGAACTATTACGTTTGTATGATAAAGTAAACAAGTGGCTGAAGAAGAAATCACCAGAAGAATGGTTGTTTACTGATGCTTCCCATACGGAACATTATTATCATCATCATCGATAGAAGAATTGGACAAGTCAACTTCAAGCTATGATGACCAGATGACAAAGTCTTGGGATTATGTGCAGTCTCTATTGAAAACATTGAATACTTTGAGCTTTATTGAAAATATTAGATTCACAACAGAAGAGACTTGGTATCGGGTGACAGCTCTTGGTAGATTATGTGTTGCTATTCGAGGAGAAAATGAAGTATGGCTATCTATTGTGCTGGGCTATCTAGGTGGGCAAGTACAAACCTATGAACCACATCATTTGATAGGAGTTGTCGCCACAGTAATAGGTGATCCTATAAGAGAGGACGCAGTGATCAATTGGGAAGCTTCTTCCATAACCTTGACATTATTAGAACAGTTACAAGTATATTATGATCAAGTTGTGAGTATTCAAAATCAACATGGTATTGTCTGCTTCACTCGTATGGAACCTGGCTGGTCAGGTATAGCAGAAACTTGGGCGAAAGAAGCCAATTGGTCTAGACTGGTTTCAGGTACAAGTTTGGATGAAGGTGATATTTGCAGAAATCTCAGAAGAGTTTTGGATATTCTAAGACAGATTCCACGACTTCCTGCAAGTTTGGGAATCATTTCAGAAGAATTTCGCCTTTGTGCACGAAGAGCAATGGCTTTCATGAATCATTTTCCAGTTTGTGATGATATTACATATTCTTTAGAACTTGACTAAACTATATACCATACCCTGAGTTAAGTGTTTACATTCTACTCTTGAAAAGTAGTTTTTTCTTTTTCATGATATTGTTCATCTTCTATTTGTTGCATAGTCGCAGCTAAAGTTGCAGAAAACGACATCGAAGATAAATTGGCAGAAAGTTCATCCATACTTTTCTCTAATAATGGCCAATCTTGCGAAGAAATAATTTTTCCTTGCGAGTTCTCTTCTGAATCTCTTGGAAAATCAAATGAGTTGGATATTTCTGTATTCAATTGTCCATACTCGTTATGCGAACTCAAAATGGCATTGTTGTCTGAAGTTGTCGCCAAATGAGAATTTGGAAACAATGCGTCTTCTCGTAACTCTTCTTCCTTACCTGTTACAACTTCTGGTAAGGAATCACTAACAACTTCATGATGTTCATCAGTTCTCAACAATTTTGGAAAATATAACATAGATGAGGAACCACTTTCAAACCGTTCATGTTTTCCAAGAACTGCTTTGGTTTCCTGATGCAAACTTTCCATAAGATTCTTTAAAGAACTGCTATCTTGGTTAAAAGACTCTTGAAAAGGAAACGCTCTTGGATATGAGAATTCAGCACTTGGATTATCCATATTCATATTCCCTTGCTGCTCCCCTAGAGCATAGCCTTCTGAGACGTTATGACCAGATACTCTCAACTTATGAAAATTGCCACTCGATGAAAACTTGACGGAATCTTCTTCATCTAAATTTTGTGATAAAAGATATGCAAAATTGCTCTTCCTTGCAGTTCCAAAACTCTGGAAGTCTCTCTTCGAACTCTCATCAAACGAATCTTCCTCGCTTTGAAAACAACCCAAAGTAGTTTTGATGTTTTCAATAGTCTGTAAATTCTCATTAGGTGCTGTTGTTTCATTCTCTTCATCCTCATCTTCCATTTTTCAAAGCTTCTTTAGAACAACAGACTAAAGGAACAAAGATACTACCTACCATATCTTCCTCTTGCAAAGTTCTCACCTCTTTGATTCCTAGAAACTACCATACTACCAAACTTTGAAATAAATTGGGCTTGAAGTGAAACCAGTTCTGCTTCATACTCCCGTAAACGCTTCTTTAGAATTTCGTTCTCTTCTTGTTGTCGAGCAACTGTTTCCTTTAAACTCTCGTTTTTTCGATAGAGAATTTCCCCCAAGTCTGAAAGAAGATACTCTTCAGGAACAAAAGGCAAACCAAATACTGGGTTATAACATATAAGGTTAGGACTCTTTACAAAGCGTTTGTCCTTCACAACTCCAACAGGTCGATTGCGTTGAATGCCAACCCACAATTCTGGTTGGTCACGTTGAAACAGCTCGTGTGAGAACTCATAACTATAAAATAATATCGTAAACAACTATTTAATCACTCGCAAACTCAGCCTGTACCGTTTCTGACTACACTTGTGAAAGCCATATTGGTTCAGTTGACGAACAAAGCTTGATAAGTTTCCATGTTTGAAATAGTTGGGTAGTATAACACTAGATGGAAAGCTTTACCAACATATTCCAAGTTTTCATCTTCACACTTACGTCGAAAATTGTCCAGGATCCCAAACAACAAAACTCTTCCCGTTGGGACTCCAGGAAACAATGTGATTAGTAGAAGGTTCTTCTATAAATTCGACCAACTTGCGAATGAAAGGAGTACAGGTATTGTTGTCAAGTTGTTCTCCTGACTCATAAGTATCATTCATCACTTTTCTCAAGTGGAGGCTTTCGTTGATCAATTGAACATTTCTTATTCCAATTCCATCGCATCTTTAGTTGAAGAAGTATGACTCGTCGTGTAATTATCATTTTCTTCCGAATAAGACTGTAACCAAAAAGGATTTCTTTTGATATCATTTTCAGCAGTATAAGGTACGATTTCATAGGTTGGAGTGTTTTCATAAATATGCCATTCTGCGGTCTTTAGTGTGTGACCGTGTGTAGATCTCTGTTGTTCATCACATAGGAGTTGATTGTTAGTTGAAAAATAAAGTTCTTTGAGAGGATTAAGATTAGCAAGTTGCGTATCTGTTACTGTGAGAGTGTAATTATCCCTATTCTTATCTCTGGATAGCAACATATGAATCACTGGAAAGGGGTCTTTTGAAGACCCAACACTTTCATCAGAAACTAAACCTTGGCTGGAACAAGTTTCACTCATATTGTCTTGTAAGTCTATATATTCTTTGTGCAACTCAACAACAGAATCTGTTCCAGTATGGCATCTTTTGTGTTCCAATTCTTCCGAGTTATCTTTGAATACGAGTCGTGAGTTGATGTTGCATCTATCGTCTCCAACTTACCTAGTAAACACTCATTCGTTCTTTTACGCTTTTGAGGCAATGTTTGATAGTTGGGAGTGTATGTAGACCAGTTATTCATATATATATCTATATGAAAAGAGAATTATCCATTTACGTACATTGTGATGAACATTATTACACGGAACATTCTTGAAACTTCCTTTGTTCCAACAATGATAACAATATTTCATTGGCATTGTTTTATCGAGTAACTAAACAATGTAGAAATAATAATATAAAGGAAAAATATCAACTTTTCATAAATTGGGTTAGTCTATAGCGATCAATGGTTAAATGTTACTCATGAAGAACTTCAACGACGAAGAGCATAATAGTCAATTGACAGACGAAGTTTTACCAGAACCTGAAGACGCACGAGTAATTGCAAATATATTAAAGGCTGTTGGTGTAGAATCCTTTGATACCCGTGTGGTGGCGCAACTTGTGGAGTTTGTATATAGTGCGTTGAACAGCTTCTGCTCCTTATACCACTAACGCAACTTTATACCAGAATATATTGGTGAAGTATTGGAATTGTCGAAAACTTTTGCCCAGTATGCAGAGAGAGAAGACATTAGACAAGATGATGTGAAACTGGCAATATCTTCATTACTTTCCAAGTCTTTCACACAACCTCCTTCAAGAGATGTACTATTACAGCTATGTCGAGAAAGAAATGCAGTTCCTCTTCCAGTTGTGGATACTTATGTTGGTATTCAATTACCGCCAAAAGAGTTCCAGCTTACAACAAGAAACTATCAGTTGAAAAGAAAAACGGTATTTGTCATTTTTATTTAGGAAACAAAAAGTGAAGTTTTTCACATAGACTACTGAAAGTGTGGCTTCTCAAGAGCTGTCTGAAGCTACTGGCAACATTAGTATAGGAGAGTCATCTTTACAACCAAATGAAGAAGAATCCAATACTATGAATACTTGAATACTAAACTTCATTCTTGTTGAGGGGGAAAATTCTTTCATTGGAAGACCCGCACTTTGTGATCGTCGTTGAAAAGTATTCAGTTTTAGACAATAAAATATTTGGGTCTAATATGGAAGTTTCCAAAGCAAACGGAACAGAGAATAACGTAGAAAAATTCGACGCTGCTACACAAGAAGCTACGTATTTAGACGAGGCAGATGTCGATGCGGTATGTCGAGTGTTGTGAGCAGAGGAAGACGTGGTTGACCTATTTTTTGATTTAGGAATTGGAGGCCATGAAAAAGAGATTACAAGAAATGGAAGAAGAAGCGAATCGACTAAAAGAAGTTCAAGAACAAAGTGCCTCTGAAGTTCCTTCTTCGGAAGAGGTAGACCGACGCTCAGTATATGTGGGCAATGTAAGTCTTCTTTGACCGAAGCTCTTAGTTTTGTTTTAGAGTTATTTGTTTAGGTTGATTATGGTTCAACTCCAGAAGAGCTTCAAGCCCACTTTAAGGAATGTGGAACTATCAATCGAGTGACTATATTATGCGATAAATTTACTGGACATCCAAAGGGTTTTGCATACATAGAATTTGCGACAGAAGAAGGAGCGAATAATGCGGTTATCTTGAATGAATCTCTTTTTCGAGGTCGTAACTTGAAAGTTTCAATCAAACGAACCAATGTTCCAGGAATTAGTACTACGGATAGAGGGAGAGGAAGAGGATTTCCTCGAGGTATAGGATTTCGTGGAAGAGGAGGTCTAAGAGGAGGATTTCGTGGACGAGGTTATCATGGCTTTCGAGGGCGAGGTCGAATGACACCTTATTAGATCTTTGCAAAGTTGTCCATTTCTATACATCGACTTGTTTTGGAGAAACGAATTGTGAAAATAAAAGAAATAAAAACTGTAAAACTCTCCGAAATAGAAAAGAGAGTTATTTTCTCCTTTTTGTGCGTTGTTTTAATGATTGCATAAATTGTTTTCTTCTTCTTTGTTGAATTATTCCAGTAACTTGACGTTTCTGCTTGGCTCGATTGGTGGTTGGACCGGTCTTGAACTTTTGTTTGGAACCTTTTCCATATTTTTGTCGATCATTACGACCTTGTTTTACAGCCGCTATTCTCTCCTCCTTACTTCTTCTCCTTTTGGTCTGAAAAGTTTCAATGTCAGCCACAGATATCGCTTTTAAGGCATTCTCATCTATAGCAATGGTTCCCATTCCTAACTGTTTCAGTCTCACAAAGTCATTATCACTTAAAATGCGCTGAGTGAACAGATTGCTATCATAAGCATTGTCTTGAGTAGAATACTGGCTATTCGTTTCTTCTATAAAAGAGTCTGTTTCTAGAGAGGAATCACTTTCTTCATAACAACTATCAGAACTATCCCAACTTTGAGAGCATGTTTCATCATCTTCCTCAGAAGAGACAGCAATCAAAGATGAAGACTCGGAAGCGAGAGCTCTCTTTTCTTTCATTGCTCGAATATTTCCAAGTTTTCCACGTTCCGACTTGGCAAGCAAACCAGGACATAATTTTCGATAGACAGAAAGAAGAGACCTTGCAGCCATCATAACACTCTTATCCTTTGAAGTTTTGTATTGAATAAGGTCCTCCAAAAGTGCAGTATCGATGGCATTCGGTTGTTTCTCACATAATAAACGAATGGAATTCAAACCTACAGCACAAGTATCGGCTGACATTTGAGGTATCACAAAGTGATCTGCAATGTATCGAATCACCATTTCAATAGTTTCCAATGGAGTATATTCATGAATGGCTTGTAATAAAATAACTAATATTTTGGTAACTCCTTCTTGATGTGGACGAAGATATTTCAGTAGATAATGAATAAATGGAGGAATATCTAATAGATGAAAACCGACAACTCGAGCTATCAGTTGGATAATGGCAAGTCGCAACTGAAAACGTTGATTCTTTTTCTTCAACTCTACAAAAAGCTTTTCTGCAAATTCTTCCGGTTGAAACAAAAGAGAGACGGGAGGTTCAACTTTGGGATCCAATTGATGCTTTCGCCTCCTTCGCCGTTCGCTTTTACATATTCTTGAAATTTTCCGTTCCAACTGCCTTCTTTTTCTTAAATTCTTCTTACTAGTCAATTTATAATTGTTCCACAACTCTCTTGTCTTTTGAGAAACTACAGCGTGCACTTCATTCAAGTGTTTCTCTTCTTCATCAGAACTAGAATAAGAACTGTCAGAGTCATCATCCTCTTCAAAACGTTCCTGTAAAAAGAAATGAATAGCAATCGCTTTCATTTTGGTATTCTCATGAAAACAACAAGAGGACATGACATTGCAAGTTGAAGCATCTGAAAGAATACCTTCTGCATAAAGTCTCACTAATAACAATAACGTTTTCTGGGCAACCTTTTCATGACTGTCTTGTAGATATTGATACAGAACAGACTTGCATTGGGAACCAAGTTTTGAACCTCCTTTCATTTCCCTTTCCACAGCCTTTATAGTCACTTGAAAGAGATACTTCCTAAGTTGTTTGTCCGAACAATGAAATAACTGAAAGTAACAAGGCAACAAGTTGGAGATATCATAAGCCGAACTTTTTGAAAGCGTGGCAAGTGTCCGCACTAACTGAAACCTCAATCCAGGATCCAATACTTCTCCGTGCCTTTGCAAAATTTGCACCACATCCTGCAGTATTTGTTGAGTAACCTGAAACTGGGCGACGCTGTTTGCAATACTAGTGACAAAAATCAGCAACGAAGATATTTGTTCGGTACGACTAGCGCTATTTGCAAGTGTGAGTTGCAAAAGCGACTCTAAAAGTTGCAACTGTGCTTCTATATCTTTTTCATATGCTTTAAAGTCAACCTTACAATAGTGACACAACTGTTGCAGTTCAGAGTTCATTATTATTATTATTAAATGGGTCTCATCAACTATCGATCAAAAACCATTTCCTCTAAATGTCTTTCTCTTATCAACCGTTATCATCGAGAAGTGAGACAACGTCTATGATCAACTGGTATAGGGAAGGAAAATATCATAAGGAAGCTACTTTTAGTTTTCAATTTTTGCGCAACTTGTATACAATATTTATACTTTCTCAAGTTTCCAAAAAGGATAGATATTTATTAGGATTGTGGAGTGTACTTATCGTCATTAGTCTTTTGTGTAGTTACCAGATTATCTTGATTCCTGGAAAAATATATCAATATTTGTTGGAAGGAGACAAGGAAAATTTTGTTCGTGAATTGTGGACTCTTCTGTTTTGGTGCATATTGATAACCTGTATTCGTATATCTAGAGCAGCTTGTCAAGCTGTACTGAGCAACAGAGCTAGAAAGGCTGTGACAGAATACATACAGTCCATATACTTGTCCAGCTTTTCCTTTTATCTTCTTCAGAATTGCAAGGACTTTCCAGATAATCCAGATCAAAGAATTGTTTCTGATATCGAACAACTTTTTGAGTTGTTTTATCAGACTCTTGGTGGTCAGTTGGGTTCCAGTGGTCTAATAGAAGCAGTACTCAATATACTATGGTACTCTTTTCAGACTTTGGTTCGTTGTGGACTTGTAGGAATTGCCATTGCATATGCGTGGTCGACTTTGATTGGCGCGGTAGAAACATTGCTAGTCAATGTTGTATCACCTTGGATATTTCAACAAGAAGTATTTCAAGCTTGGTTTCGCTTCCTCCATATTGATTTGAGAAGAAATGCAGAGTATATCTTGTTTCAAGGTGATGGCAACTTTGAAAAGCAAAGGCTACAAGAAGCTCTGGAATCGGTAGTCGATAATCGGTATCGTATTATTTTCAGACAATTGGGATTGAATAGTGTTCAAGTTGGTTATGGATACCTGACCAATCTTATCATGTATATAACCATAGGCATTGTGTTATTGCAAGGGTCATACTGGAGCCTTGAGAAGGATTCTGCCAAGGCAGAATGGATTGCGCAAACAAGTGGTATATTTATATCGTTATTATATGGCTTTACGACTTTGATTCAAAGAGGAACAAACTTAAGTAGCTTGGTACCAGTTTGTACTCGGGTAGCGCAGTTATTGGATAAACTGAAAACTTTGACCCATACTTCGATGGAGTCATGTATTGAATTGCATAGGGATCGCATTGAAGTATGTGATATGGTAGTGAAAACTTTAGATGATAGAGTTTTGTTGTCATCTTTATCCTTCCAAGTTGCCAAAGCAGAGTCATTGTTGATATGTGGACCTTCAGGTATAGGGAAAACTTGCATTATTCGTTGTCTTCGTGGTTTATGGACACCCTTAAGAGGAAGAATTTTTCGACCTGCCTTGAGCGAAGTATCTTATCATGGAATTTACTTCCTTCCAGAATATCCTTATTTGCCTCCCAATTGTTCATTACGTGAGCAACTTTGTTATCCGAAATCAAAAAACTCCCAAAAGGAAGAAGAATTAGAATTATCCAGTCTCTTAAAATATGTAGGTCTATCCAATCTACAGCATAGAACAGGTGGATTGGATTCTCAAACGGACTTGGCTTTGTTGCTGTCAGCTGGAGAAAAACAAAAACTTTGCTTAGCAAGGGCGCTCTATCACAAACCAAGTTGGATAGTAATGGATGAAGCTATTTGTCATCTTGATACCGAGTCAAAACAAGCAATATATGAAGTATTAAAGTTCCGAGGTATTGGATTTATTACAGGTAAGACACTGAAATTGCCAAAAAAAGGATTGGATACTGATGTTGAAGAATAGTAAGTCATGACGAGGAATTGAAAGCCGTTCATGACAAGATTTTGACTCTTTCGGATATATGAAAAGTCTACAAGTCGCTACCCTTTTTGAATATGGAAAAGACTAACAATATTTTAATATTTTCTCGAAAGAAATAAACTATAGACCTGACTCAAAGAACGCAATGCAGTGTATATGTGCACTTTCTATTTCTCACCTTTTCTGAATCTTTTCATAGTTCTTTCTCATTCATTCATTGTGTTCAAGTGCGCGTTTATATTGTCTCCAAGACCTACTTAACATGCGTAAAAAGACATGTCCACCAGGTCCTTGTAAATCGGGAGGTATTTCAGGCTCTATTGCGTCTTCCGGAATATGAACAACTTGAGATAACAAATACGACCCTTTGATAACTGATGCAGCGCTACATTCCTTCAATGAGTCAAATGATTCATTCACAGTGTTCTTCGCCATTTGATATTCTTCTTGTAAATGTTTCTCTAAAACATTGTGTTCCGCAGTAGCATTCTGTGAAAGTCTCCCTGATTGGCCACTATCTTCAGAAGGATTCTTTGAATTTTCTCCCACATGAGATCCACTTCCCTGTTTTGAAAAGATGGATCTATTTTCAGCATTTTCCAATAAAGATGAATTGGTACATTCAAAAAGTACTTTACATATCGACTTTTTCGAGGTGGTCTTGGATTTCTCGCTCCATTGATTTCTCTGTTCCACTGGAGCTTCTTGTCTAGTTTCCTGATAAGTATCAGGAGATACATTCACATAAAGAAAACCGCTTTGATTGAAAACTTCCCTATCTCTAAGACATTTCATCGAACCATTAAAGATAGGAGGAATGTGGTGAGGAAATGCTCCAGGTATCCTTGGCGGTTCAAAACCATAAGATGCAAAGGCTGTAGATAATAGTTGATAATGATATATTTGTTGTTGTACACAGCACCACAAAAAATATTGTTGACTGTTTTCGAAAGTCTTACAATCTTCTCCCTTCTCTTTCAAGAGCTCAGTACCTTCTTTTCCATGTATAATTACACTCTTGTGTGGGTTGCCATAAAAAGAAAAAGGGTTATTCTCGCAATTGATATTCGATGACATGGAATCAATACCAGGGTGCATAGTAGCAATATTTAGATAGAATGTTCAAACAAACTTTCAAAGGAGCAAAGTAGTAATCAGATAGCCTTCCTTGTCAATTTGGCTTTTGAAGAGAGAAAAATGCTTGATGATGCGTTGACAATCCCAACAACAACAAAAATGGGGACCAATGGGATTTTGCAAAATCAAAAGAAAAATGTCGTTTCGTAGAGCGTGGAAGCCAAAGTTAACAAACACCTTTCACTGCGCACTCAGGGCAAGACAGTAGTAATAAATACTTGTTTTGTTAAACGACAACGATTGGTTAACCCAACAAGGTTATGAATAGCCCCAACCTTTGAAGATGACTTGTAGACTTCGAGAGCAGACTCCAGGTTATACGTAGTCACAGACGCCTCTTGCCTTACTGTTCTTGCTAGGGCTTCAACCACGTTTGTACAAGAAAGTGATAGTTCAAGTTGACCCAAAAGTAAAAAACAGGAAACACACAAAAATTGTTCTTCCACAGAAACCAGACAAAAAATATGGTTATGAATAATTTCCCTCAGAAAATTGAGGTTACGTGTGCGATTTTTTTGAATGAACCAAATTTAGCAAGAGGTCCATTTCTGACCATTCCTCCTGTCGATTTCAACGTCTAGAAAAGTCATAAAATTTGCATTATTTCATGCGGCAAAATTATACATAGACAGGTCTCGAGTTCCAAGTCTTATAGCTTCGCTCAACTTTGCATCATAGATAAAGATGCACTTGTTTTTGTGTACTAGTTAAATATCTATCCTCTTTATGTCAGTCTCTGGAGTTACAAGACACAGCTTGCTTATGAAAGGACAACGTTGACGTTGATTTGAGAAATTTTTGGGCGCTAAGGGCAACAGAAGAAGGAGGGAGCTTTGGGTTTCGGGAGTTTGTATGTTCGGAGAGACTTCCACGTTACAACCTTCTTGGCCACTTGAACGAAGCACTAGAGAATTCTTTATTGAGCAATTGATTGGCATATTTTCCAAATTGTTCAATAGAGAAAGCCGTGCAGTAAGTCATAGATTGAAAGATTAACCTTGCTTCGTTAACAGTGGCTAGTATATAGAAAGGATCGTCCGTGCAGAAGAAAATAATGCCTTTTTGCACTCTAAATCTTATCGTCAGTATAGTCAGCTACTGTCAGAACTTTCAAGGCAAGCAGAAAAAGCAAGCAACAAGTCTTTCGAGAACAATAGCGTTGGATCAGTAGAACCAAAGAAGAGTCAAGGGGGAACCTCGGAATCGATGAGCGGAAGCCTGAAGACAAACAAAAGAGATAGAAATGGTAAGTTGTTACTTTCAAATCCTCGCACAGAACAAAAAAGTTGGAAGCTGGATACCGGAAACTTGATGCTATCTCCTTTGCATCATAATGGCAGCGTTGAGTCTTCAGGAATTATGTCGACGGCTTCTTCAGATTGTAATAGTGTTGTTTCTCTCCGAAATGAGGAACGAGACAAGTCGGGATTGAATCCAACTATTTACAGAACAAAGTCTGAGATGCTTGGTCCTTCTAAACGTGTGCTACCTTCAAATCCTTCTCTCGAAGTTGCCAATTCAACGCAGGCCTTTTTTATTGCCTTGAAGAACAAATACAAGATACCCTTTCGCTTTTTAAAAGGCGTAGTTCCTATGATTGAAGATGATACAGTTTGTCCAAAAGAATTGAAACATCGAATTCAGCAGTTTGCTCATTTTTTGGATCTTGAAAGGGATCAATTTGTTGAGTTAAACATAAAACCTGAAGTTCTTATGAATCTAGACACGACCATGGATACCATTTTGCATATGTTTCGTCCACTCTTGAAGGAGGTTGTACAATGGGTGGAAACGTTTGGTCGTAGCATGTTTCAAATGGAACCATCATACTTGTCGAATCATTTAAGTTTTTCAAGTGAAGAAAAATCATCAAATAGTACTGCAGATTTGTTGCAAACCAATCCTTCCAACAATCAACAATCAACTTGGGCATCTGAAAAGGAACAGGTCATTTCCATTTTGAGTAGTAAATCGTCTCGTGATGGCATTGTTGACTCTAAGCAACGTGTAGACCCTTCGAAAGTGGAGAATGAGGAGAGTTGTATCAGTGATGAATTGAATAAAGACAAGCCTCCCTGGAATTGTCAGTTGCAGACAGCTGCAATAACAACTATAGACTATGTGCAGCGTTTTACGAAGTATATGTCTCAAGTAAGCATCAAATTTGTATGTTGGTTCATTTTCTCAAGTTTGTTAGTCTAATGCCTTGAAGGAAGGAAGGTTGCGTGGACAATGGGAGATTTTGAAAAGCTTGAAAAGTATTTCAGACACTGGTGACCAACAGTTTGTCCATGAAGAACTATATGGTGCGTATGAAGTGGTTTCTTTTCATTGGATAGATTGCTTATATTTTTGACTTTTCAGAAAATCTTAAATTTGCTTGCTCATCTGTGGAACGAAGGTATCCACATCTTCATCATGAGTTGTATTATGATGCTGTTATATACATCATTTGCAAGGCGAAGTGTACTATTATTCAATTGCCTCTTTTGTTTTTGTTTCCAAGTATAGAAAATGATGGAAACGTGTTTTTCTTAATACAAAACGAAGCTTGTGGTGGCGGTGAATTAGGAGAAAGTCTGATAACGCATTTTTATGAACAAATAGCAACACAACTAACTTTAACGAGAAATGTGTCTTCTATTCTTAAGATTTGGGGCCATATTACTCAGTCATTTATGGAAATGATCTTAAAGGAGACGCGTAAATCGACTTGATAACATTCTGCTGTGCTCACTTTGACTATCTTTGTTGTATTCACTTTGTCAATCCTGAGTTGATATAGATTCAATTTTGATATTTCTCTTGTGTAACTCTAGTGATGTACTTTTGTGAGTAAGGATGTACATATTTAGAACTGCTGTATGAGTGAAAATAGAAAGAAATGTTTTTTGAAGACTAGTTTCCGTCAGCTTTTTGTAAGTCCTTTATAATGTACAATTGTATTTGGTAATGAGGATAAAGCTGTTGATAGGATATTCGCGATTCTTTCAAGGTCTGAAGTCATATCCTGTAGAATACACTATTACAAATTGTTACTACAACGAATCATTCTATACATTTGAAACTCGCTTGGGATAGTTGTAGCAAGGAATCCCAAGTCATCTATGTAAACTTGTTGCAAACACGATCCTTCTGTGCTCTAATATTGAGATGGGAAGGAATCACAAAAGACCGAGTATTGAGAGCAACTTGAAAACTTTCTAGAAGCTCTCTGTCATTTTGTTTCGACTGCCGATCGATTGCTTGCTCGACTTGGGCCTTTAATCGATTCACTGCTATATCATCACAATAACTACAAGACTCCAATATCTGAATATCTCTGTAGGCATTAAACAGGTCGCCTATATGCAGATAAGCCTTGGCACGTTGAAATACTGCTTTGACTTCCATCGGTCTCATATTAAGAGCAGCATTACTATGTAACCATGCCATATAAGGTTTAGACAGTCTATTGTAACATATTGCCAAATTACAACGTAAGCCAACCATAACTTCACGAAAAGATTGTTTTTCCAACATTGTGGCGGTAGCGTGAGAATACAACATATCGAAAGCTTCTTCATATTTGTCTAATGCATTCTCTACTTGTTCCAACTGCACGGAAGGATTACTCATCAAATGCTTGGCCTCGTTCTTCAACTGAGAAACTGATTCTAAAATACAACTACTTTCGTTTTGTTCTACAGAGGTTGTTTCTCCACGAATGACATCAAGTAAACTCAACTGCAATACAACTATTTAGTGTTATAACTCAAAAATGCAAACAGAGTCTCACATGTAGAGAAATGGTGGACTTGTTTGGGTCAACAACATCCGACGATCGTACAACGCATTCTGAACCAACATATAGGTCAGAAACTATTTGTTCCAGGTCTCTCGAATACTATCAAGTCAATTCCAGTTAGTGCTTATTCAGAGAATGGGTGAGACAAAAACGAACAAAACCTCTACCCAGCGGAAGCCAAAACTTGAAGAGTGACTGCTCACTTTCTTCAGTGTCCTTCTCCTCGACAAAATTATTCATCAGTTTACATTGCACCAGACACTTGTCGCCTTGTCTTGGACGATCTCCAGTGCCTGACTTGACAAGTTGCAAAGTACCATTGGTTAGCAATAACGTCCAATTGAAAGCCATGATTAAAACGGATTCGGATTTCAGTATCTGCAACAACTTGAAGAATTTCATTTGGACGTATATGAAGTTGTCTTGAAAATGGGAGTAGGAAGTTCGACAGCTTCAGGAAAACTTGAGAAAGCTTTAGAAACGGAATTACCTGATGACGAACGATATTTTGGTTTGGAGAACGTAAGTAGTTTATTTCTCACGGTATATTTTTACCGAATTTGTTTGTTGTTGTTCTTCAAAGTTTGGAAACACTTGCTATTGCAGTTCTGTATTGCAAGCTCTGTATTTTTGCAAACCTTTTAGGGAACGCGTTTTAGCTTATAAAAAAGAACTACTGAAGCGACAACAAGAGCTAGAAAGTAACGGAATTTCGGAACCAAACCCAGGGTCTTCTATGAATGGAACTGCAACAAACCATGTTTCCTCTGCCTATTCTTTTAAAAATGCCTTTAAAGGAATGGGTAGTGCAGTTGGGCTTAATTCAAAAAAGTCTAGAGGCAGCTCTGAGGAGCAACGATCAGAAGCTATGTTGCCAAGATCCAGTGTCAGCACGAGAATCTCTAAGGGCTCTGTAGGATATGACAAAGAAAATTTATTGACGTGTTTAGCAGACTTGTTTTACCAAATCAATACTCAAAGGAAGCGTATAGGTTCAATTGCTCCCAAGAAATTCATCGAAAGATTGCGAAAAGACAATCAGTTATTTAGTGGTTGTATGCATCAAGACGCGCATGAATTTTTAAACTTTATTTTAAACGAAATAGTCGAGATACTTCAAAGAGAAGAGGAAGCTAAGAAGCAGAAAATAACCAAGAAAGGGAGAAACAGCCTAGATAAGACCGATGAGGGGTCGGATTCACCTCGTACTTGGGTTCATGACTTGTTTGAAGGTCTATTAACCAATGAAGTTCGTTGTCTTAGTTGTGAAAATGTAACGCAACGTGTAGAATCCTTTTTTGACCTTAGTGTTGATATTGACCAGAATTCATCTATTACGAGTTGTTTGCGCAACTTTTGTTCGACTGAACTACTAACAAAGCATGACAAGTTCTTTTGTGATGCTTGTTGTTCATTACAAGAAGCAGAAAGGTCTGTTCGAATCAAGAAGCTTCCATATATTCTCGCTCTTCATCTAAAACGCTTTAAATTTATGGAACAATATCAACGCTATAAAAAGTTATCCTATAGAGTTGTGTTTCCTCTGCAACTTCGTCTTTTTAATGTTAGTGAAGATGCGGAAGATCCTGACCGTTTATATTCTCTTGTTGCAGTTGTTATTCATGTAGGAAGTGGTCCTAATCACGGACATTATGTTTGTTTGATTAAAAGCTATGGTCGGTGGATTCTGTTTGATGATGAGTGTGTAGAACTCAAGGATGAAAATGACTTGGAAGCAGTTTTCGGTAGTTCGTTTGAAATGGGTCCCAGTTCTGATGCAGGATATATATTATTCTACGAGACAGTTCCTGTGAATATGAGATAATGAAACTTATGTAATACTGTAAGAAAGAAAATGGTAACTATTGAAATAATTTTCTCTTTTATGGGAAAAGCCTATTGGGAGATCCACTTAGTATTTGGCTTGGGAGAAAAGTATAAACTGGAATAGTAACCAAGCCTTTCACTCTATAAAATATTCTGTTTGAACTTTTGTTGTTTGTTGTGGGATATGTCCAACTCGTTTCCAAGGTTTCCTTATCCACTATCTTTTGAAGAAGGTTGGAGCTTCATATGGAACAAGGGCTTCTTACCACTTCAACACTGTCTCGAGTCGGGAATGGACTCGAGAAAAAAATATGGCGCCGAACAATGGATGGCAATTTATAATACTGTGTATACATTATGTACTCAAAAGCCGCCTCATATTTATGCCGACCAACTCTATGCCAGTATCAAGGAAACAGAGGTACAGTATCTGAAGGAGAGAGTCTTACCTAGTGTGAAAAGTTTACACAACGAGTTTAAACTGAAAGAGTTGGTACACCGTTGGGAAAATCATAAAGTGATGGCAAGCTTTTTGCTTCTATTTCCTTTTTTCGTTGCAGTCAACTTAAAGTGTTTTGTAGATGCGATGGATTCGAAAGATTTTCGGTTATTTGGACAGATTTTATGTGAAACGAGCACAGAAGCCAACTTTGGACGAACTAGGTTATGAATGCTTTCGAGATAATGTTTTTCAAGCTGTCAAGGCCGAAGCAAGATCTATCATACTCAGCCTTCTTGAAAAGGAAAGAATGAGTGAAACTGTGGACCAGCTTTTGATACAATCTGTTGTCCGTATCTTTATTGAGTTGGGAAATGGATCCTTGAAACTGTATACTGAAGAATTGGAAACACCCTATTTGAAAGCAGTTGCTGAATATTGTAAAGGCGTGTCAAACCGTTGGGCAGAAGAAGACTCTTTTCCTGTGTATATGATACGAGTAGAAGAAGCTTTAGAAGATGAAGTTCGTAGATGCAAAACTTATTTCACCGAACAAACAGAAGAAAGATCTTTGTTAATTTGTGAAGCTGAATTGCTCGACGCACACCAACACAAATTGTTGATGAAAGAACAGTCTGGATTTATACCATTACTTTTGCAAGGAAGAAAATCTGACTTGGCAAGATGGTATAGGTTGTTCTCTAGACCTGGTGTTTCACAGGGTATTGAACCTGCAGCGGAAATGTTACGAACCCAGATTTTGCAAGAAGGAAACGATGTTGTAAAAGCATTTCGTGCAAGATTAGAGCAGAATGATAAAAATGGAGGAGAAAAAACTCTTCATGGACAGGAATTGATTGAAACTTTGATGGAAATTCATGAACGGTAAGCATTAAAAAGGTCCGTTACTATTGCATCTAATAGAGTTTGGTGCAGATATCTGGAAGTCATTATTACTTGTCTTGGAAGCCATACACGATTTTATAGAGCGATCAAGGAAGCTTTTGAAAGCTTTTTGAATCAACCTCTTGGGAGTGTAACTTGTGCTGAATTGTTATCGACGTATTGCGACACACTATTGAAAGCCAGTGGAGAGATACGACATCTTTCAGAAGATGCCATTGAGGATAAACTGGAGAAAGTAGTAAAGCTATTTAGCTATCTTTCAGAGAAGGATTTATTTGGGGAGTTTTATCGAAAGCAACTTTCAAAGCGATTGCTTTTTCAACGTTCATTGAGCGAAGACTTGGAACGCTCCTTTATTACCAAGCTGAAGATGACCTGTGGCTCTCAATATACGTCAAAATTGGAAGGAATGGTGACAGATATGCATTTGAGTCGAGAAGTTCAGGAAGGTTTCCATGTTTGGCTTCAGTCCAATGCTATTCAACAAGTCTTAGGCAACATAGACTTTAATGTGACTGTTTTAACTACTGGACATTGGCCAACTTACAAATCTGATGATATTTGTCTGCCAGAAGAACTTGGTAGGTGTCTATCCGTATTTCAAGAATATTACGATAGCCGCACTTCACAAAGAAAGCTTCGTTGGGTTCACTCTTTGGGCGTTGGTACATTGCATTGTCATGGCTTTCCTTTTGCTAAAGGAAAAAGTTTTGAGTTGCAAGTTAGTACCCATCAAATGTGCATTTTACTGTTGTTTAACGATACAGAGCGACTTTCATTTGAAAGCATTCATGAGTCTTTGAATGTTGGAAATAGTGAACAAGATTTGGAAGGTCTAAGAAAGTACTTGAATAGTTTGTGTAGTTCTAAATATCCTATTCTTCGCAAGGATACAACAGGAAACGATCAAGAAAATGCGAAGAATGATGTAAGTACAAAAAGGGTGAGGTCTTCTCGTTGTTTGCTGAAGAATATACAGGAAATGTATGAAATCAACTGGAATTTTGCACCTCTATCGCGGAGGATCAAGATTCCGTTATTAATGGCAAGAATCAATCAAGAAGAAAAGGAAGCTACACGAACCGCAGTGGATGAGGATCGTCGTCATGCTATAGAGGTTTGTTACTAGAATTTTTTACATTTTTGAATACTTATTATTATTCATATAGGCTGCTATTGTTCGTATAATGAAAAGTAGAAGAACTATTGATCATCAAAGACTGATAGTAGAAGTTAGTCAACAATTGATGCAATTGTTTAACCCGGATCCAAAGGTGATCAAGGCAAGAATAGAAGATCTTATCACTCGAGTAGGTTCTCTTTCGCGATTATTCGTGCGTTTATATTGAAATCATCTATAGGAATATATTGAAAGAGATGAACAAAATTCTTCACTGTATAAATACGTCGCATAGGAATAATTCTTTTATTGCGAACTTTTGTTTTTTGGTTATTGAACATAAAGAAGTAACTTTGACTAGTCTTATCATCACTACTTTTGTGCAATAGCCCTGCTGGCCCAATGGATAAGGCACTCGGCTCCTAACTGAGAGATTCTGGGTTCGAGTCCCAGGTAGGGCGTCGACTCGAGTGGGCATGTAAATAATCGAAATTTTTGTCATTTATGACTTTGTTGAGGAATCACTTGGGAAGGCATTGTCGATTGTTTTTTGGTTGGAAACATCATTTTGTATTTCATTATACCTGTACCTACTATACAATGTCTGACGGTGGCGAGAAATTTGTACAAGATGGTAACCAAGAAACGAGAACTAAGGAATCAGTAAGTTTTGATGTCATTTATCTCTTCTCTTTGTTTTACATTTATACTTGTAGTCTCAGAAAGAAACAACAGATATTGAAAAGCCTCGACAGAAACTTTCCAAAGCTGAGAGAATAGCGTTAAGAAACCAAGCGAGTTTAGACAACAGTTTGTCGACGAAGATAAACTATCTTTGCGTCCAGGACGAATCAACACAGAACTTTGGCGAATATCAGCTTGTTCAGTCACTTGAAACGGTTTCAAGAAGCACTATTGTGTTTACTTCTGTTTCTAGTTTAGATAAGGAGAAAGTTGGCAAGCAGGTATGGATACGTGCGAGAGTTGATACAATCAGACCGAAAGGACGAAGTGCCTTTTTGGTTTTAAGACAATCACAGTATACTTTACAAGTGAGTTTTACATATGAAGAGTTATTTTATTTATTAGTCAACTAATATTATTTTAGGCAGTCGTTTCAGAGTCAGAGAGAGTTTCCCGACAAATGATAAAGTGGATGACCAAGGAAGTAGGAGAAGAGTGTCTTGTAGATATTTACGGCAGTGTTGTTGCAGCAGAAGTAAAGTCTTGTTCTCAACATGATGTTGAACTGCATGTTTGGAAGCTATACATTGTTAATAAAGTGAAAGCGAGACTTCCTATTCGAGTCGAAGATGCTGGACGTCCAGACTGGCAGGAAGGTGTTCATGTGTTAAGAGACACAAGACTGGATAATAGAGTTTTAGACCTTCGTGTTCCGTCACAGCAAGCAATCTTTCGTATTCAGTCCGGAGTTTGTCAACTTTTTCGGGAAATTTTGTTACGAGAAAGCTTTATTGAAATACATTCTCCTAAAATAATTGCAGGTGCTAGTGAAGGTGGTGCAGAAGTTTTCAAACTGAATTATTTTGGACAAAATGCATGCCTTGCTCAAAGTCCTCAACTTTATAAGCAAATGGCTATTTGTGGTGATTTGGAACGCGTATTTGAAATTGGACCCGTCTTTCGTGCTGAAAATTCTTATACACATCGTCATTTGTGTGAGTTTATTGGATTAGATATCGAAATGGCCATTCGAGAACATTATTTTGAGGTATCTTTTGTCAAAAATTTGCTATGTGATAGGTTTTTATTTCTTGTTTAATTTGAATAGGTGCTTGATGTTTTAGAACGATTGTTCATTGGTATCTTTGAAGGCATTTGTCAGCGTTTTGCAAGTGAAATTGAGTTGATTCAACAAAAATTTCAAATATCTCCCATTACTTATCTTCCTGCAGGACAAAATCCTCGATTGCATTTTCCAGAAGCAGTGCAGCTTTTGAGAGATAACGGTTATGTTCTAGAAGACTTGGAAGACCTTTCTACAGAGAATGAGAAGGCTTTAGGAAAGATTATAAAGGAAAAGTATGGAACAGATTTTTATACATTGGCAAGTTTCCCTGCAGCAGTTCGACCATTTTATACGATGCCTAAAGCAGACGATTCTCGATATTCTAATTCTTTTGATATGTTTTTACGAGGAGAAGAAATTGTTTCTGGAGCACAGCGCATTCACGACTCGGAGTTGTTAGAAACTCAAGTAAAAGCAAGAAATATTCCTTTATCATCCATTGAAGATTACATTAATGCCTTTAAATATGGAACTCCACCACATGGAGGAGCAGGAATTGGTTTAGAACGTGTAGTCATGTTATATTTAGGTGTTGGTAATATAAGAGAATGTTCGATGTTTCCAAGAGATCCAAAAAGATTAAGACCATAAAGAATGGAGATTCCGTTAATGGATTCTTCCGAGTTGTTACAAGACAAATATGGCTTTTCTTTGGAAGACTATTCTTTTCTCTTCTCCAGTCAACCAAAGGCAGTGACACAAGAGTTGACTGCGGATAATATTGAAGGAACCATTCCTAAAGATATTATCGGTTCCTATTTTCTGAATGGTCCTGGTCTGTTACAAATAGATGGAGACTGGTTTCACCCGTTTGATGGACACGGATTTATTCGAAGTCTTACGTTTAGAGGCGATGGTTCTTGCTTGTATCGTTCGAAATTTGTTGAGACAGAAGCCTATTTAGAGGAAACGAAAACTGGACACGGAGTGTATCGTGGCTTTGGGAAACTTTCGGGAGGTTGGTGGCGGAATGTTAGGTTTGACTACATTTAGCAACTTTTCTTATGTACATTCTGATCTATCGTTGGAATAGAGCAAAGATATTTAAAGTACCTGCTAATACTTGTGTGATCGAATGGGCAGATAACCTATTATGTCTTCACGAAGGTGGTTTACCTTATGCGTTGGATCCAAAAACACTGGAAACAAAAGGACAATATAGTTTTCAGAATAGTTTAGCAGCAAATGTATCTTTTCTTGCTCATACTCGACTGGACAAGGACAACAACCGACTATTGGGTTGTTCTGTTGTTCCTGGTCGTCACACTCGATTGACAGTTTATGAGTTTCGGTCAGATGGTTCACTATATTCTCAAATAGAACATTCCATTGCTGGTCTTTGTTATCTTCATGATTTTTGTTTTACCAAGTGAGTATATTTCTGTATAGACATATACAATGTGACATATTGGGATATTGATTCGATTGGTAGAAATTTTTATATTTTTACTTCGTCTTATTTGCAATGGAAGCCTTTGTCTCTTATAAAGGCATTGGCGGGCTTCGAGTCTTTACCAAAAGCAGTTACTAGCCACACTTTCAAAGATGCCGATTTGTTTTTGATTCCACGTCCTGATTCGAAGCTTGATCTTGAACCTGTCTCTTATTCATTGAATGAACCCTTGTTTACTATTCATCTAGGCAATGCTAGTGAAGAAGATGACAAGGTAGCAATATATACCTGTTCTTTTAAAGATTTCGTAATAGGAAATGAGTTTGGTTATTATCCTTGTCGTCCTGGTTATTTCGACCCACGTGCCAATGGAGGTGGAGCACCTCAGTATCTTCTCCGTATAGAAATAGACTGGAAGAGGAATCATTTGAATAAGAAATGGATAGATCATACAGCTTGTGACTTTCCCGAGGTGCATCCTCATCGAGAGGTGAGTTGAATAAGTAACTTGATAATTTGTTGTTTTTTTATACAAAATTTACTATAGGGAAAGAAGTGCAGATATCTGTATGCTTGTGCTTCAGCTTTTGATGATCTTCCTTTTCCATTCCAGTTAGTCGTCAAGTATGATTTGTTTCAAGAAACCAAAGAAATATGGCATTGTGGAAAGACGGACTTTGTGGGTGAAGTAATATTTATTCCTAAGATGGATGTTGAAGAGGAAGATGTTGGATATCTCATGGCGGCCATTTATCGTCCCAAAGGGCGATGTGTTGAATTTGCTATTTTTGATAGCCAACAAGTTGCCAAAGGTCCCATTTGTCGTATACGATCTCCACAACCATTTCCATATGGTTTTCATGGTTCCTTTGCAGAAGATGTTGTTGCATAATAGTATTGGGATTGATAGAATGTTGGGTGGGTAATACTGTGTAGAAAATAAAAAGGAATTGCAATACTTTATGAACTGCCTTGAATGTATTTGTCATAGTCTGGTTCGTCACTAGCTTCTACATGGTTATTATTCATAGAGGATTTTCCATTGCTTTGTACATTATCCTTGAAATTTTCCGAATAATTGTTATTGTTTTCTTTAAAAGTTGTTGGACTGGAAGGACTCTTATCTATCTTCTTTATGGTGGAAAGATATCCACACTGTGGAGTATCAGGAGCTGCATAAGTAACAAAGTCAAACTGAGGAATCAATTGAGTTCCTGTTTCATCCAACTTTAGATAACCGCCCAAGTCTTGTTCAAGATAAGGTAGTTCTGTTCTTGTCACTTTATACTCCTTAGGAAAGACATATTCTGCCAAGTAATAACCCCCTCCAAAAATAAGGACCAATAACGCTGTTCCAATGGCTGCTTCCCTATCCGAGACATCTTCGTGCTAAATCATGTCCAAGTCAGTAACTGAGTCCAACCATTCTCTCCCAAACAAGACTACCTACCATGTCCAACTGTCTAGAAAAGTCACAATCACCGTTCAACTCGTGATCTTTGGGTAAAGGTGCATGAGGAGGTTCATCAGGAGCCGTTAAACCTGAAACTGCTCTCACATCTTCGTTGTAAGATAACGGCATAAAGTGAAAAGTTTCCTTCTCTTCACTTGATTTTAATAGTTGGGAGGTATTGAAATATCTCATAAAAGACGTTCCACGAGAAAAGTTAGCTGTAGAAGGAATACTTGAAGTAATTTTACAAGGTACTTGCAAACGCAGCAAGGAAGAAGACAGTTTCCACAAAGTTATTGGAAGCATCCTCATCGTCTAATAATGTTGTCAAGCAACAAGAAGAGAAATGATTTGTGAATGATTTCGTTAAAAGCTTTTGATTGTTTCAAAGTAGAATAAAATATATGTTGAGAAGAATTTTAAGAAAGTGAAAGGCACTTTAATCACTTTGTCAATATATAGAAAGATGTTTATTGGATTGATGGCGTTTATAGGTATTTCTCATGTTGGTCATTGCAGGAGATACTCAAGTTGGACAAGTATATGTTGTCGTTCCAAATATTGTTTTTGTTGGTTTTCTTCCAGAAATCAGCGTTGGACAAGAATCCAAGTATCTTATTTAGTAAGAAGAACACAAAGACAGCCTGTTACCTGTGCCTACCGTCGACCACCTCGAAGGAACTTGATTCCCTTAAAACCTTCTCCAAAGAATAGATTACTGGCGTTTCTTCCTTACTTGATGCCCCTTTTAGACGGTGTTGTTTATGGGAGATTTGTGTTTGCTAAATATCCTGTTATTTCTGCTTTTATTTTCTATCCATTGCAACCGTTGCTAATTGTCTATCGAGGTATTCCCTTTTTGGCTTTTGTTCTCTTCGCCATGTTATTCTACTTCATTGTTCGTAATGAGACAGTGGACAATTTTATTAGGTTCAATACTATGCAAGCTATTCTCATAGACTTGGTATTGATTATTCCCCAAATGTTCCTTCATGCAACCTCAGCTTCTGGAGCTATACCTCCTGGTGTAGTAGAAAGCCTTTGTAGTTTGGTTTTCTGTGCTATAGTGGTTATCACTATGTACGTCATAATATGTGTGGCTCGAGGCAATAAGCCGGATCAAGTGCCATTGATTAGTGAAGCTTCACGAGCCCAATTGAATCGATTCTTTTGAGATCGGCACATCAAAAATAATAAATGTCGGAAGAAATCTTTTTACGTGGTGCTTTACTGAAATGGGTTCATCACTATGGAGTTTTCAAAGACTGCAAAGACTTTGTAGATAGTTCTTTGAAAGAAGATCCTCAAGTGGTTTTAGAAAAGTTTCACCAACTCATAAACTCTGGTTGTCAACAATGGGATAGGAATGGCTTGAACACTTTTCTTGATACTTATTTTCAACCACCAGGTTCGGATACCATCCGTTTCCAAGTAGAACAAAGTGTTCCCAATTGGTTCGACTTGCAACTTGAGTTAAAAGAAAACTTTGCGGCTATTCTAAATAGGGTAAAAGACGATCAGAGAGATTCTGTTCTTTCCTGGGTAACTTATCTCTTCGATTCTTGGCGATCTCTTTGTTTACAGGTGCATCCACAAGTCTATGAGCATCCATCAAGGTATACGTTGATTCCTTGGAAGAAGCCTATGATTGTAGCTGGAGGTCGTTTTCGAGAGTTTTACTATTGGGACTCTTATTTCATCATAAAGGGTTTGTTGAGTTGTGGACTATTTACTTTAGCTAGAGATATGGTGGATAATCTGCTCGATATGGTGTTCAAGTTTGGTTTTGTTCCCAATGGAGGTCGTATTTATTACCTGAACCGAAGTCAACCTCCTCTCTTAAGCGATATGGTTGCCATTCTTGTAAGAAATTGGTGCGACGATAACCCAAGTTTGCTCACATTTCTTCATCGTGCTCTACAAGGACTAGAAAAGGAATATGAATTCTTTTCCAATTATCGTTCAGTGTTTATAGGTGAACCACCAAGAATGCTCAATCGATATATTGTGAACACATCTGAACCTAGACCAGAGTCTTTCTGTAGCGACATGCGTTTGGTGAAAACATTATCTGAAGAGCAACAAAGAGAACAGTGCTTTTGTGGATTAGCATCAGCAGCTGAAAGTGGTTGGGACTTTTCTTCTCGTTGGTTTGAAGATGGATGCCATCTTCATACCATTTGTACTCAAAATATTATACCTGTATGTCTGAATAGCATTTTACTTAGAATGGAGTATCAAATAAGTAGTTTGTATCAGAATTATCTGTTACTCGACTCTATGGAACCCTTATCTTTAGATACCAAGAACCAATTGGAGCAACGTATTGTCTGGTTCAATCAACAACGTTCTATTCGTGCACAAGCCATGAGACATTTTCTATGGGATAAGCATTCTCTTCAATGGAAAGATTATGATATGAAAAGGGAACAATGGACTCAAAGACAATTTTCTTCTTCTGCTAGCAACTATCTACCTCTTTGGTCACATTCAATAGAATACTTGGTTTCTAGTCAAGAAGAAGCCAAAGGAATTGTAGAAAGTTTTTCGAATAGTGGATTGTTGCAGAGTGGTGGTGTCCTGACAACTACTTTTGAGTCGGGTCAGCAATGGGACTCTCCTAATGCTTGGCCTCCATTACAGGTATTTATTCATATTTCATTGATCAACTTGAATCCTCCTATGAGAATAGGATATGTTAGCTGAAGGGTTTCTTGCATTGGAAACATTTGCACCTGGTTGTGGAGCCCTACAAATAGCATCTAAAATAGTCACTCGATATATTCAATCTAGTTATCATGGCTGGTATGCAACTGGATATATGTATGAAAAGTACAACGGTATGTTGAATAGTGGACAAAGTGGAGGAGGTGGAGAATATAAACCACAAATTGGGTTTGGATGGACAAACGGTGTAGCTTTGTACTTTTTACGTCATTACGCTGGATTGATTGATTCTCAAATATTTTCATAAAAAGAAAAATATTTGATAATATAATGAAAGATTCGAATTGTATTTTGCCTAGTTATTACACCATATCTTTGTTATATGTCATCAAAGAGTATTCAAAGACTCTGTTCAGAGTGTTTCTGAACTTGGTATTTGAGAATGGCGTAACCAAACAAAGTAAACTAGGCAATAATAATATATATATATATAGAAGGAGTGCATAGTACTTGATTTGTCGTTTCTCTACCAAGTCAAGTCTCCAAAGCTCCCACACGCAGTGTATAGCGATCGTTTGACGTGTCTCTATCTGTAACATTTGTTGTGCTGGTTGCATCCAATGAATGGCGCAGAAACACGTGAGAAAATACGTAGTTTGTAGTCGAAGAAATAAAGTTAGACACGACAAGGATTCCTGTTCTTCTTGGCTTAAAGGGAAATGTCCCAATCGCTCCTGAATCAGACACGTTCTCTCACATTGTGCTTTGAGACTATTTTTCAAATTGATGATTTCGGTTGGTGGCGGAGTTGGTTTGAATTTTATACACCGAAGATAAAAAAAATACGACTTGTTATTTTTCGAATTGTTGCGATTCAACACAATATTTTGTCGACACGCTTCCGTTTCTGTTGTTGTGACGTAGTAATACCAAGAGACTTTTTATAGTGTAAAGTTGCGCTAGTTTGATAGTTTTTTTAAAAGACGACGTTGCTTATTTTGGAGAGTGTCTGGAGATTCATGAGTTTTCAACTTGTTCAATTCAATGGCACCTTCAAGAGGTTCAATATGGAACTATTCTTTGTTAGATACCTTGCACTCATTTTGGAAACCAAACACTGAAGAAACGTTCATTGAAGGATTACCGGAAGGATTGGTGGGTTGTCCATCGAACAGTTTAGGGGATATCGCTGTAGATAATAGTCACACAATTGAGGCTACCAGTAGCATTAGTATTGGGAACAGTTTGGGAAGCCTATCATCAAAACTTGAAAAAGGGTTGAAAGAAGAAAGAGAAGAAACTCGTCAACATTTCAAGGAAAAAGATACCGCTAATATTGTTCAAGACTCCACAACCCATTGTATTGGTGTTATGACGGAGTTTATTTTCGATTCTGATGGATGTTGTTCACAAATATTTCTTTGTGGTGATTGGAACAATTGGGAACCCATTCCTATGCTAATGGCTAATGATGGTATGCATGTTGTTAAATTGTGTATTCCTATTTGCTAAGTTGTGAAATTTGTCAGCTATTCGATGGTCCATTGTTACTCCAGTGCCTATAGGTTATCATGAATTTGGTTTTGTTTCCGATGAAGGCGTTTGGAAATGGAGTAGGAAGCATCCATGGAATGAAACCAAAGGTTGCAACTGGAGAAGAATACGAGGTCCCAATAAAAGTCAGAAATGGAAAGAGAATCTGTCTCCTAGTTGGTGGACTTTGTTGGGTTGTATTCCTTTATTCATATTACTGTGGATATTGATTGTATTGGAAAGATTCAAAGCGATCTTTATAGATGATACAGTAGTGTTGTCTAAATGTGACTATTTGGTAAATGAATGTTTACGAGAAGAACAACAAACAACAGATAGAAGAAATAACGATTCTTGGTTGATTGGTTCTCAAGACTGTATATTTCAATGTGCTTTGAAGGTTTGCAAAATGTTTCCTCGAACAGACATTTTGATGATTCGTGAATTGCATTGGAAGAGATTGTTTCTTGTGGCTATTACAATCTATACTTTGGGGAGATTCTTACCAGAAATTTTGTGGATTCTATTACGATAGAATATCCATTCTCAGCACAAAATATCATCTTTGAATAAATGTAAAATATTTTCTCAATGGTAGTAGTTGTTTCTCTTCATACAGAAAAGATATATTTCATTTCCGGTTTAACAAATCTTTCTGTTTTTTTATAAACCAGGAAAGTCTGTAGATTCTGCTTGATCATAAGCCATTGAACGCACAAAATCGAAAAACTTTTGACCCAAAATGCTCAAAGTATCCTTTTGAAAGAAAATATCAATAGGCTCTGGCCAACGTAAATAGGTCACTGCTTCCATTGGTTTGCCTAAGTCATTGAGATTCCATTATTCAGTATATCCATCAACACATCTCAACCATTCCTTTCATGTACCTTTGGTAACTGCATACGAACGTGATACTGCAGAAATTTGTCTATAAGATTCGACATCATAAAAACTAACTGCATTTTCTCCAGCAAAAGAAATGTTGTTGGCTATAGAACTTCGAACGATAAGTCCCTAAGTACTTTTATACAAACAACTTTCCCATCGATAATACACTACGCACCACCAAGTCTTCTGGAGAACAATAACAATCCTTGGGTTGATTATTATCCTTCATTTCCATACAAGTGAATACAACCGTTGCTTCATGTTTCTTCAAGACTCGGAAGATAGGTGAATATCCATTTCGGTATCGAGTGTTGTAATAACCGGCAGTTAATTCCGATGCATGCGCTTTGGAACGAAAATGCCAATGAACACCAGCCACTTTCACTGCCAAGTGGAACTGACCCGTAAAGTCGTTGTTGGGATTGGAAAGATCGAAAAAAACTTGAGTAGCAGCAGTTAAAACTCTATCAGCATGTTGAATAAGCTCATTAGAATACCAATTTAAGAAAAAGTCACCTATCATACATCCATACATACATACATATATACATGAGAAAGTCAATCGAACAACGATAGAAACTTACCATATCTCGTATTCCACATACCGCCATCATCTCGAAAGAACAATGTCTCTGAAGGTGAGCTATTATAAAACCCAACATCCTTTGCATAAGGAGGATGTCCCCATTCCGATATTCCATGTTTATCTGCTTCTGACTGTAGACGACCTAAGAGATACTTATCAAAACACTGGAATTCCCCAACTCCACAAAAAGTCCACTTGTTCAATTGATAACTAGGATAGCGTAATTCTCCAGCAGGACCCAATCCAATCTGTACTTGACTGATAACATTGCCAAAAAATTCTCGAAAAGTTTCCCGAAAAGATATAAAAAAGTCTTGATAGACTTGGACAGCTGTCCTTCCCATCAAAACAGGTTCTTCATCGATACCCCAACTTAGATATTCGTCATCTGCACTTCCATCTCTACAAGTTGTATCAATATTTATCCTCATAATGACTCTCATTATTCCATGGATTACTTGCCTATCCTTGAAAAAGATATCAGAGTCATTCTCAGCAACTGCAAATATCCACTTGGGCAATGGAATATAACAACGATCACCCACATTTCCACCACAACTAACAAGAATCCAATCATCATCACTCATGGTCAACAATGCCTAAAAGCCATACCGATGAAAGCTAAGTACTGTCTGTAGTTTGAGATTGGCAGACTTCATCAACTGACACAATTCGATATAAGGTTTCCAGTCATATTGTCGAGGCTCTTTTTCTACCAACCCAAACCATATGTCCACCATTAGACCTTCTACTCCAAGTTTCTTCCACTGTTCTAGAATCCAACTGATATTCTTGCCATCATAATCTTTTTTTAGTTGCCCGTCATCAGAAACACTCGTCAGTGGCATCATAACCTAATAAAAACTTAAGAAAAAACCCCTAAAGTAGAGAATAGGACATACATAAATTGGAACTCCAGGGGCATTGGGTATAGATCCACCTTTCATAGGACTGCCTGCAGCATCTTTGTTGTGCAAAGGAAAACTAGCGTGGCTTTTGAAAACAACTGAATAACAAGCTATACAAAACAACACAAAGATGGTCCAGCCTGTGATAAAAGTAGTTGGCCTCGAATGACATCTAGTCCATGTTACTAAGTGTCATATAAACGGCGTGAAGTAATATTACCCATATCTTCTTTTCAATAGATGCATATTCAAAATATAATATTGTTATGGATAACTATATATACATAAATATATATATATATATATATATATATATATATATATATGCGATATCTTTTTACAGAGAAGAATAGGAAATGGCTTCCAACTGAATCCACAAAAGGATTTTTGGAGAGCTTTTAATAACGTCTACGGTTTTCATTTCGATATTCCATACCAATACAAGAACACAGTAAACTTGGATGGTTATTATTACTACCTCGTTCTATTTGAAAAGCAACCCCCATAAAGTCTTGAATATCTCTCAATAACTGTATAGTACAAGGTGTTAGGCGACCCAATTCTACCGTTGATAAATCTGCACTCGATAAGGCCATCCATAAACATATAAAAAGTTGATGTTGAGTATCTACAACACTATTTTCCATAGCTTGGAAAAGTATTGCTTGGGTAGCTTCTTGAGACACACTTGATAATATTTCTTCGTTCCAGTCCTTTCCCTTCCAACAACTATCTGCTCCTAATATAAAGCCACTCGATGTTTCAGCAAAAAGTGATAGACTGATACTAGGTTCATCTGTTCCTCCAGGATTCCAATCGGAGTAAATAAAGACATCCGTCAAATATTCACAAAGGATATTTCTCGAGTTGTCTATCAATTGGCTCGCAACATTGGGAGGTATTCTTGAACAATATGCCATACCACGTATTCGTTTTATCTCTTCTCGATTCTTCCATTCTATAGGCTCCAAAGCCTTCAGGATAATCGGACAAGTGAACAATACTTCACCCAACCCATAAGCAGAACTATCCCTTTTCTTGATCTTGAGACTACATTCCTTTCCTAAACCAAGTTTTCTTAATAAAGGAATGGTTACATTCTGAAAAGTATCCACAGAAGTATCCAAAGGATGAGCAGTTACACCTGTTAGAGTTGCTTCCAAAGTTCTCTTACAATAAGGAGCTAGTAAAGCCAAAAATTCCAAATAATAAGTTAACCCTCTACACGTAGAACACTGATGAGTAACGTTGCCTCCTATCAACACACCAGGTTGTATGGTTACTAGGCATTGTGCTTCATCCAGTTGCAACTGAGTTCCACTAGTTATTCGATCCAACAAACGCAATAAAGATATTTCATTAGGTTTTAATAGTTGGGAATGGTTGGGTTCTTCAGAAAAGTCAAATACAATCTGTTTACCAGTAAATAGAGCGAGAAGCAAACGGTAACGAAAGTTCACTCGACGATGGACTCGAATGGCCATCTCAAAAGACTCAGTTGTATGAAAGTCTCACACTATGTGAATTAGTAATTATTCTCATACAATATTACAAGTAGTTTCATTTTCTAAAAAGAATCAACAAACTTGAGTTTCAGTATTTTCCTTTTGTAATCGCTGCAACTCTAAAAAGTGTTCTACAATAGCTAAAATAGCCGGTTTTGTCTCCATAATACGAACAGCACAACTAAAATCTGCTGTCTTTGCAACTTGGTCGGCGACCTGCCAAAGTTTGGGATCCTTCAACTCCAGTCGACAATCCCAAAAAGTAGTATAGAGTCTCTTCAATATGATTTCCTTAAAATGTTCTTTTGCTGCTCCGTGTGCAAAAGGACTCTTGCGAAGGACGATGTCGTATTCATAATTGGGCAACACTTTGATACCGCCGTTGAAAGGTTCGAAACCACCTTGTCGTTGAAAACAAGCTTTGGCTCTACGAAGGGTCTCATTAAGTTTCCACTCCCTTAGATCATAAGTTTCATAGCGTATGGTGAAACACTTCAGTAGATTGGCCTCATCCGAAAGAGGAGAAAAACGGCCTCTTTCTCTCACAAACATAGCTCGGTAGTCAGGTACTAGAAAATCCTGAACCATTGCTTTAACTTTCTCGGGAAGATAAGGTAACTTTGGTGTTAGTTTTTTATGAGCAGTTTGCATCGTTCTTTACAAGTCCAAAACACCTTATGGGATTGATTCTGATGAGAAATGCATATTTACGTATCAAACCATTTTATTAAAGAACATTGTTCAATAAGTGATCATGATAACACAATTTCAAACTGGTGATACTTGTGTGTAAAAGAAAAAGGCTCTCTATATATAAATTGTACAAATATCCTACTTTGTGATGCCAGGAGGTTTCTCTTTCAGTTCATCAAGTAACGATTGCAACTCTGTTTCTGAAAGCTCATCTAGACGCTTCTGTAAAACTTTATCTTCATAATCTTTTAGCTGTTGAACGTATGTCATCTCTTTGTTGGCAACCCGAGCAAAATAAGACAAGGTCCAAATGCCCATACCAAAGACAGATAATAATCCAGTGGTTACCAACCCAGCAGTTTGTTCTGATAATTGAAAAACATGTTGCAACAACAAATAACAAAGAAAAGAACATCCAGTAACAACGGCTCCTAACTTTAATACATCTCCATTAGTTTCTAAAGCAAAAAACTTGGAGCTAGTTGACTTTTCGGGGTCTTTTTCTTGGTGGGAAGCTAGAATTTCTATACTATTGAACCCCAAACGATTAAGTTGAGAGGTTCGTAAACCACGTCTGTGAAAACAAGGGATACAACTATATCTCGTATAAATACTTTTTACACAACGCTGCCCTTGTGGTCTCAGTTGGATAGGATGTAAATAGCCATAACAATAAAACAACATATCTCTTTTGAGAAATTGCTCTTGACCAATTGTTCTATCTCTCTCTCTCTCTCTTCTTCCACAAGAGACGTCGATTCCTAATGAAACGACATGAATTGCTTGTGCATAAAATGACAAAGCATCCACAATTGTTGTTATATTCTTAGGGTACCTATTCTTCGTCAGTGATAGGCAAAACATCTATGTCTTTGAGTCAACTCAATCATACAAAATTACCAAAACTGTTAAACAAGTGTACCTTTCCTACACTTTGCTATGTAGTAGGAATAGCAGCAACTGTTGGAAGAGCATTTTCTGGAGTCGGTCAACCTCCAGTAATGGGTGTAGTTGCTGACGCTTTAGCACAACAAGGATTCCATTCCAGAGGAACAATCACAACGATATACTTTCTCTCTATCATTTTGGCTGCAGTTTTGATGCCGCTTGCTGGATATCTTTTTGATATATTGGGAGCCAGAAGAACAGGTCTGATTGTCATATTTTTACTGTCTGCTTCGTGTTTTCTATTTGCATATGGAAATATTCATGAGTCTATATCTTCTTTATTGTTGGTGTTTGTGTCCATTCGTTTCTTTGGACAAGGAGCACTCAACTTGGTATCTACAAATATGATCAATCAATGGTGGACCAAAGAGCGGAGAGTCGTTCAAGGTTGGTCAAGTTTTGTTTATTCTTTTGTAATGTTTGGTATTCTTCCTCCTTGGATGATGTGGTTACAAAACAAATATGGTTGGCAACATACTTTGGGTATATTGGGAAGTATAATACTTTGTGTTATGGTTCCCGTTTGTTATTTATTCTACATGAATGATATTCATATGTATGGATTCACAAGCATATGTGATAAAGATGTACAACGATATCCCATAGATGATGAAGAATATGAAATGAATCAAGCTTATTGGCCTTCTGAAGAAGAAGAAGAAGACGATTTTATTCCAAACTTACCACACTATTCCAACAACAGGATAGATAAACAGAATTCTCTACTTTTATTCTCACCAGAGTTGAAACAAGATGAAAAAGCGCTTTGTGAATGTCATTGGATAGATGCCATGAGCAGTTGCTATTTTTGGAAATTTTCTTGGGTAAGTAGTAGTAAAGAGTTGTTATGGAGATGACCATCGACCGACTTACAATCAAAAATAGTGTTGTTTCTCATGGGGATTTCTTACAACTGGCTTGTTTTTTCATTTAAATGCTATATACCTAAAAATGAATGTTTATGGAATAACTAGTGTTTCCAATACTTTTTTATTGATTGGTCTATTTTCAGCTATATTCAGTTTATTCCCAGTCTATATAGATACAACCAATGGTTTGCGTCCATTACGAGTCTCCATGTTTCTTCTGGTAAGTATATCCAGCAATCAGTGGAAGTTCTATCCCATGCCTTAACAAACATATACATCATTTCAGGGTTTGTCTCTTTTGGTCGTCAATTTTATTCATCTGCGCATATTTGAATGGTTACTTGGTGTAGCCATTGGCGGTGTAATGGGAATGATGAACGTCTATTCTGTGGTGTTGTTGGCTGAATGGTTCGGTACAAAACATATTGGAAAAATTGCAGGCATCAATCAGGCTATCACACAGTTGGGATCGGCTTTAGGTCCACTTGTCCTTCTTAAAGTTGCCAATTGGACAGATAGTTATTTGGGACCACTTCTTGTTTGTTCCATATGGCCTTTTCTTACTATTTTATGGCTTCATTGATAAGAGAATGTTGAATATATTATATAACCTTATTGGCTCAATCCTTCTTTTGCAACTTGCTAGGATTGGAGTTGTAAGAAATGATTCCAAAGCCTTTGTTTCCTTCCGAATGTATCTGCATCTGAATATACATCATAGGTCTCTCCAAGCATCAACTCTAATACTTTTTCACGTATTTTCCAAGTCCATGAATAATGGGGAATCGAGAAATTGACTTGTCGTTGTTGCATCGTTGACGGTAAATAAATACTTTGTACTGGTTCTACAACTTTGATACAGTTGGTGATAAAAACTTCCTAAATATTCACATACACACATGTATAAATATGTATATAACCATTTCATGAAACAGCAAATTGTTGCAACTTACCTTCCAATCTTCTATATCATGCAATCCAGGGGCATCGTATAACAATGGAATATGGAGTAGTTGACAGGCCTTTTCTACAAATTGTGCTGCTATTCCACCAAGAACTCCATTTCCTGCAGTCTTTACATAACCTTGGCTATAAACAACAAAAAAATTGGTTGTACTTCCTTCCAAACAAGTGTTATTCTCTGCTACCAACAAAAGTTCCTTTGGATGTTCTTTATTCTTATCAATATGAGTATAATACAGAGGCAAACGTTGTCTATCATTGACCCAAAACCAGATTAGAAGACTTCCCATAAGAAACATGAAATACTTACTGCACCCATAACGAATCTTTTGCACCAGGACACTGTCTCGAAAAGTAAACACACTGTAAAATATGTTGACTTGGATAGTTCCACTGAACTGACGAAGCTCGAGCCACAACTTGTCGTCCCTTGAGTGGAACCAATACGACCACACAAACCGCATAATCCTTTGCGTTTTGTTTCATGAAAGAATGCAGCTTCTTTTCTAAGCAAAATATGGCTTCCCGAATAGTCAGAATAACTGACTCTCTTAAAGACGAAACAGTGCAATCAAAGTCTCTCGAATCATCCACAACAACTTGCTGCTGTTCTCTCAAAGCTTGTAGAGATGAAGCAAGTCGATTCAAATGTCTATTCAACGCAATAATACTGTGCATATTCTTCGCAGTAAGCATAGTCGTATATGCTCCTTGTGGAAAAGCGCATAAAAACTCCTGAGCAGACTCCCAACAAGCTTTAGGCAGCAAGTCTTCCCCAACTGGCAATCCATTCATAGCCAAACCACAAACTGAAGACTCATTGCTCTCAGCTTTTTGTTTCTTCCAAGCGCTTTTTGCCATCCTTTGTCTATTCCTGTTCCTTTATAGTAACTTTATCCGTACTCAATAGCTTCTGGAATGTTCCTTCCCAACATTTATCTTTTTGGCCAAAGTTTGATAAGGAAAAGAGTTTGTCGTTGGTGGTGGAATTGTGTTAGTTTCAAGTTTTTATCATAACGAATGGGAAAAGACTATTATGCTATACTCGGCGTAGAGAAAAATGCAGACGACAGCGCCTTGAAGAAAGCTTATCGCAAACTTGCCGTAAAGTGGCATCCGGATAAGAACCCAAACAATAAAGAGTTTGCTGAAAAGAAATTCAAAGAAATATCTGAAGCTTATCAAGTATTATCGGACCCTGAGAAACGTAAGATTTACGACACTTATGGAGAAGAAGGTTTAGCTGCACAAATGGGAGGTGGAGGTGGAAATGCAAACCAAGGCTTTGGTGGATTCTCCACAAGTGGTGGAACTACGTTCTTTAGGAGCACCTTTAAAGATCCCGAAGAGCTGTTTAGGGAATTCTTCGGGAGTTCAAGCTTTGGTGGTTTTGGTGGGATGAGTAGTATGGATGACGATATTGGAAGCATGTTTGGTGGACCATTTGGTGGTACTTTTGGTTCTTCCTTTAGGCGCAGTGGAACACGACAACAAGCTAGAAAGAAGGCTCCTGATCACGAAGTTCCTTTGTATCTATCTTTGGAAGATTTGTATAAAGGAGTTACGAAGAAGATGAAAGTTACGAAAACTATTGTTGACTCACAAAGTGGAAAATCCTTGCCAGCAGAGAACATTTTGACAGTGGAAATAAAGCCTGGATATAAAGAAGGTACAAAGATTCGTTTTGAAGAGGAGGGAGATGAGAAACCGGGTTTGATTCCTGCAGATGTGGTATTTATTATTAAGCAGAAACCTCATCCAGTCTTTACAAGGGAAGGCAATAACTTGATCATGAATGTGAAAATTCCTCTTGTCAAAGCTCTTACAGGTACAATTGTGAAGGTAGAAGGCATTGATGGTCGTTCAAAAAATATTGAAGTGAATGAAGTTATCTCTCCTGGGTATAAGAAGATATTAAAAGGAGAGGGAATGCCCAATAGTAAGAGACCTAGTGAAAGAGGAGACTTGGAAATACGTTTTGATATTGTGTTTCCTACTCATTTAACACATCAACAAAAGGAGCAATTGAAGAAAGTTTTGAGTTGATATGGCGTCCAACCCGTTTCAAACTCAAGTCCATCATAAAGAATTGAACCACCGAGTTTCATGGGCATAATCAAGGCTTTTAATTGCTATGTTAGGGTTTCATGGTGAATGTAGTGACAAAGTAAATCTTCGCTACAAGAACTTGTATTGTAAATGTTGTTTTCATAGATGTGCTGCTGATAAACGTTACCATTTCAAATATTTGTTTATTGTTCCTCAACGAAAGAAACGAAAGACCCTTGCAGTTTCCAAGTGTCACTCCATCCGTTCAAGTATGATAGAACCCGACTTTATGACATTTCGTTCCAGAGAACTATTAGAAGAGCCAGTTCCGGAGTCAGAAAGCTTACTGAAAGAATTTCTACAGAGCTGCCCTTTGCGTATACTTTGTAACAGCATGTCACAACAGCACACGCAGGTGTTAACAGGGCAAGTTATTCGAGCAAGACTTCCCAGTATAGGTTTCTTTTATTTTGAAATTGTTCCTGTTATAGAGTTGAAGTAAGAAAACTTAACTACTCTGCCATCTTTCTTTTTTATTTCGTCCAGATATGATACTCCTCCGGGTACACTCATAGTAAGGTCAATTTCGTGGGATTTGTTTGGCTTGGAGGCTTTTGGATCTCTTCACGATAAATTTGACTTGACGCTGTTGGGAGATTTTCGAACAGCTCAAAAAGATACTGGAACGGTGGGTTGAAAATTTTTCTGGATTCAAAAGTGGAGACTTGAACTTGGAAACCAGGTGCTCAGAGGCAAAGCAGATTTGGTAATCAGGTTGCGTTATTCTTCACCTTTAAAGTCAATTCCAAGGTATGAAAAGCAGGATCTCGCTATTGATGGAAACAAAACTCTGAATATCATTGATTTGAATGAGAATAGAAATGTTGTGGAGTCTGTAGGACAAAATGTTACAGAAACTATTTTAAGAAATGTCAAAAAACGAATTGCAAACAGTGTCGTTGCCGAGTATTCACAATGGTTGGCTGAAAGAGCACCTTCTTCTACTGACTCCAGTATACATTAGAATTTTTCAAAGTGATATTGAAAGTCGTTTTGGAGCTCTATCATATTTGAAAGATTGGCTTCGTACGAAAGTGAGATCTCCATGATGTGGTTTGTGAGCGCAAAACTTAAAACTTTTTTTAAACTTTTTTGAAAACAACACGTAATGACATTTGGTTTTAGTTTATAACCAATATTTTGTGACAATCAAAAATACCCCTTATCGTTCAATCAAAAAAACAAACATTCCAAGCTTCTCATTATAACTGGGTAACGTTGCGATAAAAGTTGTAACAACAACTTGGCAATTTCAACTATAGCAAACGTAATTCCTTCATAAGACTTTTTAAGGAAGCTTCTACTTCAGGACTTGCTTCCTATGAAAGAGATGGAACAAATATTTGACATTATTCATCCTCCCTTATTAAAAATTGTGATATATCTCAACTTACCGTTAAAGGAGAACGAGGCGGACCAACAGGCCAACCTTGTAATTGCAAAGCTTTCTTAGCAGGAATAGGATTCGCCATCGAAAACAAAGCTTTGAAAAGAGGAAAGTATCGAATATGTATGCCAATAGCATCATTCACATTTCCACTAAGATAAGACTTTATCATTTCTTGCAATTGACTTCCAATGAAGTGACTCGCTACACTGACAACTCCAGAACCTCCCAAAGCTAATAATGGAAGAGTAAGACTATCATCTCCAGCATACATATGGAAATTAGGTTCCGTCATCCTATATTATGATCAACAAATGAAGAAAACGAAAATGAAATGACAAACACACCTTCGTATTTCACTAAACTGATCAATATTCCCGCTTGCTTCCTTCACTGCCACGATATTATCAATACGAGATAAACGTGCTGTCGTTTCTGCCGTCATGTTGATACCAGTTCTACCAGGAATATTATACAACATCATGGGCAAATCAGGTTCACATTCAGCACAAGCTTTAAAATGTTTATATATTCCCTCTTGAGGTGGTTTGTTATAATAAGGAACAACGTGCAAAGTTCCATCTAAACCCAACTTTGCTGCCTTATGAGTTGCTTCAACAGCTTCTTCTGTGGAGTTACTGCCTGCACCTGCAATGACCTTGGCTTTCCCTGCCACGGCTCCCTTTACTACTGTAAACAATTCATATTGTTCACTCCACGTCAGAGTTGGCGATTCTCCTGTTGTACCAGCTATTATCAAAGCATCGGATCCATTAGCTGCCAAAGTAGCCGCTAACTGCTCGGCGACGGTATAGTCCACTTCTTTCCCATTTCCTTTGAAAGGTGTTACCATTGCAGTAACGACATTCCCAAAGACCAAATTCTGAGTTCCAAAGCCAATAGACTCTGTCTTTACCGGAGTGGCTACTCGTGTCTGACATATCCATCGACGTTGTCTGGTTGAGGAATAAAACTTGGTTTTCTTATTGCAACGAAAACTTGTCACAAAATCAAAACAACTGCGTTTTTCACAGAGTAAACGATGACTTGTTGTGACTATGAACATATCTTACATGAACCACAAGCAAAGGGTCCTACTTTTCTACAATCGAAGAAGAAATGACAAACAGAAAATGTTACATTTTGACCTTTGAAGCATTTCAAGTCGTTTAAGAACGAGTCTCGCGATTCCCTGCAAATGCTTTGTATCCTGTATACTTTGAAACTCCTTTTAAAACTTCAAAAGGTGCAATTGGTTCTCTTAAAAAGACTCCCACTCCTTTTGGTGCAACAACACGAACTTTCAGTCTCCCACAGCCAGTAACTGCAACCCAACCAAGTCCTGAAATAACAATATCGTGACTCGATTGCAACCAACCAACTCCATCGACTTCAAATTCCTTGGCTTTAAAGTTGCCAAGTTCTTTGTACTTTCTCCAAGATATCGGTGGTTGTAACAAACCTCCTACATGGGTTTCCAATAACTCTTCAGCCTTTGCTGTTGTACTTGGATGAACTTTCACTTCATTACTCATAAACACTGTGAAAAAGAAGGGTTTCCCTTGAAGCATTTCTAGTCTCGCTAAACCTCCGAAATGAATACATTTTCCTTCCATCAATCGAAAACTAACCACTCGAACTCTCTTTTTGGGGAGTACCATTTTTATCTCTTCCGAGGTAAGCAAATGTGTTATTTGATGAGGCTGGATAATTCCTGGAGTATCATACATACTATGAGATCTACCAAAATGGATACGAATAGGATTCAAAGTCGTACCCGGAAAACAACTTGTCGTTAATTGAGGATCCTTCTTGTCTTTGAATGCTCGTTTTAACTCTGTCAGACTAAATTGACCTTGCTTCAATCCCAAATAGTTCAGCAGTTCTTGACCAGTTTTCTTTTCGACTGTATTGCTTAAAAGTCTATTAATAAAAGTACTCTTGCCAACATTTGTACAGCCAACTACGTAAACATCCGCATTGAGATATTGCACAAGTCTTATAATATCAGCTTTGGTTTCACCCATCCGATAGTCTTTCGTGCAAGACACAAAGTGAATGCGATGAATCTTTGTCAAACCTCTAGCTTCACATTGGTTCTTTAACCAAACGTAAAGTCTTCCAATATTAATGTCCTTTGGTAAAAGATCAATCTTATTCACTATCAAAATAACTGGATTATTGCCAGTAATAAAAGGTAACCTGGAAACAAAGCTGCCATCAAAGTCAAATATATCTACCATATAAACAATGATACAACGTTTAGAACAAATGTTCTCTAATCTCTGCTCAAACAATTTAAGTGAATGCAGAATATCTTTGTTGGTTGAGTCTTCCGTTGCACCAATCTTAAGCTGGTCCTCTACAAGTGTGCGATGGACCATGTAATAACAACGTTGGCAAACAAAGCGATGATTCTCAGTCAGCTTAAAAGGAGGCACATAACCAATAGTATTGGGATTGTCTGTTTGTAGTTTTGCTCCACAACCAACGCACTTGCCTGATAGTTCCTGAATAAATACGGGATATTTGTAAAACTCTCGGACTAAGGCTTTTCGCTCCTCTGAAGCCTTCCGAGTCAGTTCAAACTCTTCCAAGTCCAAAAAAGGTGAATGGGACGACTGGAACTTTTTCTGATATGACCTGAGGAAATCGATACTGTTCTCCTCTTCGCCATCCTGTGAACTAGTGGAAAAGCAAGTACTCGGTTTCTTGGTTAAACATGGCACTAAAATAAAGTTGGAATGTGTTGGAGAATATAAACAACTGTTATATAGCTTCCAACAACCATTGGAAATGAATCGTCTCAACATAAATACTTTCGACGACTGCACCAAAATGAAGAAGAATGTGGATAATTCAAAACTTATGTAAATGAAATGGGTATTAAAGGTCTCACCAAGTTGTTAGGAGACTATGCTCCTTCTTGTGTTCAACAGCAAGAGTTGAAAAACTATTTTGGTAGAAAGATTGCAATAGATGCGTCGATGAATATTTATCAGTTTCTGTCTGCTGTGAGAGCTGGTGCTGACAATCTACGGAATGAAGCAGGTGAAGTGACCAGTCATTTGAGCGGGCTTTTCTATCGAACAACCCGATTGATGGAGCTTGGAATAATGCCCTGCTATGTGTTTGATGGCAAACCCCCTGAACTAAAGAGTGGAGAGTTGAGCAAACGAATCGAAGCTAGAAGACAGGCTGAAGCAAGTGCAGCGTTGGCCAAAGAAGAAGGAGATGTAGAAGCCTATGAAAAATTCAATAGAAGAGTGAACAAAGTCTGTCATTCCTTGTTTATTAGTGACATGAGTGGATGAATGTTGCCGTTAGGTGTCACCGGAAGTTATTGAACAATCGAAAAGACTGTTGCGACTGATGGGAATTCCTATCCTTGAAGCACCGTATGTATTGGAATATCTATTGAAAACGAAATCAAACTAGGAAAAATAGGGAAGAAGCAGAGGCACAATGTGCAAGTTTATGTAAGGAAAATTTAGTATACGCGACTGCATCGGAAGACATGGATTCTTTAACTTTCGGATCCTCTAAAGTAATTCGGCAACTGTGGGTAGGTGCAACTTCCACTGCTGAAAAGAAAGGAATCCATCCTTTAGAATTTTCACTGGAGAAAGCATTACTTGTAAGCCATTGGAGGAAATCGCATATGTAGATGGTATAAACTCTTGCTTAGGAACTTAATTTTAGCTATGAACAATTTATCGATCTTTGCATATTATGTGGGTGTGATTATTTGGACTCTATTAGAGGGATTGGACCTTACAAAGCCTTTAACCTTATACGCAAACATGGCAATCTAGAAGGAGCTTTGGAAGAAATAAAAGAAAAACACGATGTAAGAAAGAGATATGCAAATGAAAGAAAGAATTGATTTTTATTTTATTTATATAGGTTCCTGATCATTTTCCATATGACAAGGCAAGAGAGCTCTTTTTGAAGCCCAAAGTGCACTCTCCCTCTTCTGTTGTATTAGAATGGTCACCACCTGATGAACAAGGAATCATTCAAATGTTGGTACACGAAAGTAACTTTAATGAAGACAACATACGCAAAGCTTTGAAAAGATTGGCCCATTCCAAACATGCTTCTTCACAAGGGAGATTGGAAAACTTCTTTTCCATAAAGCCAAAGGAGCAACAGGATCCTTCAACTGATAAGAAACGAAAAGCTCCTGTATTTTCACCAAAAAGAAATAAACGTCGTTAACTTTTTTGTCATAGTTTGACAAACTGTTATGGAACTTTCTTGTCCTTTGCAAGTACCTGACATTGGCAATGAAGGTATAAAGTTGGGAGATTTGGCTGCTAATGGTTTGAGTGTCTTGCGTGCTTTTACGCTTCAGAACAGTGCCTCTTTGAAATTACTGGTAAAACTTTCTTCTGATATGGGAAGCCGTGTCAAGTTTCAGTTGGAAAACGATAACCTCAGTAGCAACTTGATGGGAGCAGAAGAACCCACTAGAGAAGAAGAATACAACCAGTTATTTAACGAGTGTGGCTTTATTGATGAAATAGAGTTGGAACCTTTTTCATCCAAGACACTGGTGCTGAACTTCACACCTCGTTCCAAGCTAGGACTTCAAAACAGTATTCTGCTACAAAGGGAACTTATGGAGTCCTTTCTTGAGGGAAAAGGGCGCCAAAAGTTTTTTGCACGCTATTCTTTGGAGTTATTTGAAGGATATTTATGGTTAGAGGTTGTAAGTGGGTTTGAAATCAGACAAGGCGACAGGAACTCTCAGGTAGATGTACCTTTTCGAGAAATTTATCCACACTCATGTACACCACTGATGATAAAAGTGACTGGCCGTTTGTGTCCGTCTGTATTATTACCAGATACTCATGAAATTGTCTTTGACAATTGCTCAGTAGGAGAAACCTATGTACGAGACTTGAATGTATGGAATCTCTCAGAAATAAGTTCAAGTTTTACTTTTGGGTTGAAATACATAGACAGAATAACTTTGGATGGTAAAAGTAGCTATCGTTTGACTGGAGGTAACTTGGGCCATTGGATATATATTGTAGATTATGAGACAGGTGCAAGTATTGAAGACGCTATTGATGTTGCTGGATTTTCTTATCGTAGACTTCAAGTGATTTTCCGTGCTCTTGCGGAAGGTGAAATCAACTACTATTTTGAGATGGAGAATCAAAAAGACCTTCGAAATTCTTTCACTATAAAGATATCGAGTATTGTAACGGGTGATCTCCCGAAAGATACGTTAGAAGTTTTGAATCTTTCTGGTGGTCTAGTAGATTTCGGCGAATGTTATTATGAGGACTCTGTAGCGAGAAAAATAACTATTCGTAATGTTTCCAAACAAGAGCTTGAAATATCTTTAGGAAGTGATCGAGATGATGAAGTTGTATATGAAATTGTGAATGATGATGATCATTTTTCAGGGATAGGTTTTGACTCCGTATCAGATGGAGATATGAATGCTTATTCCATGAGAGCGTTGAGAAAGGAAATTTCTGAAACAATGAGTAAGATTTAAAGACTATTTATAGGGTTGAAGTAAATCATGATGCTTACTAGGCTCTGACGGTTCGGAAACGAGGAAGTCTTCAGCACTAGCAACTCCGGATAGAGTTGCAACTCCAGAAAATCCTATGCCTTTGTCGTTATTAGATACTAGTGGTTATCAGTCGATTGATATTTCTGGTCGTATTGATGAACTTTTGATTCCTGCAGGGCAAGAGAAAAGTATTCGTGTGATATTTACCCCTAAACGTCCAATTCAAGAACATACTCCAACCACGAAAATGTTTTCACTTCGTGAGACCTTGTGTCGGTTGATGACCCAAACTTTTCGGTTATTCTTGCGAAGCAAATCAGTTGGCTCAAAAAGTATTTCTTGCCGAGCTAAAGTTTGTGATTCAGTCATTTCTGTCGAACCCAAGGAAATAGATTTGGGAGAATGTGATATTCAATCTTTGTATCATACTTCTGCTATTATAACGAATATGTCCGAATTGCCGGCATTAATATCTTTTAGATATTCTTCCAAGGCAGTATTTATTGAGTCACAAGAAGTTACCATTCCAACGAAGAGATCCTATACACTTCCCATTCATTATATTCCTCGAACTATAACTTCTGAGTATAAGAAGCAGATTCGAATAGTCAATCGGAAGAACCGTTTGAACGACTGTGTCATTTCTTTGAAAGCTAGCAATATTGATAGGCATCGTGTTGTTTTTCATGCAAAGTTTTATGAGTTATTAACAGAAACGACTACGAATCAAATCGACTTTGGAGTTACAGTGGTTGGTGATCCATCTTTAAGATGCTTTCGGATAAAGAATATTACCAAGTCTAACCTTACTTTGGAATTGAGAGGGAATTCTGAAATTTCTGTGTATTCGGTGCTATCAAAGAATGCGTTGTATGAAAAGGTTTTGAAAGGTATTCAATCGACGGACTATGAACGAGATGAGAGATTGGTATGGAGAAGGGAAGCGGAAATATATAAGAAAAAGTTGAGTTTGGTAGAGAATTTGGATGAGTATTCAAGAAAATTGTTATCTCAGCCCGTTAAAGAAGAGTCAGAAATATCGAGCAAGATGGAACAAAAAAGTATAAGTTGGGAAGAAAAGAGTTCGGAACAAAAGAAAGATGAACAAAGTCTCTTTGATAAGCAACAAGAACTTGAGAATCGCATTCAACATCTTATGGAGCTGGCTTCTCCATCTCAAAGGACGCCAACCTATTTCTCTGATGCTGGAGCAGAACTGGATTATATTGAAACTCAACTTCGAGCCGGTAGAGAGTTAGCAAGGTCGCTTAGAGATGGTTTGCTTGTTCCGGTTAAGCAAGTAACGATTGCTCCCGAAGAAGAACAAGTATTTTTCATTACTTTTATACCAGACACTAAGAAACGTTCATTGAAGGGAAAGCTTCGACCGATCGATAGTATTTTATCCATTCGAATTTTACAAGTGGACGGAACACTTCCAGTGGATTGTATACATTCCGGTATTACTGATGTTTCACAAATCTCACCCAGAGAAGTGTTATTGCTGCTCAAAGCATGCAAATCTGAAATGGAATTGGCTCAAAAGCATATTCATTTCGGTCATGTAACCGTCGGTGAACAACGTACAAAGAGTATTGTGATTCAAAATCGATGTGAAGCTCCCCTTTTGTATGTTGTGAAGAAAAGTGGTTCAGGTAAGTGGAAAGGACTTTTAGCAAGATAATTGACTGAGAATGTTTTGTTTAGTATCCAGCGATGATTTACAATTCGATGCCAGCAAGGTTGGTGTTGTTCGTCCTTATTCATCAAAGGAAGTATTTTTCAAGTTTAAGCCTACTATGGCTGGCCTCTTTCAAGAAACAGTCTTTGTCGAAAACTTATTAGATAGTTCTGCTGACGCTTCTATTACCATGAAGGCAACTGTACACAAGAAAAGTCATTTTCATGTGGAGAATCTATGTGATTCTGTTGTCATTTCCCATAACAGACTTGATTCTTCAGTTGGTGCATTTGTACTTTATAACGATTCGGATAAAACCCGAGATTTTCTTGTCGAATTTGAGGTATTTTGATAATTTGCTTTATTTCCATAAGGTTGTGAAGAATTTTCTAGGCGAGAGACTTGTCATCTCATTCGTTTGAAGAATTGCCCATGGTTGCTTTTCATGTTTTAGAAACTCGAGATGCAGAACAATTTTTGAAGAATTTGTTTCAAGAACAATTGGCTAGTTTAGAAAGCTGCAAGCGATTTATGAGCAAGGCAGCACCTTCTCTATCCAAGATGAAGATTTCAGTGAGACCTCGTGGTCGTGAACTTATTCTTTTTTGGATATCTTGCCAACAACCAGACAAACAAATTTCACATATATTCGGGAATGACTTTACATACAAATTTGACTTGATTATTTTCGAGATAAAGAATAGGGATGTAGAGAGGAGAATTTCGGCAACTTGCAGACTTAGTCATGAATCTGACTTTGACTCAGCCTTTGCTTTGTTAGATAGTAACAGAACTCCTGTTGAGCAAGTAGACAGAAAGGATATGGAAGAGGAACCATTGTTTTCCATTGGAATTCAGAAACTTGATATTGGTGGTGTACAGGTTGGACAGATGGTTCGTCGTTCAATTCGAATAAGTAGTCTATGCAAAGATACTTCACTTACTTTGGAAGTATTTGCCAAGAATAACGTTTTAAATAATTTATGTGACACGTCATGTCGGGTTTACTTTGCTTGTAGCTATGAAAACGATTCTAGTAAATGTGAATTGGCTGCAGAAGCTACTACGGAAATCATTATTGAAATTTGCCCTGTGGCAGTTCGAAAGTTTCATTCGGTCTTTTCAATACTAGGAAGAAGCCACAAAGATTCTACTGCATTTGAAACATCTTTTGAAGTAATATATTTTGGCTACAGCAAAGATTCTATTCGTATTTTGGAATGTCGTGATGAAGAGAGTCTATACCCTTTTTGTACTGTTGCTGATCTGTCAAGACGTTTTGCATGGATTTATCATCTCCGTGTTGTATGTGACGTTCAAGATTGCAACCGAGCGGTTTTAAATGCAAAATCGAATCTTCCTTCACAAATAGTCATATATAGCGATACAAAGTTAGAAACCTTAGCGGAGAATATACCGATTGCCACTGGAATAGCTCAAGAGTTATTTCTTTGCGTTGCACCAAAATTTTCGGAAGACGATATTGTCAACTGCAGTGCAAAGCGTATCGTTGCAGGATTGCAGCTTAGTGTATCAGACCAAGATACTAAAACTGTGTTATCAGAGAGAACCTGGAAAGTTCATGGTATTGTTGGAATTGTGAGATTGGAGTTTTCGTTGTCAGGTTCGAGTTTTTGGATCATTGATAAGGATAATTCTGTTGAAAGTTTGGAATGTCATGGTCAACTAGAACTTCGAAACGGTTCCTCGCAATTTTCCACTGATTTTCATGTAGTCTCTCCTTATCGAGATGTTGTTCTAAACGGACCCATTCATGGCATTTTGGGTTGCTCAAGTAATGGACTATCTTTAATTGATTGCGATAGGGATGAATGGAAGTCTTTGGTTTCACCAGAATGGCTAGAGTCCATGAAATATCCTATTCACGTGATGATATCTTATTCATTTTATCCTCAAGAAACTGGTTATATTGCTAGGAAATTGTATATGGAAAGTGCATCATTTTCATTTCCTGCGCAAGTTTCGTTTGGTTGTTTTGTGGACGATGGTAGATTTCAACTGAAAAGTCCGTATTTACTAGAAGCAGATCATTCATTGCGTGTTCCTATTTGTGTACGAAGAAAGTCAAACGATACTTTTGTACCTTCAGAAGCTTTTAATTTCACTCTCTCGGTCTTCGACGACAATAATTCAAGCGATGATTCTGATAACCTCATTATAATGTCTAATTTTATATGCTTAATGAGCGCAACTAATAAGGAGGAAGCCTTGAGTTTGAATGGCTGGAATGCGCGGTTTTATGATTGCTATGTAGCGAAGGATATTGTGAAGTTGAACAATTCTTTCCAATATATTATTCGACATTCTCAGAGTCTTTCTTTGGAAAAGGATGAAGAGTACTTTTTGCGTGACCATGGTTTTCTGGAAAGGAAGGGCTTCCTTCTTCTGGCGGATGCAAGAATAAAATGTCAACCTTACAACAAAGAAAATTTTGTAAGAAAGATAATTGCGTGCACCTTGTATTATGAATGTCCAGAACTAGCTGTTATATCAGATAATCCTGCATATCTTGGCGATATTGGTCCCTTAAGTGGTATTTTGGAAAAAGAAGTGACTTTTGAACTTGAAAACCAAAGTCAATTTATGGTTATTGCATCATTAGATCATATACCATCCGGTCTGATTCCTCAATTTCCGTTTTTGAAGGAAGCCAGTCACGACATTGTTTTTCGTCCAACAGAAAAGAAAACTATTTCTTTCATGTTAGTGTCAGAGCACCTGGATCAGAGCATTCGTGGAAAGAGCAGTTTGAACCTTTTACTTGTGAATCAAATGAATGAGTGGAACCAAGTGAAGCTGAACATTGAGCTGAATTATTTAAAGGCCAAATTACAAGTATCAGATACTACTATTTTGATGAAGTCTTTGAAGTATCCTCATGGCGCTATTGTGGAGAGTCAACTTGAAGTTACGAATCTCTCTCCGTTGGACTTGGTTTTAGATACAGTCTTTCAACCTACAGCCGAATGGACTTCAGACACTATGCCAGTTGAACTATGTTTCATTAATGGAGATAATGGAAATGTTTGGGAACCCGAAATAACTCTTGAAGGAAGAGGGCATTGTAGCCATTTATTGATTCGAGCCATTCCTCGAGTAGACTCACCTTGGATATTGTTGGAGAAATTGAAAGAGCAAAATGCAAATGAGGATCAAGAGTCGATTCTGTCTTTTATAGACTCTGGTATTCCATTGGGTCAACTCAGTTTCACTCCTCGACGAGACGAACTTTCAGTAGTGTCTATTCCAATCCTTTTTACCTTTCAGTTGGATGCTTTCGTTCTGCATTCACCTAACAAGCTGATACTGGAACATTCTTCAGATTTGAAAAAGTCCATAAGCTTCTGGAATCCTTGGACTGCCGCAACATTTGGTTGTCGTCTAGAAAGTGTCTCGTTGCCCTCTTTTTTGCAACTTCGTTCCACTTTGGAAGAATTTGTATTAAAACCCTCCAGTCAGGTAGACTTTACTCTCAAGTTGATATGGGATCTATCTGCAATCACTTCGGCATCTTATTACACTTCATTGGAATTGGATACTGGACATTCATGTGTATTCACTATTTCTATACCGGACCAAGTATTTTCGAGACTTTCTTATGAACAACAACAACTTTTGGTAAATAGTTCATGGGAATTGGAGAATCTATTTCAAGTCATTATTCCTGTTGAATTGACAAGCTCATTTTTACATGAGTTGATGGACTCATTTGCTGCAAGTCGTCAACCTACTTCGTCACCCGTTGATACTGTTAATAGTCGTGCTTCTACTCCTGCATTCGGACTATCTGAACAAGATATAGGACTAGAACAGCAATGGCTCATGGAAGAAGAAGTTATGGATTCTCTTCCATGTCTTATTTTACGTGGTTGCTCCTCTTTACCAAGCATCATTCAAGAAGTTCGTTATGCTTTAGATATTGGACAAGTATTTATAGGAAGGGAACCTGCTCCTTGGACATTTGTGTTGGAGACTTCCAGTCCAAAACTTGCTCTTTATTATCGCATTTATGTTGTTACTATGGAAGAAGATGATACTTGTTGGATTTCACTTGGCAAACAAGAAGGTCTTTTGAATGAATTGGATCCAATGCATGAAATTGAAGCCTATTTTTCAGCCTTCCGAATGGGTTATTTTCATGGCTATATTAGAATTGAAAATGTTTCCAATCCTTCGGACATTATAGTGGTGAGTGTGAATATGCAAGTTGTTGCCAAATTGGAAACGGAAGAACAAGTGAAGAAAGAGGTGTTTTCTGTCATTTGTGATGGTCGTCGTCGTAGTCGTCAAAATACTATCGATTATTCTGTTGTATTTTTTGATCATGTGTATCGACATCGCTCTTTAGTTATTACCAATCATTCATCTGTGGAACAAGAATTTCTTCTCAAGCATGATTTGCATACTGAAAACAAGTCAGAATTGAATTTCTCTTTGACCAACAATTCTTTGAGGAAGGTTAATTCATTGCATATTCGTTCTGGAGAGTCTGCTCGAGTTTTTCTATATTATCGTCCCGCATTGGAATCATCGGATATGGCCAATTTATCGGATATAACCAAATATGATCAACAAGAAATAATAAGAGACTATCACGTGTTTATTCATTGCCGATTGGTAAAAGATTATCAGGAAGTGATATTAGTGAAGAGTCGTTGTCGGTTACCTCGCTTACAAGTATCACCAGTGGACCAAGTATTTACGATGCATTTATATTCATCTGAAAGTCATCATAGCAGTCATGGAGGTGATTGGTTTCATACCCAATTGGTAACTTCCACTTCAGATACCACGATGGCTTTATCAGGAGGATATCCCAAACCGGAAGAAAAATATGCTTCTTCACCTGGAATGATTCCTTTTTCTTTGAATAACGAATGGTATGCCATTGACCCTCCTCATTGTCAGGTTACGATCCGTAACTTGTCTCCTACAACTCCCTTACATTATCGTATTATGAATAATGCTTTTTTCTTTCAAGTGGAGAATGTTGACGAAACTTTTATCATTCCACCTACCAACTCCATCCACAACAACTTTCGTGGGACAGAATGGACGACAGAGAATTGTTCCTCTCATACCATAACTATCCGAGTGGATCCCAAAGCTTTGTTTCAACGTCAAAAGATTTTACTAAAAGAGAAGTATGTTGAGGAACACATCTCTATTTACAACTGTGATTTACCGAAAGAATTCTTTTGGATTCGCTTGCGACTTAGTGTCGATGGTACAGCAAAGAATTTTACAGCAGTTATGCACAAAGGCACACCAGCTTTTGAAACGTTGGAAGCCATCGCTCAACAATTTATGAAACAAGTTGGCAAAGCATTTCATCATTTGCATCGACAACTGAACAATCAACGGAATATGCTTTGGCAGACGCTTAATGCATCCGATACTCATTCAGCGTCTCAAAGTGGTGATATAACGGATGAAGTATGTCGGCATATGGAACAAATTCTAACAGATTGGATGCTGGAAGATTCGCATCGTCAACTCATGTTTCAAATGCATTATGTGACAGATGAACTTACATATTATGCGCTAAAGGATCCTTCGGATGCTGCATTATTGCTAGCCAAACTTGTATACTCCTTTATTTTCCGATCAAACATTGTTTCGTTGGGTTTTGGAGTGCCGGGAGCAAATAAGAGACACTAGCTTTGTTGTTTTCTGGACAGGACAATTGAGACACTTTTTAAGTTTCTTTCCCGATAAGTTTGACAAGTTGCGCCTTTTGTATTGGTTAGAGGAACAATTTGAAACATAGACGAGAGAAGAAAAAGTTGAAGAAAGCCTTAAACCCTGTTTGCTCTTCTCGTAAGGAACCCCAACATTCTTTGTTTTATCCATTCCTGGCCATATGGAATATATTTACCTTCACGACTATCGTATAACAAACATTCCAATTGTGGCAAGTGTTGTAAAAAGTGCAAAAGGTCGTTTGCCTCATAACGAATGCGTGCGAGGTGAGGTTGTACTTGTCGCAAGTGATTTTCATACCACGAACATATTCCTTTGTAGACTTATTTGAGTGATATGCTTTTATATACTTATTTTAAGAATACCTTGAAGTGCTTCTTCTAAACTGGAATATTCGTAGAAAGTTTTCGAAGACTTGTTTCTATTCCATTGTACCAAAATCAATACTGGAGTGAAGCCCATATGGAAATGCTTCCCTCTTCTTTTTATTAATTTATATGTAAAGATCGATAAAAGAAAAAAATGGAAAGCTTCTTATAAGATATCGATGAATTGCAAAGCGTTAGACTTTTTGCTTTACAACCTCCAATACGGTTTCTTTCTCAACCATACTTTAACTCCGACTGTACCTGCCTTGGTAAAAGCAGTTTCTTGAGCAAACTCAATATCATCTCCTCTTCTTGCTACTACGCCATGTTTCTTTCCGTCACTTCGCCGTACACAAATATCTTGTCTTGGTAACTCTACCGTCGTTCGTTTCTCTACTGCTTCCTTTACTCTTCTAGCATAAGCTTTGGCTGTTTGTAAATCCTTTACAGGATTCAATACAACACAGTCCATATCATACCAATAACGCAAAGCCTTTCTATTCGGTGGAGTTCTCGTGTAAATCCACCATTTGCCGTTCATTTCTACCATTCGATCTATTCCCTTTCTTCTTGCATATTCAAGTATCAGATTGTACATTTGTTGTTGTCTCTTGGCGTGTACAGGAGGTGGACTAAACTTGAAAGGTGCTGTCAATGACATGTCTTTCGCAATCGTCTCTCAATCAGAGAAAGAATAGAAAATTATTATGTTATGGATGGGTGTATCGTTGATTGTTGCAAGTTATGTTTATCGTTCAAATCGTTCAGTTTTGTTGTCATTTCCGATGTCCAATACAGTGATAAACCATGTCAACAAGTATTAGGTATGGAACGAAGATACAGTGAAGCACTAGTCAAGCTGTATCAAGTCATCCGTTGGGTTGGTCAACAAAGGTCGTTGACTTGTCTCGTTCACTTGGGTGACCTCGTCGATGGCAGCGCAACAGAACAACAGACTAGGAAAGAATATTCTCAAGTGTGTGCTGCTTTTGATGATTGTAAAGTGCCGGTGCTTCATGTGGTTGGCAATCACTGTTTGGATGTCTCACGTGATGTTTTGAAAGAGTTGTTTCCGTCGACTCGTTTTTATTATCGTTGGGAACCACACGATGATTGGTGTTTTCTGTTTTTGGATTGTTTAGAAATCAGTTGTAAAGGTGCCATCAATGAACACTATCAACAGGAAGCACAACATTATTTGGAAACACAGCAACAACAACCTCGTGCAACGCGTTGGAATGGTGCCATATCATCCACTCAGTTGGAGTGGTTAGAGAATGAGTTGCAACATTGTCAACGAAAAGTGATTGTAATGGGTCATATTCCATTGGTTGAAGAAGCTTCCGATGCTGCTCATTTGGTATGGAATGCGGAACAAGTATTGGATATTTTACATCGCTATCATCATTTAGTGATAGCCTATTTTGCTGGTCATTATCATCGAGTAAGTATGATACACAACAAATACTTTGGATATTCAAAACTGAGTATTCATATTCCAGGGAGGCTATGCTGTGGATGCTTATGGGTTGCATCACGTCACTTTTCCAGCCATTTGTGATGCTCCAGCTCACCAAAATGCTTGGGCCAAGATTCGTTGTGAACCCCATCGAATCGTTATTCAAGGTTATGGAACTGTTCCTAGTCAAACATGGACATGGTCACCTTGTAAAATATCAACCCAATAATCATTCCTCCATAACCACTCAATATCATCAAAGGAAGAAATGTATAATGGGATAACCATCGTCGTACTATCCAAGGTAGTCCAAGTAACAATCCTAACGTAATTATTTCATGGAAGAAGAATATTCTGTGCTTTCCAATGCCCTCACAATGCAATAGAGCCATACTATATATGAGCCAACTCATCACCACAATCCTTTCCAAACAACCAAATATCAAAGGAACCATACAACTCATGGCAACTACGCTAATCAGTCCTAATACAACCAACCATTCACTATTCATCCAATATAACACAATCATACAAAACTGAGGTATCAAAATAGCTTTTTCATGAACATGCCAACCAAATAGAAAACTGGATAAAAGTACATTCGTTAGTGCTCTCTATATCCAAATAGAAAATATCATAGGAAGATAAAAGTCATGAAGACTTACCATCCATAACCACATCGAATGCATTGGATGTAACAACAAGTGACGCCGTTTCCACAAATCATAAAAGGAAGGAAGCATTCCTAAAACTACCATTCCATGACATATCCAAGGCGATGGATTGGGTAATAATACAAAAGGCTTCCTTATGCCAATCCATCCACGAGTAGAAATATTCCTAGTAGAAGCAACCCAACTATGAGGAAACAGAATCTTAATCAACTTGCTTAACAACTGATCCAAACAACCATAAATAGACCAAAAATGAGGAGCCCAATAAGCGTGCAAAAGTCCACGTTCAAATGGAAACAAACGATTGGTTAATATCTTCAATTGTTGCCAATCATATAGCCAAGGAAATATTCCAATGCTCAGAAACAACATCAATAACAGACTAGATTGAATGAATAAAATACAAAAGGATATAAAAACCTCCCTTCTTATATTTTGCATATCGTTGACAAGTTATTGCAAATAATGAAATAGGAACGATATATAAAAATGTCTGTTTCAACAATACCAACAACGCAATACTTGAAAGGAATGAAATAGATTTGCCCATTCGATAATAATAACTGACATAAAATAGACAAGCAATAAGAAAACCTATTTTATATGACAATCATAACCCATTTTGAATACATAATCGATGACTGTCTTACCATTGTATTGAAAGTGTATATGGTCCACCATAAATAAACTTGGTTGTAATACAAATATGCTAAACTAGTGAAAACTCTCAGCAACGGCCATCTTCCCCCCAACACTTCATTATTCCTACAAATATCTACTATTAATACTTACCATAATAGAAAGTTGAATATCTGATACTTGGGGTTGATATTTTCTCAAGATACTCAAATGTAAATAACCTGCGTGGGCCAAACACAAGTCACATAGAATAACTGTACTTCTCATAACCCACACATCAACGAGTGTGGTAATTTGTAGCTGATCCAATTGCACCAAGTGCTTATCCACAATAGCTACGAGTTGTGCAAGAAACCACTAAGAATGGAAACTCAAAGGGCTATTCTATGCCAATCTCAAGTCCTCCTACATACATACCTCCAAACAAGCAAACAAAGGAGGATAATCCAAAGTCCACTGAGAAGTTGTATCTGAATACCACTTTTGAATAGGATAAGAATAAGTCAAAGCTTTCCAATATCGATGAACATCCATATCTGTACTTTTGTAACTTGGAATAAGCAAACACTGAATACTCAAAGAAAGTAATAACCAAGGAAAACACAAGGAGAATAACGAAGACTGCATGACAAAGTTTCTTTTCATTCTTCTTTATAAAACAACACAACACTGAAGAAGAATTTCAAGTCCGATAAGATAAAAGTGGTGTGGTTTTGGATTTCTGTGCTGCAAACCATTCGGATTGTACAAAGGCAAGAGCATGTTTAGCTACTTCTTCTCCATCTTCCCATTGATTACGCCATATAGCCAATGCTTCTGTGACAAAAGGACTCACAATTGCATTAGAAAAAGATTCAAATACCAAAGGACCCGAATATCCCACTTGAGCTAATGCACGAAACATATTTCTCAATGAAATATTTCCAGTTCCTAAATAGCCACGATGAGATTCTCCAATATGAAAATATCCCAAACGATTATGACAACTGTAAATAGCTGCAATAGGATCATTTTCATCAACTAGAAAAATGATTTCCATTATCTAAACTTATCCAGTCAGTCTCATACTTACTATTCATATGATAGGCATCCAGATGGACTACAACATTGGGCATTCCAATGGCTTCGATCATTTTCAAGGCATCTCCAGCTGTATTGATTAGATTGGTTTCATATTTATTGCATACTTCCAGTCCTAGTTGCACTCCCCAAGACTGAGCCTTTTGTGCCACCCTTCTCAATATCTCTACACTATTTTCCACATTCTGTCTAGTTGCAGCTCGATGATATTTTCCCAATTTGCTGTATATAACTCCACAAACGATAGAAGAGCCAATAGTATGTGCTCTTTCTACTGCTGTCATCAATACTTGTTCTCCTTGTTTCCTCACAGACTCATCCAAACTACTAATATCTGTGTCTTCCGATAATCCAACAGAACAGGACAACTGTAAACCATATTTCTTAGCCAGTTCTTTGGTCGCTTGAGTATCAAATAGGGGATCAATAACAGGTACTTCTACTAGAGAATAGCCTATTTGGGAAGCCACTTTGAGAGCTTTTTCACAATGTGTACGATCCCAACAACCAACTAGATTATATCCATGAATACCTATAAGGTTATTCTTAGGTTGATTCATTGAAACCGAAAAATTTTACAAAGCCAGACAAACCACTTCCTCTTTCTTTCTTCCTTCTCTTCTTATCTTGTTCTGTCTCTTGGACGGGGACAACGATCTAAGCATTTCCTTGTTTGTGAGAATATCTTGAAAGAATTTTCTTGGTTGAATAGGATGGACGAGTTGAAGAAGATAGCCGACTATATGGTGACACCTGGAAAAGGGTAAGTTTCCTATAAAACTATTATTCCTTTTTCTTATTCTATCTCTAGTATCCTAGCTTCGGATGAACCACCCGAATTGTTAGAGTCCAAGTTTCAACAACTAGGAGTTGCCAACAATGAAGAAACGAGAAGGACTTATCGTGAACTATTGTATGGAACCCATGGATTGGAACAATATGTAGCTGCTGCTATTCTCCATCGCGAAACTTTTGAACAAAAAGCAAGTATTCTATGATTTGTGCACACGAAGCAGGATTCCTTTGTTTACACTCCTTTTGATTAGGACTCTACTGGTAAACGTTTTGTGGATGTTTTATTAGAAAAAGGAATATTACCAGGCATAACTGTGGACCAAGGATTCGATATCTTGCCAGGCACAACACAAGAGACCATCACTTTAGGATTGGATAGTTTGAGTACCCAGTGTGCTTCTTATCAGAGAAAAGGTGCCAAGTTTACCAAATGGAGACCAGCTTTTCGTATTGTGGATGATATTAGTCCTTCTGCCATAGCTATAAGTACCAATGCAGAGTTGGTGGGATGTTATGCAGCTATTTGCCAACAATATGGATTGGTTCCTATTATCGAAAGCGATGTATTATTGGAAGGAAGTTATACCATTGAGACTTGTGCCAAAGTATCCAAAATGGTATTGGAAGAAATATATTCTTCTCTGAAACGTCATCAAGTATACTTGCAAGGTAAGAAGAAAGGAATCTTATCCATTCACGTTGGAATGAAAATCATTCTATATAGGAGTGGTAGCCAAACCCAATATGGTATTAGCAGGATTGAGTGCCAAGTCCAAACCTGATCCTTCCACAGTTGCCAAATATACTTTGGATACTTTGTTGGATTCGGTTCCTGCTTCGGTTCCTGGTATTGCTTTTCTTTCAGGAGGTCAAACAGAACAAGAAGCTACTACTCATTTGGAAGCTATTCATAGACAAGCGGTAAGTTTAGGATTATTTCTTGGTTCGAATAGTGGACTATATTGGTTGTGAAATAGAAAATGACCAAACAACCTTGGCAATTGACATTTTGTTATGGTCGTGCACTCCAAGCCACTTGTTTACAAACTTGGAAAGGTAAAGCTGAAAACGTAGAAAAAGCAAGAGAACAATTTTTATATCGTTGCAAAGTGAATGCGTTGGCTTATAAAGCTGCATAGAGAAAGTTGTTTTCAAGTCTCAGTTTCCCAAAACTTTTCCATAATAAACAAACAACAACGCTTCGTTTCCATCCAAAATTGCATTTGTTCCAAATTAGTCACAACAGCAGAAAGACAGACAGACAGAGAGAAAGAGAGAGAGAGAGAGAGATATGCAAGGTCTCCAACAATTTCAAGCAGCAGCTGAGGAACGCAAGTTACAAGGTATAAATATAGATATGAGATAGATACCAACCCTGCTTGATTTGTTAACCACATTGTATTCAAACTAGGTAGAGAAGCAACCCTCGATCAAATCATAAAAGAAAATCAGTCCCTCAAACAACTCATCTCCAGAAACGAACAGCAAATGAGCGCCATCCAGTCCGAGTTGGTACAATTGCGCACTCAAACAGCTGCTCATCAACACAAGTTAGATAATCAGTGAGTATCATCAACTTTTCTCCAGAGTCGTTGTTTTTGACCCTTTTGGGTGCCTCTTCATATAGACCTCCACAAGCCAATACCGAGTGGCAGCAAAGCAATTATGACATTGCTGGAAACAGATTAGAAAAGCAAGTGAAGCAGTTGAAAGAGTTATTTCATTCTTTCCAGTCATCACCTGTGATAGACTCCAAGGAACTCTTTCAATCTTTGGACCAACTCGTTCAGCAAGTGAAGAAAAAGCCAGCGTCGACACAAGACCCAAGTCAGTGTATTGCTCAGTTATTTTATGGACAACAAGCGTTATCTGCTTTGGTATCCGTTCACAATCTATGGCTCACAAGTATTCAGGTATGTGGTGCATGGAATATTATCTTGTGAAAAGTCGTTGTTATATGTATAAATAGAATAGAAACTGTCCTCCAGAGACGATGGAAGCAGTACGTTCCTATTTGGAATGGATACGAGAAACTTGCCAAGAAATTTATTCCATGACGCAACTTACTCAGAAGCAATGTTTGGATACCTTGGAAACAGCATCTACCATATCATCATCACCAACGGATAGTTTTCCATCACAACAACAATCATCAACAACCCATAGTGCTGATATGTCTTCTAGAAATAGTCGCAAGTCTACCAATCCATTCGACGATTAATGCGGTTTGTCTTGTTTTATTTGTTTGATCCATGGACCCCCCATTTGTTTGATATCGTATAATATTTCATCATAGTTGACTTGCCATTGTCCTTTTTCTATTGGAAAATGTTCATTCCCTTGTATGGTTTGCTATCGTCCTATCTCTTACCTGGTTTCATAAAAGGCATATGACTTAACGAAAATGTTCTCTTGACCGGTCTCCATAATAAGCCAATTTGATAACCTCCATACTATGATAATACATACATGATCAAACAACTCCTTATTCCTATTTCTCACCTTATCATAAAAGAACAAAGCAAAAGTTCCGAATTTCTCTCTCAGTTGTTGTACAAAATATTCCAAAGGATCCAAGTTCACATACAAAGCATCCAAAGGAATGCTCTAACACTTTGGTTTGGAGAGTGTCCCTATTGACTCAAATATTTCTTCCACATACCTTTGCTGATGGATATTTCTTTTTACAACTGTCCAAAGAATACCTCTCTACTCGTGATAAATATTTTTTATGCATCACAATAACCGCATCATAAACAGATACATCGGGACGAAATACAATCTTCAACCCATCCATATTCCATTTGTCTGGTGATATGATTCTATAAAAAATACATAATTCTCATGTCCAATCGCTATTGATCAACATTACCTTTGTTCCAAAGCTTTGCAAGTAGCTTTGGCTACTTGTCCTATTCTCTTCAATACTGGCCACTCCGGAATACCTTGAGCACTACGATAAAGTGGAAACAAAAAGCCTTATCCTTGTCAACATACAATAATAAGGATTTAACTATATTTACTTACGATTGTGAAGCATCCAATAAAAAGAATGAGCTTGTTGTTGTATATAAATGTTAGATACTTGATTGGAATCTTCGATAAAAGGAAATACAGAATGGACATCTTCCAATTCATCATGATCAGGAACAGGCACCACAATAGTCGATTTTTGATTAGCAAATAATGACAACACTAAAGAATATTTTTCTCTTCTCTTAGATAACTAAACTTGTATTCTTACCATACAAAAAATGATAAAATCCAGAGAATCCTGTACAAGGAATATCCCCATCGAGTGAACCCTATGCATACATGATCAACTAGAAACCTTATTCCTTTCCAATTCAACTTTACCATTTCATGTATATAGGCTCGAGCTACTAATAACTCAACCATTTCATCTGCAAAATAATCAGAAAACATGTGACAACTCAACCATCTCTTTGCCAATCGACAAGCATCTAAGTCATCCAACTTGAGAATATCTTCATCTTTTTCTTCCACAACTTGCCTGCAAAACTTTGTTGGAAGGTATCCTTTTCCGTCATATATTTGAGATGATAATGCAATTGTATGGCAACCACAGTTTCTCTATGTTCACTATACGATGTGTCAAGTTTCTTTTTCTTTCTTTCTCACATTTCTTACTTTGTCAATGCCTGTTGATATTCTTGAAGCATCCATATTTCGAAACGATAAATATAGTCTTCAAACACAACATCCAAACCTCGTTCATCAACACATGACTCAATACCCTCAAAATATATATAATCTTATCATTCCTTTCTATTTTCTTCTTATTCACTTACTTGATCTTGTAAACACTTCTTCAATGCTAAGTAATATCCTATCCGCATCATCTGTTGTGCTTCTCGGTCATCCATTATTGGCCACTGTATATTATTTTCAACAACTATCATTGCTTTGGGAGCATCGACGTGCTGAAAGATGGCCTGATTCTGCCAAACATCGGGTAAAATAACACTCGTTCCTCGAAACATATCACCAACAACACAAATATTGTGTATACCAAAAGGTAATTCTTCCAATTTCCGTAACCTATTGACCAGTCTTTCAAATCCAGCGACCCAAGGAAGGGAAGAAAAAGATTGGTCGTATGATGGAGACGGTAATAAAGATTCCAACAAGTCACAAAATATTTGTATCTGTTCCCCTTTGACTGAAAGTATTCAAGTTCATTATTTGATCAATTAACAAACCAACTTACCCCAAGGCATTTGTCTAGAAAGCGCATAATGACAAATACGATGAAACAGAGATTGCAAAGGAACATCGGTCTCTTCTTCTTGTTGTTGTTTCCACACAAGTGATTCGCATACATTTCCATCACGATAACGACGCAACTCACACTTTTCTTTCCAAAATGTGAGGAAATGTTCCTTTTCTTGTTGGTTGGTTGCTTTTTCTACCATTGCAAAAGCATCTTTGGGAGTCAATCGACAACCAACTACAAAACAACCCGATGAACCTTGAATCGATATTTGGACAACTGAAAGATACACGCAACGTTTCCACAATGCTTGATAGAGTATCCAATAACATTTGGCAAGGAATGATATCAACTCCAACATTTTCCATTCCTTTGGTACAGAAAATTCTATCGATAGAAACGTATCCCATAGTCCTACTAAGGAATGATCTGAGTCTTCATGAAGTTCTCCAGGAAATGCAGTACACAACATCCAATCTCCCATAGTTATCCATTGACTATCCAATCACACGATATGTTGAGACCAATATATTTCATTCTCTTATCCATTACCTTTTTAAACAAGTAGACATATCAAAGCTACGAATAGTATATTGAATACTTTTCCATAATGAATACAAATCACCGTATACTGTACAGTCTTTTGGAAGACTAGAAAGGGGAATCAAGTCCATAAAAGGACAAAGATATACTAATGGCAACAGGGATTGACGTTCGCCTTGCAGAATATCTTTCACTTGACAATTCAATATTTGAAAGCAATATTCCAAAAGATGTATGTGATCGAGGCGTTTCCAATGCATATCTTTCGTCACAATGGAATCAATCATAAACCATACACTCATTAGGAAAATATCTTCTGATTGCACAAATAGATTATTTCTCTTATGCCAAGTCGAATACCAATTTTGAAAAAAATGGATAACTTGTTTCCATTCTGAAAAATTCTCTTCAGCTTTTATAACTTGTTGAAAAGTGGGTTCCAGCAATACATCCTCCAAAAGAGTCGTCCTATAATAATAGTCAGAATGGCCATTCCATGCCAAAGTCTTCTTCCTATTCCAATCAGTGAGCAAAGGCCCATCCATTCTCATATTTCCATTTCCTACTTGAATATTTTTTCTGGTTGGAAAACATCTTTGGGTGCACAAGGAAACAAAAAGATATCGAATGTTTTGTCCAAACGGAACCGCAACAATGGCTTTCCAACTGCCCAAGGAACTATTTCGACAAAGTGACCACTTTGCTATATCACCAAATAAAGATATCGTTGCTTACACAAAGGCAAATACTTACGGCTAAACACCAACCTAATACGGCTAAAAAGATTTTTCTCTTATCATGATATCGCCAATGTAATATGTCCTAAAAAGAGAAATGCATTGTGAAACATATTAAAAATAATAAAAACTTTCTTACCGATGTAACAAATAGTTTCCTTGGCATTTCAACCAAAACAAATAAACGAGATGCACCGGCAGATTTTACTGAAAGAACCCTATCAGAGTGTCACTTCCTTATTCCGTCCTATCAACAACAACAACAACCTTAACCAACAATGTTCTTCAAAAGTAAAACTCCAAGGTTGACCAACACCATTGGATGACCGACTATCACGAGTTGGGTGGTTATCTTGGACATTACATAAGTTTCCACTCCAACTATGATTCTCACCGTATCTATCACTCCATAAACCATCACAAGCTCGTAAGAAACTTGACAACTGTTTCTGAGTACTTGATATACTATTCCATTTCCTTGAAAGTTCTCAAAAGTTCGTCCAATAAAAACTTAACTTCATTCACGTTACCAGCGAGAAATAGCTTGCTTCATTTGAAGTTCTATTTTTGACCTTATGCCATCTAGACTAGAAGAATCATCTTCACTAACAAAAATTGAGTCCAAATAAGCGCTTTGTTCACAAAAATACATACATTCTCTTCGAACAAATAGAAGAAAGATAGTCTGAAAGGATCATCATCGAATATAGTAAAAGCCCCAATGAAATATGGGCATCGTCGACAAAATCCTTATTTTGTTATATTTACTTTTACAAAAAACAAAATCGAATGGCATTTTCAACTAGCAACTTTTATCGAATATGAGACAATTCAGAGCTCTTGTTTATAGTCGAATCAGGTGAGAGCAACAAAGAACGCTCACTAGCACTCCAGTTGCCCGAACTTGTCCTTTGTCTATTTCTACTATTCAATCTCATTTCTTTATTCAATTGAATTGAAAACTTACCGATATCTCTTTTTCCGTTCATTGGGTCCAAATATTTCTTCCAAATCACACGTATCTGCACAAGGAAATATTTCTTCTGGATTGACATTTACTTGTTGTTGCAACAACTCCCTTAAATTATGACTTCGAGCCCAGGATGGAATTCTCTTCCTCTTTCGTCTTTCATATTCTTCATCCGAATCTTCATCTTCATGCTTCTGTTTCTCATCCGTAAGTTGATAAGAATTATGGGCTTCGGTATGTCCCTTGGAATCAGGAGTTACATGTGACTCGGTATTCTTATCTTTCAAAACCAATGGTTCTGTCTCTTGTGCATTACATTCAGTAACCGCTTTGGGTCGAAGACCAAGACTACGCTGTTCGTTCTAACAAAATGAAACTTCAATAGTCAAGTAATTATATCACAAAACAAACAAACCTTCCATTTGTTGGAATTCAAGTCATTGTTTTCATGATGGAGTCGATGTTCTTTCATTTCAAGCTCCTTCCTTCTCCTCTCTGCTTCCATAGCTTGCTTTGCAACCAATTCTTCATGCCTCTTGCGACTTTCTTCTTTTCTCTTGGCTTCCTCTTCTTCCTTTGCTTTCTTCAATAAAAGTGCCTGAATAAAACAATATCAGACATTCATCGTAAAAGTAAAAATAGCTCATACCTGTTCCTTTCTTCTACGTTCTCGTTCTTCTTCTTGTTTCTTTCTTTCTTCTTCTTTTCTTTGCTCTTCTAATGCTTGTTGCTTTCGTCTTTCTTCCGCACGACGAAGCTTTTCTTCATTTTCTCTACGTTTTTGTTCTTGTATAGCTTTCTTCTTAGCGTCCATTTGTGCCAGCTTCTCTTCTACCATTTTAGTATTGGTACCAACTGACTTGACCTCCTTCTTATTCGGATCTTCATTCTTCTTTTCTCGTCCATTGTTTGACAAAAAGGAAGAGAAAGAAGTTACTATGTTGGAGCCCTTAGATGGAGCTACAGGCAAGCCACTCTTTTCACTTGTTTTGCTAGGAGAGCTCTTCACTGAGGTCAAGTGATGACGACTATTGGGAGACGTTGGATCGACGAGTAATTGGGTTGACTCTTGTGTTGGCCCTTCAACCGCTTTACTTTCTGGAGGTGACGCTTTCTTGAAAGGAGATGGAGAACCAAAAAGAGAGGCTATACGCTTAAATATACCCACTTGAGGAGTTTTCACTTTCTCGGCCGAACTATTGTCTTCTTTGCTACTTGAACCCACAGACTTTGGGTCAGAACTAGGTTGAACTTCTTCTTGGTTTGAGCGCAGTCTTTGTATTTTAGAGCGCAATTCTGCAGCACGAGAATTGTTACTGAGCGGTTTACTAGTAACTTGTGGTTGACTATGGGTATCGTCAGCTTCCTCAGGCGGTGAAGATAACTTTAACGGTTGCATCTCCGACAAGTCTCGACTATTGGGATTAGATACCTTTTCTTCTTTTCCTTTCTTCTCAGCAGGACTTAAAGTAGCGTTATCGACATCAACAACAGCTTGAGTGGGATTCTCTTCAGTGCCGTGTACTTCAAGAGGTTTCTCTTCCCCTTGTATGTCTCTTGTTGTATTATCCAACTTGGAAAACAAAGCAGTTGAAAGATTACTTATGCTTTCTAAACCCACCAAACCAGAAGATTTATCTCCAACTCGGCCAATCTTCTTCTTTTTCTTGTATATACTTTCAGTAAGACTTTGCAACTTTCGTTCACTTGTTTTGGTCACTGCTTGAACGCCTTTTCCTACTGCTTTTGAAGACGGTGTCTTTGAAGTTTCTTCTACAGCAACAGAACCAGTAGAATCAATATTGAACATTTGCCAAACTTTCTCGACTACAGCAACATTTTCCTTGGTGTTCGATTGTTCAGTTTCATCTTCCCTATGAACGTTGACGTATCTCTCTTGTGTTCTTTCTTTGCGTGAAGACAAGTTCTCTTGAGGCTTTCGACCGGGTGTTTTACAGTCGTCTTCGATAGAAGACATACGATGAGAATGATATTTAGGAGACAACTGCTTTTCATTGTTTTCCTGTTCACTATTATGTGCTTCTTCCAAAGGCTTCATGATGGTTCCTAAATGCAGCGAACTAACAGAATCACCTGATGAAGTTAACCCCGATTTCTCCACTTGTAACGATTCTTGTTGTTTCGAAATAGCAACATTATTACTATTATTCTTATTTAGTGAAGCTTGCTCTGAAATTTCTCCTTCCATGATGGCTGCAATACCATCCAAATAGTCGGAAAACGAGCCTTCTTGTTTCGGATGGGATGTAACGAGATCCTTGGCTTGAGATTGTTCTTTTCTAGGTCTGCCACGTTTTCCTACTGCTTTTGTGCTTTTATTGCTCGATTCCGTCTTTTCAACTCGTTTGCTTCCTTTCCGGGCTTTTCTTGGTCGTCTTATTTGTAAAGCACTAGATTCTGAGTTATTCAACGTGAGTGGTTCTTCACAATGGTTGAGTTCTTTCTTATCCGTTGCTTCTTTTTCGTCATCATCTTTCACTTGTGTTTCCAAAGAAATGTCGTTTTTTCCACACTGTTGTTCTTGCTGAACATCCGAATTTGCCACCTCTACTGGTTTATCCTGAATACTGTTATCAACGTCCATATTCCATCGATTTGTAGTATCCACTGTAGCATTATTTGTACACTTTGGACAAAACCAGTCACCTTCAGGAACCGATTGCAGCCGAGGATTACAACAGAATGTGTGAAACGCATCATCGCAATGGTCACACAACAACAACAAGTCCTAAAAAAACGTATTTCTCAACACTTTTGTTCGTCACAAAACTTGAGATAAACTTTACCTCATAATCAGTCTTTTTACAAACTCTACAATACGTTTCATATTTTGTTGGTGAGCGACCTTGAGCAATGGCTCTGGAATAAGGTGACAAGCTATCCAAATCCACACTTCCATGTGACTTCTTCTCCACGGTAATCTTATGCTCGGAGAGTTTCGAATGACCTCTTTTTGATCTCCTTGATTGTCTCGGAGCTTCCCATTTCTGTTGATTGGAAGCCTTTGATCTCCTTTTCCTACGTTGTTTGACAGCTTCTTCTTCTTCTTCTTCGTCTTCTTTAAATTCGTAAGGGTCTTCTTCCATCTGTTGGTGATTGTCTTGTTCTCTACCTGCTGTTTCTTGGTCTTTTAGGCAGTGGAGTTTATCTACTTTTTTGGACTTTCTGTTATTACTCGTGCTTCTTTTTTTCTTTGTAGAAGGCGGGCACAATAAACCAAGGGTTACCTTTTCGTAGCTGTTTTTTCGCTTTCCTACCAATGTCATATACTTGTATTCTTCGGTCAACGATTTACAAGTATTTTGGGTTGTCGTAGTACACCATTCCCTTATATCTTCTGCTTGTTGTTGCAGTTCTTCCAGTGCTTGTTTCCTCGCTGCATCAAGTGCCTGCAATACTTGTTCCAAGTAAGGTGACGAGTGTCGTTGTTCTGTGGGTATACTTTCCATCCAGTTATAGTCTTTCACAAGTATTCTGGTGTGAGGATTCACCTACAAGTTGTACAATACTCTTATCGTCCTTGGGTTATTCACAACAACGCATTTCCCAAGTTTTGATGTTCAAAATGGAGCCGTTATGACGCGGGCAACAATTTCAAGAAAATGTTTTTTTATATGTTTAGAAAATTTCTTCCAACAAGGATGACAAAGGTTATCTATTCTCTTCTCCTCGTGGGATTATTCTTTGTGGTTACTTTCCTCCTCACTTGAAACAACCATTTTTGGTACACTGAAAATAACAACAGTCCAACCATCATACCGATAAAAGTTGTTCGAATACTCTCATCTCTTGGATTACCCAAAAACTGTAACAACAGTGTTTCAGGTGTCATTCCTAACCACCCTAATCCTAAACCAAAGAGGATAGCACCTATAACAAGTTGTCCATCTACTGGTTTTATGGTAGGCAGATAGTGATGGGAATAAAGTATGGGACGATTATTTTCCGTTCTTAACAAATAGAAACAACTGTAAGATAACAATAGTGCTGGAAAAAAGGCAAATAAAAGAGTTGGATCCCAAGCAGTGGTGTTCCATAAACCAAACCACTTGAAAGGTATCAACATACCCGATAAACCTATTCCCATGGAAAATAAATAGCCAGCATAAGCTCCTACAAGAAGAGGTAGGAACACGTTTAAACTCGGAATGCTTCTGTTCAACCCCTTCACTGAAACAAATATCACACCAACCAATCCAATAAATACAGGTTTGATGCCATTAAAGAACTGTTTTAAAGGTTCCACTTGAAGCATAAAAATATCTTCCAACGAAACTGTTCTCGAGTGAACCCCCATAAAACCACCCGTCAGCCAGTATACAACAAAAGCAGTGGAAGAAAAGATAGCCACGCTGACTATCGAACGAGTAGATTGACGAGGTACACCACATAGTGCATGACCACTGAAACCACCACTAATTTGCTAGTTAGATCAATAAACAGTCAACTTGCAGTTGTCTTACTCTCCTAAGCAAGTTCCAAAGCTCAAAAGGAAACCAGCAATAGCAAATTTCCAACTAAACACTTGAGCCAAAGTTTCCACAAATATATTTGGAAAGTTTTTCTTCAACATAAAGGCTCCCATTGCCATACCCAAGTGAAAAGCAACCCTCCAAAACCAACTCTGGTCAAAAGACAACAGACCTCCAAGTATTCCACTGATACAGGTAATACGACCTAATAATATGGCATTTACCGCAATAGATAAGCCAATAGCTAAGCCTCCTATGGTGGCATTGAACACGGTTGGAGTGAGTTGTGACATGACACTCTCAACCCAATGTGATGATCATACAATCATTTTTTTATTTCCTTCTATCTCTCTCTTGAGAAAGCACAACCCTAAGAAATATGAATTCAAAAGAATAAAATAGAATTAGTCATAATATACCATTCTTTTCATGTCCCAATCCTCTCTCTCTCTCTCTCTCTCTTTTGTCTGTCAATGGACATGCGCTTTCACTCCTCCTATCATCCCCCTTCAATAGAAAAGCGCGGGCTTCATCATCCCTTTTGAAATAGAAAAAACGGTTGCTCCATTTCTCCTCTTCAATCGAGTATCTTATGCAAGATCATAACAACGGTACCTTCTTATTCTCATCCGCAATACTTCATGGTGATGACTAACTACTGTTCCAGGTATCGATGAAAGCTTGAAAGTTTCCAGGGAACCACTACAAGAAAGAAATCAATGCACTGATAATACTCCAAGCGACCCATCCTCGAAACCTTGGGAACCAATATCATCCCATAACCAAGCCAGTCAAAGAAATACTCTTTATCGAGTATACGAAATGTATTCCTTTCGTGGTGGAGGGATAGGTTTTCGAAAACCAGGAATGAAAGTAGAAGGTTTCCGAACGTTGATAGTGGACTCCAAAGTGTATGGAAAGGATAGAATTCGAGCTCGTCGTGAAGCAGAACTTGTCGCTTCTGCCCTTTTATCTAAATCAGGAACGAGTATTGACTTTGATCAGTTTCTTATGGGACTAGAAATGATTGCAAAAAGAATACCTTGGTCCCAAATGGAACAACATGGAGATGATCGAAACTTCAAAGAAAAGTTGTTGACTATGGTATCTCAGTTAGCCATTCATTCCTCCAATGAAAATGACAACAAGTTAAGTTGCACAGCTATAGAAGAAAGAATACATAGAAACAAACTGTTTCAAAACGTTATGATGATGACTCCAACGCAATCTCTGTTGGAAAAAAACCAAAAAAGCTTTCAAGTATTGTACAGACACTATCTACGTAGAGATGCTTTCTTGAGTGGAAGCGAACACAAAGTTTCTGGTCCATCTCAGTTATCGATCAACGATATGCGAAGGTTTGCTCAAGACTTTGGATTGTTTCCCGACTACATTCAACTAGAAAGTTTAAGAGAAACATTATTGGATACTGTAAATGGTTACGAGAATAGAAGAGAAATGACTCATGATATGAATATATCCGTAGAATTGAAAAGTTTAGGAAGAATGGATACGTTGGTTAGTGATGGTTGCTTACTATGCCTTTGGAGATGAAACATTTATTCAGATGAATCATACAAAAATATTGGAACCTCGAATTGTGATGGATAGGCTATTTTGTTTATTTCGTTTACTCAACTCTTGCAAAGAGAAGAAATCCTGTCCACCTATGCCTGTTGACTACATTCGTTTCAAAGACTCAGATAATCGAACACCTGTAGGCCATACACCTCGAAGGATTCGCAAATATTCGATAACAGGATCACCTCTTAGTGATAGAAAGAAAACTTTGTCACCTTTTGAGTCTCATTCTTAAGTGAATTGATGCATTAAACTCCATTTTGTTTTTTTCTGGATTGTCGATTGTGTTTATGGAAGAAGAAGAAGAAGAGGATATTTATGGCGATTATGAACAAACGACGCAACCACAAAACAAACAAGGCAAGTATTTGCAACCCATCTTCACATTAGGACAAGACACTCAACGTGTTTATAACGACAGAAGATTCACTGAGCGATGAAGAAACAAAGCACGACGTTCTTGCCCAAGAAGTTGAAGGTGGTGATAGTTCGAGCGATGAAGATGACGTGAATATAGTTTTGGAGCCTTCTTCTACATATTATGGAGGAGATACTTCTACTGGTGACTCGAAAGGACTGTTCGTTGGTGGAACAACGACGAGACATTGGCAACGTCCAGGTTATTCTTCTACAGCAGAGGGTGGTATTGTAGGCTCTGGTGTGAGTGCTTATAGTAGAGGAGGTGTCGATTTATCTCTAGTGCCTAAACCTCCAACAGACTTTCCTGGAGCCCACGTTGATTATAGCGTATTTGAAAATGAGATTGACTCGTTAGAAGAGAAGCCTTGGCGTGAAAAGGGTGCAGAACTGAGTGACTATTTCAACTATGGCTTTACAGAAGATACTTGGAGAGAATATTGTAGAAGACAACAAATGATGAGGCTTTATTCTCAAAGTTTGATGCCTATTCGTACTCTAGACTCTGGTGGTCCTCTTCACAATATAGACTCTCCAAATGAACCCAGTCGTAAAGTACCGCGTGGACAACAGAATCGAAGATTGACTCCTGCATACTCAACTTTGAGGAATAACTTTGATTCTAAATTCTATTCCGATGGAAATGAGTCATTCTCTTCTGATTATGTCCGTTACTCAAGGCCTGAACAAACGGATGGAGACGATGTTATTTTGACTTTGACAAAACCAACCAGCGTTGATGAGTCTTAGTAGTAGTTGTCTCGAGATATCCAAACAAAATAGACATACTCACATAGATAGGGCATTTATGATTCCTCATACTAGATAGTGTTATCTTTTTTTATACAAGCAAGGTTTTAGTTGTGGTAGTATTGTGTTGTCATTATGGTTGGTGGTGATAGTCGTTGGTTGCTTATGTTCTTTTGTTGACTTTTGAAATACTAGAAAAACAAAAAACGAGTTGCTAGTATTTCTTAAGCACTCTTGAAAACCTATCTGGGCTATTCGACGACAAAAGATATCCAGTATACCTTGTAAGCGACTGGTAACTTCTGCAATAATCAAAACACCTGATTTTTTCAATATTCGGTGAGCTTCTTGTATAATCTTAGCATAGTCTGTTCCCATTAAAGATAAACAGCAGACGACAACATCTACACTTTTGTTATTCAATGGTACGTTGATAACGTTACACGGAATGACTCGAGGATCTTCCGTCTTCACCAAGTCAAAGGAATGAAACCTGATGTTAGGACGGTTCAGCTTATCTTCCAGTTGAGCTTGGTTTCCACAACCAAAGTCTGCTATAACAAAACTTTTGTTTTCTTTACAGTATTGTTTCAACCAAGACTGACAAAACTCCAAAGGTTTTTGTGGCCAGGTTTCCATTTGCTTTCCATAGCCATTGTGGTAGACTTGAAACAAAAGGGGGTCCTTTTGAAATAGTTCACGAGCTTCTTCAGAAGAGGATGTATAAAGACGTTGGTTGATCCACCGAAAACAACTTGAAGCCAGTTCTTCTTTTGTAGCAACACTTTTTCTCTTTTTGGAACAACGTGAAAACTTATTCTTTCGAAGAGACATTTTCAACAAAATTCTTCTTCCATGAAAAAGAGCCATGTGGATTCTTTCTCTCTTTTATTCAAGTTGGACACAAAACACAAAAAAGCCACACAATCACATATACCATCGTCTCCCGAAAGTCCTATCAAAGTTTGCTCCGAGATAGTCAGGCGAGAGGAACATCAAACACGGGGGTCTTTTGTTGCTTTGCATGACTATAGTTTTCCACGACTTTGTCCCAGTTCACAACATTCCACCAGGCAGCGATATATTCTGGTCTTCTATTTTGATATTTCAGATAATACGCATGTTCCCAAACATCCAATCCTAAGATAGGAATGCCAACATGCTCAGATATACCTTCCATAAGCGGATTGTCTTGGTTGGGAGTAGAACAAATAAAAAGCTTTCCAGAACGATCCATACAAAGCCAAGCCCAACCAGAACCAAAACGTCCAGCAGCTGCAGCATTGAATCGAGTCTTAAACTCATCCACAGAACCAAACTCTGTTTCCAAAGCTTGTTTCAAATCTCCATGTGGTGCACTGTTGGCAGATCCTGTTGGGGCCATAAGTGTCCAAAATAGAGAATGATTGAAATGGCCACCTCCATTGTTCCTCACAGTTGCTTTAATAGCATCAGGTGCCTTCACAGCATTCCTTTGGATGTTTTCTATGGATAGTCCCTGTCAGAAATATGTTAGATAACTGAGGTATATTGGATCCACCTCATAACAAACCTTGAACTGACCCCCATGTTCACCTTGTATTGCACCATTCAGATTATTCACATACGTCTACAATGAAAGTTAGTAAAATAAACTTGTTCAAAGCGGATCTTACTTGGTGATGGCCCTTGTGGTGAACATTCATGGTCATAGTATCTATATGTGGTTCCAGTGCACTGTAATCATAAGGTAAGGCAGGTAACGCAAACTTTGACTAAAGATCTTCTTTTCAATAAAACAAACAGAAAGTACGAGAGACACATACCATGTTGTACAAGGGTACTCAACAAACAATCCAAATAACACAATTCCCTCAATCACAAACAAAAAGTGGAAAATACTTTCCATTGGAATCTTTCGATGGCCATTCAAAAAATGCTTTAGAAGAGGTATGGAGAAGCTTTCCAAAGAAGTCAAGCAACTAGGAAAAAAGAGATAATTAAGTGTCAAGGAGCAATCATCAGAATCAAAACCATGCTTTCTAAAATGGGAAACTTGCTCTTTGTTCCATGCAATCAACTACAATGTAAAGAATTCCATCTCTCTCTCTCTCTCTCTCTCTCACACACACACAGAATAATAGTTCCAAATGTTGGCATAAACAGGCAATCAATTGTGAGGATTGAATTACAAATAGAAAACTCTATATCATGGTCGAGACTAAAAAGGCATATAGATATAAATATCACAGTAGTCATATGCAACAACTTTATAGACAACAAAACTGGTGCATCTTCAATATCTCTTGGCAACTAACCGTTCTGAAAATGCAAAACATGTTTTGTTTAAAACACTTAAGAGGGTAGTACAATAAAACATTCTTCGAGTCAGATAAATACAGCCAATTAAAACAGCTCAACTTCACAAGATACCGACACTTCTCGTTCTACTATTACTGGAATTCTCGTTTGCCTTGTGAAATCCCATACGATGGCTCCTTAGAGACTGTTCATCTTTATAAAAAAAAAAGTCAACGGCAAGCTCATGAAACAAAAGTATACTTACACGTAGAGGAAAGTTGTGGAAAAGCACCAATCTTGGGCTTATTCTTCAATGGAGCACTAAGTTCCTCCAATCTCTTACGGAAAGCTTCCACTTCTGCTTCAATGTCTGCTTCCCAATCTTCCAAATCTTTATCCAAAACAGGAGCATTGGAGTAACTACTAGTATCACCTAATGCAAAGTGATAAATGATACTTGAAACAAAAGTTATCTTATTACCTTGTGAAATATGAACTATACTCTTTGGAGCTCTACTCGTTTCTACAAAAGTACTATTCCCATTTGTTCTTTTCGATAATGAACTACTGCTGTGGCCACTCCAACTGTCTTCTCCTTTGCTTTCATGACTAGGAACGGTTTGGTCAGAATATCTTCCTTCCGAAGATGTTTTGCTTTTATTCGTTTCACCGTTCGATTTACAACTCTGCTTTTTCCGACCTTTGTCCTTCTTCTTGTTCGACTTGGAACTCGATTTTTTGGAACTAGAAACCCCAGCCTTACTTTTCCTTTTATCATTCTCACCACCACTGTCTTCACCAATAAACCTTAAAAGATCTTCTATACTCCGATGGTCTTCCCTTGGTTGAACTTGACAGCCATCTTCCTTTACTCGACGTATATGGTCTTCATTAGCTTCCAATTGGTTGAGCATCTTTTTCGCAGCAAGTCTTTTCTCTAATCTTCTTCGTAACTGACAGGTTCTACAGTAAGAACAAGCATCATCATCACTGTCGTCAAAGTCCCAAAATTCTTCTTCTTCTTGTGAAGAGTCCTGTTCCTGTCCCTTCCATTCCCCTGTAGTAGAGCCCGTGTCTTTTGCTTCTACCGACTTTTCGACAACACCCATTCGGTTAACCATCTTTCTATACTAGAAACAATATCACAAGTAGCAACCTTTTCTTGTCCCGCCCAGTTGTATTACGGGTCAACACGAAAATGTGTCAAAATGGCAAACTGGGCAGTAGAAGAAATGGGAATTTCTGATGAGGGTGCGGAAAATGTTAGGATGGAGAGAGAGATTCAGTGGAACAACAGGAGTGCGGGTGTTTTCTAAAGCTTCTGATATGGTGAGAACTGAAACTTGAATGGGCAACTAAACACAAGCCATTATCTCGCGAAAAAATGAAAATATGCAATCCATAGGCTATCTTTTTGTTTTTGAACACTACAACAAGTGGACACGAAAAACTCACAGACTCCAAAGGGAAGGACTAGTAGAGAGCTGTTATTTTACCGAAACCTTTTTTCTCTTCGTAAAAGGAGCAGTACACACTACACTTTGACAAACCAAAGTTTCAAGCTGTTCCATAGTTGATACTACAGTTTGTCCGTTCTCGTCGACATTGACTTAAGAACAATTTTGATAAAGGAAAGCCTTTCATCCCACTAAAATGACCATAGCAACTTTTCTGTTAAGCAGTCGTTCAAAAGTCAACAAATGGATCAGAGTGTTCCGTTCCAACGCCGGACTTCCTGCGAGACACAAAATGTCTGCGGCTTAGAGATCAAGTCATTCATCCACTATCTTGATAAACTTTGCTACTTTCATTGCGTTTGAAAACCAGAATACCACTCTTTCACTAGTATAATTTTTGAGCATTTCCAAGATGATAGTAACTTTTCTTGATAAAATAAAATAGAATCGAGAGACATAAAAGTATGAGACCTTGTCCATCTTGTCCAGTGTACATGAAAAGAGCGTTGAGAAGAAGAAAGGACAAATTGTAGAAGCAAAGTATAATGTCGACAACAAACAGTCAAAAAAATTAAAGAAGATAATATTTTTTCTTTTTAATGGCCATATTAGGCACGCTTACATTTGCAAAGAAACTTGAAAAATTAGTAAGAAAAACACTAAACAGTTCTATTCGACACTTTTCCATCAACCGAAACAGTTTGAAAGAGACTCGGAAACATCATTAACTCTTCAAAGAATGTGTTGCTTGCTGTAGAAAGTTTACGACAATCAAGAACGGAGTCCTAGCTAATATCATTTTCTCAAACTAAATATAGTAGAAATTGACAAAGGCCAAAATGTTAAGACTCTCTCAATATTTATGAAAATTAAACAACTGCTCAAATTAAAATATTTCACACTGTTCAATCAAAAAAAGGGCCAGTAATAGACGCGCATTGAATTTTAATTCCATTTAATGCAAAAAGAAATTTCCTAACAGAACAAGCCAAATTTTATTTTCACCAAAAAAATAATGCTTAAATACAAAAATCAAAATCTTGATTTATTCAAGGAATTGCTGTTTAAAAGTAAAAATGAAAGATGTATTATCTTCAAATTATTTTCAAATATTAAAGTTTTTAGTGATTTGTGTGAGACGCCATGGACTGTAAAATCTTCTTTTTTATTTTTTTGTGTTGATATTTTTCTCGAAGCTTTAAAAGCGATATCAGCAAATTTTGGCAATTCTTGTTGATTTGATGGTTTTTGACGAAACTTTTGTACGTTGAGTGCAACTTGTCGTGTTTTTCTGGAGAATCTTTTTAGTTTTATCTTTATTGTGGAGTTTGACTCAAAACTTAAAAGATGTAACTTGATGTTTAAAACCTCACTGATGGTAGGAGAATTTAATATCAAGAAATTAGCTTTCTCCTATATACTGCACATTCAAGGAGTCATGCTAATTTTGGAAATTGGACTGCAGTTACATCTAATCATCTTTGAATTAGACTTTTCTTCGAAGTTTACTGCTCAGGAATTTACTTTCCTTACAAGCTGCATCAACAACGTGTTCAAATTACACCCTCTATCTCATTTCTCTGTTACTCATTCTCCTGTTTTGCATAGCCTTTTGTCTTTCTCTCTACAGGAAATTTTTCAGCTGTTCTCTTTGGAGTTTTCTTTTAGAATTATTCCTTGCGTTGCCCACAAATTCTTTTATACATACTCTCAATTATCTTGTCGAATCTGGCAAGGAAATCTCTACGTACTATTATCTATCAACACCTTATTTACTTCTTACGCTGAAAATAGACTGTCTCTTTTTCTACTCTTCCAGGATAAAGTCACCAGAGTTTCATTAAAGTATCTTTTGTCCTTTCTCTTTTTGGCGTAGATATCTCAGACTTTAATTTCTGTCGAGTAACATAAGCTCACCGCAGCAACAGCTTCTTATCTCACCACAATATTGAGCTTTAGCACTTTTCTATAATAAAGTATCAGGGCCATTTTAGTGGCAAATATCAAATATAAAAACAGTATCAGTATATTTCAGGCTTCATCTCGATATGGAAAAAAAAGGAATTTCCATGGAACCCCAACATTTGTTGAGCTCAGTAAAAATCTGATTGGAGAGATACCTGATATGGGTTCTGTTGTGGGAAAAGTTTCAGTAGAACAGCCTTTGTATGAGATAGAAAAAAAGACAAGTGAATATGAAATAAGAAAATATCCAAGTTTAAGAGTGGCTGAAGTTTATCGTTCAGAACTGAAGGGAGAGACGTCCAACTATGACTTTGAGTCTCAAGCATTTAGAATACTAGCTTCATATATAGGGGTATTTGGAGAACCGAAAAACAAAGACAACTCGAACCAACAAGTAAAGATATCTATGACGGCACCAGTCCTATCTAAGCCTATTGAAGCGTTGGAAACGCGAAGCAGTGGCAACAGTATGGCTTTTATATTACCAAAAGAATACTCGGAACAAAAAGAACCACCGGAACCAGTTGACTCACGAGTCCACTTGCGTGTTGTTCCACCAAGGAAAGTTGCGGTGGTTACTTTTCGAGGAACTGTAAACCGTGAAACTTTAGAGGCCGAGAGAGCTGAAAGGTTTATGGAGCAGTTGAAGAAGGATGGTTATCGTTTACTTTCTTCAGAGTGGGAACTTGCTCGATACAACCCTCCTTTTACTCCGCCACCTCTTAGACGCAATGAGATATTAGTGCAGGTAGACTAGTTTTGAAGGGGTCTTTTTGTATAGTAAAGGATTGGTCGGGTTTACACTTAGGACTTGACTTGGTTTGTGCCGTCATCCACTGAAGATGGTTTGTATCTTCCTGCCTCAGAAGAATATATTTTATGGCAATTTCGAAAGATTTACTTAGACTACAAACTCATACGGTGGCGGTTCCACTAATTCCGTCACCTTCGCGTCGACAAAGTGAGCCTCTGCTGGACCTTTTGGTTGTCGTTTCAAAGGACCACTAAGTTTTTCTATACAAACGTGAGTGAACAAGTTTCAGTATCAAAACGAAAGTTTACCTCCTCTTGCTTTGGCTTCCATCTTTGCTTTAGTGATTCTACGAACTCTTTCTTTGAATTCTTCTTGACATCTACTTTTAAAGACATGCTCGCGACGAACGTGAATCTTCTTTGCAATCTTTCTGTTTCCCACGACTTTGTTTATGATCACACCAACCGAATTTCTGGAGATATCAAAAACCTTTCCGGTTTTCCCCACATAAAACTTGTGCGGCATACCCTTTTGTATGGCAGAATCGACCTTGACGTCCACATAGTCACCTAATCGATAGTTGGTTAGGTATGTAGCAGCCAGTGGTGCTCCATGTTTTCTAAAAGGTTTGGAGAATAGATCTCGTGTATTACTACGTTTTCCCTTTGACCTTCCCATGGCCTAACTTGTTTTGTTTCCTTTTCGTCGTCGGCCACGAACAGCCCAAACCCAATTTTCCTATCTAATAATAAGTAAAATGATGGCATAGAAAGAACAAGAGAGAGAGAGAGAGAGAGAGAGAGAGATTGCACCCTCGGGATTTGATTGAAGAATTGATGATGATGGGAGAAGAAGAGATAAAAGGAAAGCCGCAGCAGTTTACTAGTACAACGATTGCAGACTTTCAGAATACTCTTCAGTCAGCTTGGAGCCAATCAGATGCATTTTTTGAATCTCTCTTATCTGAGAGTTGGTTGGAAAGGCGACCAATATCTTTAAGAAATCCTTTTATATTTTGTGAGTACTCTGGACTCAACTTTGATGTGATAAAGTGTGACATGTTCAGATTATGGTCATCTTGTGGCCTTTGCTTGGAACCAGTTTCGAAATAAATTAGGACTTGAACAGTTTGAACCAGTGTTTGATTACATTTTTGAAAGAGGAATCGACCCTGATGTGGATGACCCAGCCAAGTGTCACTCTCACCCAGAGTTTCCAGATACTTGGCCCTCGAAAGTACAGATATATCGGTATAAACAGAAAGTTCGTACTATTCTTTTGGATAAGTCAGTTCTATCTCAAGTAGAGAAGAAGTGTCCTCATATTGTTCAACTTGTATACGAGCACGAGCTGATGCACCTAGAAACTTTATTTTACATGTTTATGCAGATGGAAGATAGAGATTCGAATGGTCCATTTTTGAATATTAGTATTCCTCCTATCAAGTTATCAACTGAAAAGACAGAATATATAGATTCGGAGCCGAGTGTTTGGATTGGAGGTGGTCATTGTTGTTTAGGTAGAGACCGTGGAAAGGAATTTGGTTGGGATATTGAGTTTCCAAGTCATTGTGTTTCTGTCCATCCATTTCGAATGCATATTTTTCCCGTGACTATAGGTCAGTTTTATGAGTTTGTACGTATGGGAGGTTATCGTCGTGCAGAGTATTGGAATGAAGAAGATTTTTTATACATGAAGAAAGAGAACATTTGGTTTCCCAGTTTATGGAAATGTCTTTTTGCTTTGGATCAAGTGTCTTGTGCAGAAGATTTTCGAAGTTTATGTGTTTCTGCCAAACAGTTCCTTTATCGTATGCCATTTGGAGATGTTTGTTTAAAAGTGAGGCTATTGTTTATTTCTACATTTATTTTAAAGTTGAGAGTGTATAGGAAGCATTTTATTTACCAGTGTATGTATCACTTGCAGAAGCGGAGGCCTATGCCAAATGGAAAGGAAAGAGGTATTATAACATCATGTGATTCCTTTAGATAAAAAAAGATATATCTGCTTATTTAGGTTACCTTCTGAAGAAGAAATTCATGGCGTTTTGTATGGATTTTCTTCTTTTGAAAAGAGTCACGCCAAAGGCAATTATGGATTTCAGTATTATGGTCCTGTTCCAGTGGGTTGGATAGAACAAGATAAGAGTTCTTATGGAGTTGTCGATGTTTATGGAAATGGTTGGGAACTTACATCAACTCCTTTATATCCATTTCCAGGATATCAGCAGCTTCCTGAATGTATGTGTCCAAGTTTCATATATTTTTTGTATTTTACAAACTGCTATTAGATCCCAATTATTCTGCGGATTTCTTTGACAATAAGCATTTTGTTACTGTAGGTGCTTCATGGGCAACGGATTCAAGTTTGTGTAGACCCAGTTTTCGTAACTGGTATCAACGAAGATATCGATTTGTGTTTTCCAAGTTTCATTTGGTAGAATAGAATGTATGTGACTGATAAGTGACTTTGGTTGTTGAAGGGATTCTGTTTGTAAGCCATTAAAGTTGTTTCCATGGAGTGGCTATTTTGAAACATATTGTATTATTTTTTCTGTTTATTGAAAACACATTTCCAATGCATTTGCTCAGAGAAAAGAAAGTTGGCATCTCTTTCTTTGGTAGAGAATTTCGGATGATGGCGCTGAATAAGGATAAAGAAAAGGAGGGTGAAGAACAAGGGTTACGTTATCAAGTAAGAAAGAGAATATCACCTCTTCCAATAAGTCAAACCTATATCCCTGAGTATTACTATTCTCGGGTATCCCCAGTCCATCAAGTCAAGGCGAGTAGAGGAGAACTACTATCAGAGAGTTGGTCAGTTTGGGAAGCAAGAAATGGGTTATGGAGTCCTGAGCTTGAGCAGAATTGCTCACCTTCACTGTTCCTACATACTCCTACATCCTCTACGGGAAAACACCTTACTGAAAGTTTAAGAGAATGGGCACAGACGGAACAGTGGTCAAACGATGACACGGTAGTTGTACAGACAACTAGTGAAAATACAGTGTTGGCAAAACAAGAGAAAGTAACATATGCTAAAGAATTGCCCCAGAAGACACTATTGACTGAGTTAGCAAATAGTGTTTGCTATCCACCTCAAGAGAATTCAAGACGTAGCAATATCGATGACAGCAACAACGTCGTTTGGTTATCCAAAACAAATACGCAAATGGGTACGTAGAATCTATTTTAATGAACCTTGCTCATCATGATCGTATTGTATTCCATAGATGCTCTTCAGAATGGCATTCCTGCGGAAGATGAACAAAAGTGCAAAGGCAGTTATGTACAGGAACAAGCGGAACCCTTTTATTCAGACTCTTTATCCATCCGAGTAGAAGATAGACATCCATTCAACACTCCAACAGAAGAACAATATTCTATCCAGTTTGTTAATCAACTCAATAAGATAGGAACGCAACCGAATGAAATTTTCAGCAATAATGATGAAACACAGTGTCGTTGGAAGTCACCTCAGTCTTCAAATGAAATGCACTGTTCTTCAAAGAAAAGGTCGGTAAAGGATGATATAGAGATGAGAGCAGCTAGAATTATGCGGAACCGTGAGGCAGCTCAACGTTCTCGTCAAAATGCTAAAGCTAAGCTTCAATATTTGGAGAAAGAAAATAAACGATTACGTAGCAACTTGTATATATTGGAACGAGAAAATTTTTGGTTGCGAAAACAAGTTGAGTTGGTACAGAATTGTGTGAGTCAACTAAAAGAAAATACGATGAACAAATATAGCGACATGTCAATGTAAGTTGGATATGAATGAACAGTTGGAGAAGCATTACAAAGAAGCAACTTACTTGAAGGGAATTTTGGCAGGGAGATTCTGATATTCTGAATATCAAGCTATTTCAAATAGAACAGTGGGATTCGAATGGTTGTGTAAATGTTCATGGATGTTCACATGTGCTATGGTTTGTTCAAGTTGAAACGTGATTGTTTCATTTCAGTGAAGATATATTCGTAGTGGAGCGAATAGAATGTAGTAAGAGCTTGGATTGGATCACCGTTGACACGAACCTCTAGTGAAAGTTCTGCTTATTATTCTTTTAGATTATAGAGGAAAAGATATAGTTTTGATGGAAAGTTGGAGAACCCACCAACATGTTCATCCATAGAAAAGTCATCTTCAGAGAATCTATAAATTTTTCCAAAAATGAACTTTGGTAACGATATTCGGAGGTCCGATGCTAAAAAGTGTTCAATGCTTCTCAGTAGTTATTTTCTCTCCAACCTTTGTCTTTGTTTATTATATATTTATCTGAGATTGCATATCAGTACGTTCTTGTGAGTTGAATAGTATTTGTGAAATATGACGTTGTGGTTGTTAGAAACACAGACTGTAGAGGATGAGTCAAAAAGTGTCTGGAATGTGCTCTTAGAGCAGCAGATTTATTGTATTATTTTACTTGTTGGTACCGTTAAAATATTTCAGAGTCCTTCTTGGGTACGTCTTGGTTGTATGGAGTTTGTGGAATGATGAGGTCCGTTTAGGAAGCCACCTTGTCTTCTTTTTTCTGGTATTGCAAAAGTGGATTTGCCATATTACTATTTTATTTTAACAGAAAATATTGCGCGTATTACTCATTCTTATGTTTTGGTAAGGAAACCAAGGAAGAGATATGAACTTTGCTAAACGTAGTAGTCTTTGCGTTTCTGTTCCTGCAGCCACGCTATAGAGGTCCAAGTAACGTTGTCCAACTTTCAAGAGATGATTTTCAAGGTATATCAAGAAATTCATAGAGTTGATTGGTTTTTATTCACTTGAAAATAAGAGTTGGTTTTATCATCCAAAGAGAATAGAAGGAATATATGGATAGTAGAGTTTTATGTTCCGTGGTCAGAACAAGTCAAGACACTGGACTCTCTGGTTGCCAAACTGTCTTTGGAATATAATAATGACATTCTTTGCTTCGGGAAGTTAAATTTAGCTTCTTATCCAGATATCGGAATGGAGTTTGGTATCGATACCCAGTCTTCAACCAAGGTCATTCCAACCTTTATCGTGTTTGAACGAGGTAAAGAAAGACAAAGAGTTCCATGCCTGGATCATCGTGGTATGGCAGTACCAAAGGAAGTATGGAGAATGAAGAAATCGGAACTTGTTTCTGCGCTACAACTGGATCATTACGTATTCATCTCCAAAATGTCCAAATAGAAACATGTTATTGCTTTTGAAATAGTTGAGTAGTAGTAATAGTAGAAAATTTTTTCAAGCAAATGACAGATATTGTTCAAAGATTGTTAGATTCACTTGTTTCACTGGTTGGAATTTATCTAAAGGATCACTCCTCAGTGGAACGACAATTTTCAATCAACTTGTCACGGAATGAAATTCGCAGTTTTCCTATTCCATCATAGTCAAAATGGTATAAATGACATCTCTTGGTATGGATACATAAAAATAGAAAGATAAACGCAATCTAGACAAAGTTCCATGTGGAATGATGAATAGATAACAACCAAATATGCCAGTTGATGACTCTGCTTATGAAATCATATAAAGTTCCAGTTGCCGAAAATGAATGATTGTTTGGGAGTCCACTTATTCGTCCACCTGCTCTCCTTTGACTTTTTGTCCCACCAACTTGGTTTGTTCCATCGGAACATCAAAAACAGAAAGATACGGAAGTGGAAGGAACTTATTTCCACTCAAAATAACTATCCATTCCTTGGTCAAGTATGTATCTTCCACTTCACTTGAAATGTCTTGAGAAGAAATGTGTTGTAGAACATGACTTGTATCTTCCTTTGAGGCAGCGGATAAAAAAGAATGTGATAATAGTTCTCTTGCCGTAGGTCGGAGTTGCGGATTCATTTGCAAACATTGATGCAGAAAGTCCAAAAAGTAAATAGAGTATAGTGATGGACATTCCAGCTGTGGCCTTTCCCCAGCATCCAAACAACTTGCTACTTTAAAGGGACCATGTGATTGCAGAGGAGTAAATCCTTGGGCCAACTCTATTATCCATATCCCCAATGCCCAAATATCACCAGAAGAAGATATCGAGAAGTTTAGAAACTTATCACAAAATTTGGTTTCAGGACCGTTCCAATAGACAACAGAAGGCTTCACATTGAACTGGTCATCAAGCAGGGGCAATATAACTGATAGCTGGTGGTAATCAACAATCCTCACTTGCCCACTACAATCCAATAAAATGTTGGATCCTTTGATACACTGTAGTCCTTGCCAACTAGGTCGTTCTTCCAATTGAACAAGAACTAAAAGTACTTCTTTCACGAAGCAGGCAATTAAAGACTCTGAAAAGCCACCCAACTCTTTGGATAATAAAAGAGTATTTCCAGGATAACAATAATCTGAAATTATCCAAATGCCCTTCAGTTGCTCATCAGCAAATACTTTGCAATCCAATAAGGACCTATGCAAAGCTGAAAATCCAAGAAAACTTTGTTGCAAGTCTTCTGCTGCAGTTTGCAGCCCTGAATAATTTGGAAGGTGAACGAACTATGAAAGGCTTCAGTTTGGAATCTAGCAAAAATAGAAATGTGACAATTGCCTTGGCTGCAACCAGTCGTTCTTGTTTGCTACTGCGAGACTTCAGAGAAGCTTGAAACACACCACCTATTGAACCTCTTCCGAGATATCGTTTTATGTGTAGCGACGTATCACCAGTCAAGTTTACAATTAAACCATCGAAGTGGGTATGCCCCTTGTGAAACTGACTCATTTTCTTACGACTCTACAAACTACTTTGCAATATCAAAGACATTTTTCAAAGTTCCCATCCAACAAGAAAAAAAATCACCGAATTTGGCGCCATCAGAAAAGGAAGTGCAATGGCGCAATACTCTTTGAAATCTGCTTCATAGACAATATTAAAACAGACTGTTTAGAGTGCGTTGCAGACTTGACAGATTTCCTTCAAGAGCTTTACTAGGATGAACAGAACTATCCATTTGTTGATAAGATTAGTGGCAATATGGTTATGTCACAAGCGTTGCTGATAGGAAATACTACTTGCTGAAAATCTTTCTATTCTTATGCAAAAATGGGCGTTTGGACGCCGTACATTTGATATCTGGGAACGAACACTTGCAGCTGGTTTAAGTTGGTTTTTCCCTTCCTCAGTCGTACCAAACACAAGACTCGATAGTGTTGAACGATATTTTCCGTTTCGAATCAAGAAAAGACATATGCTCGACATAAATTGGTTTCGCACTGAAAAGGGAGGTGATCCAAAGGTCATCTTGGAGTCTCAAAGGAAACGGTAATATGGAAGGTGTTTCTTTCTGTATCTTTCTTGCTCATGTCGTATCAAGGTTTGCTAGTGAAGAAAAAGTTTTGAAAGTCATAGAATTGGACGAAGAGTGGCGAAAAAATAGATATCAGGGTGATCAGTTGAGAAAGCAGTTGAACGCAACAAGCAAGGAAATTGGTCAAAAGAAGCGAAATAATGAGGACGCTACTGAGTTGATGGAGAAAGTAGCAGAAATAAAGAATTCAATATCGGTGACGGAGAAGCGAATTGAAGAGCTCGAGTTTCAAAGAGACACTTTGCTCAAGTCTATCGGAAATATTGTTCATGAAAGTGTATTTGTGAGCCAAGATGAGTCTGAAAATCCTGTGTTGAGACAGTGGGGTGATTTTAGCAGTGAGAAAAAGGGTTATAATCACGTAGATTTGCTATATATGATCGATGGAGTCGAATATGAGAAAGGAGTCAGTGTTGCAGGTAACGAAAAGTGTGGAATTATTATTTCTTGATTGATGAAGTGAATAGGAAACCGTGGATATTATTTAAAGGGACCCGCAGTTGCTTTCAATTTGGGTCTTATCCACTATGGTTTGCAGTTCCTAGTAAAGAAGGGTTATTTGCCTCTCCAGACTCCCTATTTTATGGAGCGAGATGCCATGGCAAAGTGTGCGCAATTGGAAGATTTTGATGAACAGCTTTACAAGGTCGTCGGTTGAAGTCTTGTTGATGAATGTTGATCATTATTTTAGGTTACCGGAGAAGGGACACAAGAAAAGTATTTAATTGCTACTTCAGAGCAGCCTATTTGTTGTTATCATATGAACGAATGGTTGGATCCGAAAACACTTCCTTTAAGATACGTGGGATTTTCGACATGTTTTCGAAAAGAAGTATGTCTCGTTTCCCCTCGTAGTTTAGTGCGCAGGTCGTTGATTCATTTTAGACTGGAAGTCATGGAAGGGATACTTTAGGAATTTTTCGAGTACATCAATTTGAAAAGTTGGAACAGTTTTGTATCACTGCACCTGATCCGGCAGTGAGCTATGCAATGATGGAGGAAATGATGGTAATAACTGCACCTTTTATTGAGATATTACAGAAGCTGATATTTTGTAGCATGTTGCGGAAGAGTTTTATCAGTCATTAAATATTCCGTACCGAGTGGTGAATATCGTTTCCGGTGCCTTGAACAATGCTGCTGCTAAGAAATATGATTTGGAAGGGTGGTTTCCTGCATCTTCAGCGTTCCGAGAACTTGTTTCCTGTTCCAACTGTACAGACTATCAAGCTCGTCGATTGGAGGTAATTATTACTGATTCTCTTTAGTTTGGATGTTCATCATGGTATAGGTTCGATATGGTCTGAAGAAAATGGGTGATCGTGAGAAGAAATACGTACATATGTTAAATTCTACGTTATGCGCAACTACACGAGTCATTTGCTGTATTTTGGAAAACTATCAAACGGCGGACGGTATCAAAGTCCCGGAAGTTTTACAGCCGTGAGTATGATTGTTTTACAAGACTCAGCTGAATGCCTCGCTTTAGGTTTGTAGGATCCAGTTTTCTTCCATTTAAAAGGGAACCGCTGAAGATAGCAGAAGGTTCGAACAAGTCGGACAGTGAATCTTTGGCCAAAAATATGAAAGAACTGAAGACATCCTAACTTGCAATGAAGAACAAAATAAAATCCCATCCCATCTTCATAATTCTATGAGTTGATTTTCAACGTGGACTTGTGAAAATATATGTCGAACGATGTCAATATTTGTGAGGCATTGGAGACTGCCCATAAAACCTGTCTCCGTAAAGTTAAAAGAGCTCGGAACAAGGAGGCAAAGTTGAAAGAATGTCAGAGTTATTTCGATATGCTTAAAGAGAACAGTTGTCCTTGGAAACCTGAGGCCCCTAACCAGAAATAGGGAGACAATAGTGGATAGTTTCTTTCGTAACTTGGTGATTCGAGTAGGAGAGCATAATTAACGTGGGAAAGAGAAAAAGGTGCAGTCGTATTTGTCGTTATTTGCCTGACGCCCACGGTCTTATATGTACACAAAGGTGCTCTTTTCATCTACAAAGTTTCTTTATCAAGTAGAAAGACAAAAAAGCGATGAAGACACATTCACAAGTTCACTTGAGTTTTTAAAGTTTGAGTCTGCATTGAGATTCTGGTGGAATAAGTTCAGACTATATTACAAAGAATGATTCATTGCATTAATAGAGTATATTGAGAATTTACTCTGTAGAAATACAATTATATCAAATCATCCCCCCGCCCCCGAGAGTGTCCAATAGGCCCAACCTTTTTTGTGCGTTTTTTCTTTATGGCGTCTCCACAGCTAGAACTTTACACCGCGCCAACACCCAATGGTTACAAGGTTTCTATCATGTTAGAAGAACTTCAAGTTCCTTATGAGCTGCACAAAATCGACTTCAGTAAAAAGGAACAAAAGGAAGATTGGTTTGTGAAGTATTTTCATTATTCAAACTTGTCAGCCAATTTTGAAGGTTTCTGGCTATGAACCCCAACGGAAGGATTCCTGTTATAAGAGATAAGCAAAACAATCTTGTGCTGTTCGAGTCAGGAGCAATCCTTGTCTACCTTGCAGAAACTTATGATATGAAACTGTATGGAGAAACACCGAAGGAGCGCTATACTACTCTGCAATGGGTCATGGTTTGTCAAAGCTTAGTTTCTTGTAAGTATTCTGATAAACAACAATTTAGTTTCAAATGGGAGGAATTGGTCCCATGCAAGGGCAAGCAAACGTTTTTTATCGTTATGCTCCAGAGAAAATACAGTATGCAGTTGAAAGATATCAGAAGGAAACACGCAGGCTTTACGAAGTTCTGGAAACTGCCTTGAAGGGTAAAGAATATATTACTGGCAAGTATTCAATAGCAGATATTGCGTGTTTCCCTTGGGTTGTCAGACATGAATGGGCTGGTGTCTCCGTAGAAGGTCTTCCTAACGTTCAGGGATGGTTAGATCGAATAGGTAAACGCCCTGCTGTTCAACGTGGTTTAGTTTCGCCTCCTCGTGTCGATACCACTGATCAGAAGGTATCGCAAGGACGCAGTATCTTGGTTTGATGTGTCCAGTGTCATTCTTTTCGATAAAAACTTCTCTTTCATAAAAATCTGTTTGAAAAATGTGTCCTTACATATTGTGTGTGAAACAAGGCAAAGACGAGAATACTTCATCCACTTGCGATAAGTAAAAGTGATGAAAACTATGACAGTTCACAAGCCATTGTGCTATGCAGAAGGAAATCATTGTCCTCGTCCTCCTTCAGAAATCAAGAGCAGGAATTGGCGCGCAATTTTTGCCCTTGCTGAATTTTGATTGGAGGACGACGCGAGAAAAATGAAGCATAGTCGTCCACATCACAAATATGAGGCTTGTGCATGATGGAAGAGCCTTCATGCAGAGGGAGGGAAATGTTGGAAAGAATGTTTGGAATAGGAACCAACCGGGTCTTGGTGGGGTGCTTGGGAAACCATCAACGGTGAAAGTTTTGTTCAAAACAGAGTGGTCTAAAGTCTTCCGTTTTCTGAGGAGTTTTTCTGCAAAGTGCTGTCTGTGGGTTGTAAACAAGGTGAAGGGTCAGGCTATTGGAAAGGGAACTTGGTGCCCCGACTTGTAGAGAAGAGGTGACAGTGGTTTGCTGTGTAGACAGAAGCAATGAATTCTCCAAGGCAGTCTAGAACACAAGTTGATTTGAGAGATATAGGTTTAAGTGACGACTGTGACGGAAGTGACAGCTCATCTTTTGAAAGACCCCCTTCAAACCGTGTCTCTGGAGGCAAGACGAAGACGTCTGGAACCTATGATATGAGTGGTCGAAGCCTTCCCTCTCGAGATCCGTGGTTAAAAGGAAACAACAAAAGAGAGTCGTTGGGTCTCAGGCCAGAAAAGACAAGAACTTTCGGTGGTCTATCAGATAGTGACTCCCTCGAAGACTTTTCGTCCGAAGAAGAACAGGATGCTGAAGGAAGTTCAGGGGAAAGTGAAGAAGAATATATCTTAAGGCCTTCTAGAGCTGTTGTTTCAAGAAAGAGGAAGAGGTCACCTCCTGTCTATTCGAAAGAACCTAGTAAACCCCGGAAAGCTGCTGGAACAAGCCAGAAGAAAGCCAACGGAAAGAATAATGGCGTAAAAAGTGGGAACGAAAGGAAAGCAAGTGGAGGAAAGAGCCAACGTTTTCAGAGCAGCTCTAGTTGGTCTTCTGGAAAGAGAGGTGGCTCAATAAACAACTCGGTTGATGAATTTTTGAGTTCTTCAGAGAGCGAATACTTTGAAGATGAACAAACTTCGTCGTGGTATGAATCAGAAGCTGGTGAGTTATCTGGACCTGTAATGGAGAAGATAGTAGCGATGAAAATTGTTCGAGTTCCATTAAAAGATACCTCAAACTCAGTATCTACCTTCTCGCAGCGAGATAGTGACATGATTAATACATCTCCCAGAAAACATTCATTCCCAAGAGAGGATTTTGGAAACTACAAAGAAGAGACGCAGTACTTAATAAAATGGAAAAATCGCTCGTATATACATTGTGACTGGGTCACAGAAGATTTTATACTGAGTCAGCCTCAGGGTAAAGGACGTTTGCAGAGATTCCGGAAAAATTTTGAAATGAATGCTTGGAAAAGAGGAGATGATGATCTTAGAGATGATGCCGATCCTATTCCAGAGGAATGGTCAAAATGGACTACTGTAGACCGTATCTTAGCAGAACATCTTGCCGATGACGGCGTAAAAGAGTTCCTTGTCAAGTGGTGTGCTCTGCCATATAGTGAGAGTACTTGGGAAACCGAAGATGACATCCGAGACTATTCTAAGATTCAAGAATTCTACCAAAGGAATAAGAAACCCAGTCTCGACTTGCTTCGTGGCTCTACTAAAATTCGAAAACCTTCAAACTTTGACTACACTCAAGTTTCATTTAAAAATGGTGGCTATTTGAGAGAATACCAAATGGAAGGTCTGAAATGGCTAGTTTCATGTTGGTGCAAGTATCAAGGCAGTATTCTTGCAGATGAAATGGGATTGGGAAAAACACTACAGACTGTCGCGTTTCTTCAATACTTGTACATACGAGAACGTATCCGAGGACCATTTTTGATTATTGCGCCTTTAAGCACAGTTGAACATTGGAAGAGGGAGTTCGAGTCATGGACGGACATGAACGTTGTAGTCTATCACGGCAACAGTGAAAGCCGTTCAATTATTCATCAGTATGAATGGGGGTTTTCAGACAATCCCAAGGGTCCACCTTACAAGTTTGTTGCAATTGTTACAACTTATGAGAGTATAATACTAGATCCAGGAAAGCTGCGCAGTATTGAATGGGAAGTCATGGTAGTGGATGAGGCTCATAGACTCAAAAATCGCCAGGCAAAGCTCGTAGAAGAACTGCGTGCCTTTTCGACAAAACACCGAATTTTGCTTACGGGTACTCCAATTCAGAATAGCTCTGCTGAAGTCTGGGCGTTGCTGAATTTCCTAGAACCTTCCAAGTTTTCAGACGAATCTTCGTTTTTAAGTAAATTTGCTGAAATTAGCGACTCTGAAACCGCTGAAAAGTTTCGAGAAATGCTCCGACCTTATATGTTACGGAGGCAAAAAGAGGATGTCGAGAAGTCTATTCCTCCGAAAGAAGAAACTATTATTTCTGTCGAACTGACGAGAACCCAGAAAAAATGGTATAGAGCGACATTAGAGCAGAATTTTAGTTTTTTGGAGAAAGGTGCGAAGTCAAGTAATGTCGGAAATTTACATAATATCTTTATGGAGTTGCGAAAATGTTGTAACCACCCATACCTTATTAAAGGCGTAGAAATCATTGAAACACAACATCTTCGATCCACTGACGACGAATCTCTCATGCAACATCTTATCGAAGCTAGTGGTAAATTGGTCTTGGTGGATAAGCTACTTCCAAAACTTCGAGAGTCAGGACATAAAGTACTTATTTTTTCCCAAATGATACGTGTCTTGGACATTTTGGAAGACTATTTGTCGTGGAGAAGATGGGGTTATGAAAGGATAGATGGACGAGTACGTGGAATTGATAGACAACAAGCAATTGATCGATTCTGCAATCCTGCATCAGACAAATTTGTTTTTCTTCTGTGTACGAGAGCTGGTGGCCAAGGAATTAACTTGACTGCAGCAGACACTGTTATTATTTTTGACTCAGATTGGAATCCTCAGAATGACATACAAGCGCAAGCACGTTGTCATCGTATCGGACAAGAAAAGGATGTCAAGGTTTACAGACTTGTCACCAGAGGCACTTATGAGGAAGATATGTTTGAACGTGCTAGTAAGAAGCTCGGCTTGGATCAGGCTATTTTGCAGGATATGGGATTCGAAGAAGCAAACAAGAAGAAGGAAAAAGACTCTGTGGCAGACATAAAGAAGGAGGAAATTGATCGACTTTTAAAAAAGGGTGCATATGCAGTTTTGAACGATGATGATACCGCAGCGGACGCATTTACTGCAGAAGATATTGATCAGATTCTGCAACGTAGAACGAGACTTCTTAAGGTCGGTGGAGACCAGCCACATGCACCTTCCGCATTTTCTAAGGCATCATTCGCGAGTGAAGCACCAGAAGCTGGTAGGGAGGAGTTAGATTTGAGTGACCCTCAGTTTTGGCAGAAACTCATGCCATCTGCTGCAGAGAAACCAATTCTTGAAGCATTAGATGATGGACAGCCAAGAACGCGTAGGCAAGTTCAAAGATATACAATGGGAGAAGATGCATCGTCAGAGGAACAAGAAGAGGAAAGTAGCGACGATGTCGGATATAGCGCATCAGGTTCTGGTGGAAGAAAACGTTTCAACAAGGGAGATCGTGTTCGAATCCAGCGAGCACTTTTGGCTCATGGTTGGGGACGTTGGGAAGTCATTCGCAAGCACGCGGGTTTACAAGAAAGAAGAACATTAAATGATATCTCCCGATACGTGCGAACCTTTGTGAGATTGTTGACCAAATATGGTGCAGAATATGCTGGTGTCAGCGTAGGCGAAGTGATTAGAAAGTTCACGGCTTCGCAAGAAGCTTTTAAACCCCTTGAATACGTTCCAGAGGAGCCCTTGGGAGCAGAAGAGCGAAACACATTCCTTGAAAGTCATAATCAAAACTTGGACAGTTTTCAGACAAATGAAAACCGGTCCTCCCATTCAGTGCTGGAAGAAGGCAAGGAAGAAGAGCCTTCAAGGAATAGATCAAATAGTGATAATGACATAGTTAAGACAAGCGAAGATTGCAAAGTTGCGGCAAAATCTCCTGAAGAAATTTTAGAAGAAGAATTTAAGAATTTAGAACCAGTTTTAGCTGATCCAGAGTATCAGAGCTACTTGCAGAAGATTGCATGGAGCAACTTGGAACGTATACAGCTTATTGAGGACATCCGGGTTTTAGTGGAAAAAGGTCTTTTAGAAAGTAATCAAACGGTCCCACAACTCGGTACTTCAGGTGTCCATCACGTTGGCTCTTGGTGGACAAGTCAGTTTGATCGAGACCTCATTCGGGGAACTTACAAACATGGTTTCGGTCAATATCGAGCAATCAAGAAAGATCCAGAGCTTATTTTTTCAAGAGTCATACCATTGACAATTGAGGAAGAAGAGTCGATGGACACAGACAATATGGTTTGCGTTCCTCTTCCTCAATTTAACTATGAAAAGGAAACAAGAAATGAGAGCGGTGATACAGCGACCAAGGTCCAAGTCGAGAATGTATCAACGAAAGCGGAGAAGTCTGCTGAAAGCATTAGCGCAAACGAAGATGAAAATTGGAATATTGATGAAGAGATGGAGCTTCCTTACTGGCCTACTGTGCAAGTTCTAAATGCAAGAGTGAAGAAGCTTGTCAGAGCATATTATAGAATGCTTAAACGTTTGGAGCGTCAGAAGCAACAAGAAGAAGAAGTTGAAAGGCAGCGACAACTGAGAATGGATAGAAATTTTGTAAAACCAGGTCACGTTGGAACCGGAGAACGTACTCGGTACCTGAAATGTGTTCCTGTTTGGTCGAAAAAGGAAAAGGCAGATTTTGCAAAGTTGTACTTTAATATAGGTGCGCCTCCATTGAGTACCCCGGAGATTTCCTGTTGGCAACTTGTTCGTAGAAGAGCCGGTCTCACCAGAAAGACTCCTGAAGTAGTGGAACAATATGCGAAAGAGTTTAGTACTATGTGCGGTCAAGTGCTGGTACAGGCAGGTGATGACGAAGGTCGCATCTTAAATTGTTTGGATATACCTGCAACAGAGCTTTCAGGAAAATTTTCACCACAGGAACTCGAAGACGCAAGAATGACTCTTGTGAGTGCTCGAAAGTTTAAAGAGAGGCGAAAGTTAGTATTTGCTATTCGTGATGCGCTTGTGCCCAAGTTGGCAGACCAACCTTTCATAAATGCCATTGTTCAGTGTCTCTCTGAGTCAAGACATGACTTGCAGCCGTGGTGGAACACGGAACTTGACGTTGCTCTTGCAAAGGGGGTTGCGAAACATGCATTTGACCTAAGGATGATAGTTGAAGACCCCAGTTTGATACTGAAGGAGGTACTTTCGGAAGTGTATATTGATGAACAGCAAAAGAAGGCATCTGAAGGGGATAATAGTTTTGCTCTTCCGAGAAGTGTTGAAGAAGTGACAGAAGAACAGAGATTGAGTGTCGTCCCAAAGGAGAGATCTCTAATTACGCGCTTATGGTTCATGGTAGAACTTGCATCCTCTGCACATCCAATGGATCAAGAACACTTGGGTAACCGTCATCGCTCTGGCGCAAGAGCGGTGACTGTCACCGTTGATAAGCGTACAGTGGAGCTTGTTCGATTCTCTCCTGGTGGACCTATTGGAGGAGTCATACCCCACGGATTTTCCAGGGCTCCTTTGGAGAAACTTACAAGAAAGCTTTTAAGAGATCTGAAGAATCGTAAAAAGACCTCAGAGTCAAGTGTATTAGATATTACTATTGGTGAATGGTTAACAGAGAAGGACGAAATTACTGCGACAGTCAAAGTTCAAGACTTACAACCTTTGCATAATCCAGTGGAGCAGCATTCAACTCCAGTAGATACGGGCTTGAAGGTAAACGACGCAAATTCCGTTATTGCTATGGATATTTCAAAGACACCAGTACTGTCCAGTCCAGAAGGTAAAAGTAATTCTCATTACAGCTCTTCAAGATCAGTTAAAGAAGAGAAACCACGACAATCGAAACTTCACACAATACCCAGATCTGAGGATGGTTCGTTTGTAATGCCAATACGAATGGGTGTGTTGACAATCGAGTCGTTGGGTTATATTGAACCGTATCGCAAAGGTTTTCACAACGAAAGAGCAATATATCCGATTGGTTTTCGTTCCAGACGTCATTTTACATCAATGGCAGATGTTGAAAAACAATGTGACTATATATGTGAAATAGTTGATTCAGGAGAGGATTATCCTTTATTTCGAGTAACTTGTGAAGACTTACCAGACCACATCTTTGAAGAAACCTCTGCATCTGGTTGTTGGTGCCGAATTCTAAAAGTTATCAGAGAACGAACTCCAGAAGAGCGTCGACGTTCGCATGTTTCAGTTTCTGGTCCTGAATACTTTGGCTTTGTGAACCCTCTCGTCTTAGAAATGATACAAGAACTACCCAATGCGGATTTGTGTGAAAGATACAAGAAGAGAATATTTCTACCACCAGGTACCATGAAAAAACAACGCACAGGCGTTTCATTATCGAGTGACCATGATTCGCGGGATTTATCCGACTCAAAGGACTCGACATCTCCTGTTTCCTAAGTCTTTTGTATGTTTTGTTGTAGTTGCGTACAAAAGAATTTTGCTATTGGTCTAGGAGAGATGTTGGGAGTTGCTTATGGCTTGGATTTCGACTTTTCTTTGCAACAATGTAAATGACGGCGTTCGGTCATCGATTTTTCTGTGGGGTATTGTTAATATAACCCTTTGTTTGCCTTTAAAACTATGAATAGCAACTAAACTTTTACTTCATCTCCTTCATGTAAAATGAGATTTCTTTCTTTCAATTGTGCATTGATATGTTGTAAAAATTCCTCTACTTGTTGAGGAGCTCTTCCTACAAAATGTTTGGGATGACAAATTTCTTCCAACTGCTCATGAATGCTTGCAAAATGCGGGTTCGCCTTTATTCTCTCTATCAAGTCATTTTCTTCGCCAAATTCTTTAATCTTGGCAGCTGCCTCCATAGACATTTTTCTTATTTCCTCGTGCAGAAGTTGTCTATCTCCACCGGCTCGAACTGCTGACATTAAGATGGTTTCAGTTGCCATAAAAGGAAGCTCTCTTGCAAGGTTTCGTTTGATAACTTGAGGATAGACCACCAGTCCATTGGATACATTGAGACATAACTGCAAAATGGCATCAGTTGAAAGAAACGCTTCCGATATGGCTAATCTTCTGTTTGCACTATCATCCAATGTTCGTTCCAACCACTGAGTACTTGCAGTTTCTGCTGGATTAATCACCAAAGACTGTAGGAATCTTGCCAAAGAGTTTATCCGTTCACATCGCATGGGATTTCGTTTATATGCCATAGCTGATGAACCTATTTGTTTTGTTTCAAAGGGTTCCTCCACTTCCTTCATATGTTGCAAAAGCCGTATATCGTTAGCCATCTTAGCAGCCGACTGACCAATGCCAGCGAGAGTAGAGACTACCCAGTAGTCTTGTTTCCTAGTGTACGTCTGACCGGTAACTTGCCAATGCTCATCAAATCCCATTTTCTTGGTAACCATATCATCTAGAAGCTTCACTTTCTCATGGTCTCCATCGAAAAGTGACAAAAAAGACGCTTGAGTACCAGTCGTGCCTTTTACTCCACGTAATCGAAGTTTTTTGCGAACCGATTCCAGTTGCTCTACATCGAACAGAAAATCTTGTATCCACAAACAAGCTCTTTTCCCTACAGTAGTTGGTTGTGCTGGTTGAAAATGTGTAAATGCCAGTGTTTCCAGATCCTTGTATTTCAATGCAAATGATGACAATCTAGAAATAACTGACCATAACATGGGGATCAAGATATCCAAACCGTTCCGCATTTGGATGACTTCCGAGTTATCTGTCACGAAGCAAGAAGTTGCACCCAAATGGATAATAGGCTTTGCGATAGGCACTTGGTCACCTAAAGCATATACGTGCGACATAACGTCATGTCTCAGTTGTCGTTCATAGGATTGGGCCAATTCGATGTCGACAGGGGGAGCATTTTCAAGTGCAGCCAACTGTTCTTGGGTTATATACTCCAAACCAAGCTGATGCTGAGATTCCGCCAACACAAACCACAATCGACGCCATAAACGAAAGCGACTATGATCTGAAAAATTTTCCCTCATTGCCTTGGAAGCGTAACGAGTACTCAAAGGCGAGACATACTGCGGTTCTGATAAAACTTGTGAAGCAGCAACCGAAGGAGAAGTGTTGGTTCTGGGGTGATTTGTGGCGTTGTCTTCAGTCAACGACATTCGAGTGGGCAACCAATAGTTTCTTTTAACTCTACAAATAAAAGTATTTCTATGTGAGTGATCAAAGATGCGTCCAACGAAGAGTGGTGATGGTGAGTCGACAAATCCAACTCCACGACAATCCATCATTTCCATTTTACAACAACAGTTTCCAACTCTCTTTGACAAATATTTTTATGATAGAAACAAATATTTGTCAACCAAACAAACCGTTTCTATTATAAATCTCCTAGTAAAGACTGTTCCACGGCAAGAATAATGTGATCACGACGCATTGCATTCTTACTATTTACAATACGAGTAAAATTGGTAGGCGAACGAATGGAATATAGAACTCTGCCATGAATGAGGTCAAAGGAAAGAGGTCCGAATTTTCGACTATAAACTAAGTACTCAAGTTGAAAAGGATAACAAGTTATTACCTGTCCGCTGCATCCATTGCCTTATCATTATCACGAACCACCCAACAATGACCTGCAGGAATACAAAAGGGAATGTCTCTAGGATCATCGCTTATCTAAAGTAACGTTTAGTCCCATTCCCTAACAATCCCATATACAGCATACCATCTCCTCGCCAGGCATTGCAATAACTCGTCGAACATAGTTCCTTCTATCGTCTGTTGGGTCTCTACAAACAACAATGTCGTCAAGAAAAACAGTTCTTTCAGAAGGTGAGATAAGCCTTCGAATAACAACCTACAAAACTTGAGCGTAAAGAGAGAAGAAAAGTTCCGTCTAAAGAACTTGCCTTTTCACCAGCTTGTCCAGGTGGTATGCCCTCATTGATAGTTGGAGACATTGCGTCTCCAGAAAATACTTTGGTATAAAGAGCAGGTCTGCGAAGCTCCTCCACAACATTCTGTTGAAACTCTGAGAACGTTAGTTTTCCTGAGAAAAGTCCTCTCAGGTTAGGCTCAACTGCTTCTCTTGTTCTAGCCAGCCAATATAGTACTCTCAACATTACGTCGTTGCAACACCTTGAAGACTAGCAACGAATAGACACAACGCAACGCATGAAATAATCTCTAAACCCCAAAACAATATTCTTCTTAATGGCCATTATTCTGTTTCGTTTGTTTTGGGTGGCGCCAACAATGGACTGAAAAGACTTTTTGAAGCTGTTCGTGATGTACATAACTGTTTGTTTTGGAGACAACAATATTCTTCAGTTGGAACTATCGGTCAACTCTAACATAGAAGAACTTTTCAATGTCTTGAGTCTTGAGGCCTCAACACCCGAGGACAAGTTAGAAGTATGGTTTGAAGGGACCTTATTACAAAAGGAAGACAAGAGAACTATTCAGGAAGTGGGAATGAAGGAAAATGACTTTTTATTTGTAAAAGTAAGGCAAGAGCCAAGTGGCTACCCTGAAGCTGGACCTTTCAACTGGAGCGTTGCCTCCCAATCACAAGGAAGAAGTACTACAGGAGTTAACCCTTCTGGCGCAAGTTCTCAGGTTTCGTGGAAGAATAACAACTTGTATGATACTCAAGTTCAGAAAGCTTTGGAAGAATATATAAGGCAAAAGAATATTGCAGAAAATCTGGAAGCAGCTCTGGAATACAATCCAGAAGCCTTTGGTAGTGTGGTTATGTTGTATATATCAGCCAAAGTGAACAATGTAGAAGTCACTGCTTTTGTAGATTCGGGTGCACAACATACTATTATTTCTAAGCAGTGTGCAGAACGGTGTCGAATTATGCACTTGATCGATTCTCGTTTTGGAGGGATTGCCAAGGGAGTAGGAACAGCTCGCTTTCTTGGAAGGATTCATATTTCTATGTTCAGTATTGGAGAACAGTATTTTCCAGTTTCTTTTCTGGTTATTGAGGATTTGAGTTTTGATATGCTTTTTGGTTTGGATATGTTACGTCGGCATCGAGCTGTCATTGATTTGGAGCAAAACTGTCTGAAGATGGGTGAAGCAGTAGCCTACTTTTTAGCAGAGAAAGATATTCCTGAAGCTTTTCGACTCAATAGGGATATAGGAGTAGAACGAGGAGAGTCTTCACGAGACTTGAGACGACAACCACACGTTGGTTCAAGACGTTTATGGGATGATGCCAACAATACTATAAGCCAACCTTTTTCAGAAGATGCTATTCAACGTTTGATAAGTCTTGGTTTTGGTCGAGACGAAATATTAACAGCACTAGTTGCCTGTGATGGAAATGAAGAACAGGCTGCGAATCTTTTAGCTGCTCATAAATATGGCTTTTGAAGAATGGACTTTGTGGGACAATGAATTTCTCTCAAATCTTAACATCGTTGGAAGGATGAAGTTGTGAGAATAAAGTAATTGTGTGAAACCCAAACATGTTTAACAGAAAACAAAAGAGAACAGAAAAACAAGAGGGTTCTTCGAAGAACTTACATTCCTCTTCAAGTTGTGTAGACGCTAGTAAGACTCAGGCTACTGCCAGTAGGACGATTCGAAACCCGTCCAAGCCACCTAAAGAACCCAACTCTTCTGGAGTAGTTTTATACTCTCAGTCGATGCCTGAAATGGAGGAATTAGTTAAAAGTCGAAAACAAAGTGAGAAGAGAAGAGGGAAAGGTACTTTTTCTGTTTTACGTTCAGAGGATGGACCTTTGGAAACTGGAAAAGAGGCAGAAGAAAGTGATGGTTGCAGCTATAGTGAAGGAGAAGAACTTGATAGGCCTGCTTCAGTTGCTGCCGAAGAGTTGTTTGACCACGATGAGGAACTTATGTTTTTGGAAGAGACAGTTTCTCAACACTGCGCTGTAGCGGATGAGGAGGATGAGGAAACTCCTGTTGAGTCAGAGGAACTTCATGAGGACCATTACCCTCCAGTGGATGATTCTGGAAATAATGCTGGTTTTCAGAATATGAAGAGTGAAAACTCTAAGAGTGAAGCGAGTTCTTCAGTAACTGCAGACATAGAACGGAGTATTCGGGCTGGTAGTATGCCTTTTGTAGGGGTGGAAATGATTGACAGGAATTACTTGTTTTTATTGTTACAGCGATTTCAAGAGGTAATATAAGTTATATTGGAGTGAACTTGTGTCTCATTGCTGTTAGGTTGGTTGGAGAGAAGATCCACAGTTATTGAGAAATATTTTTTCGCCTCTCGATGCCCGTAGAGTTATTAAGGAAGTCACCAATATTGTGTCGAATGAACCGACTATTTTAGAAATATCTGTACCAGAAGGTGGTAATGTACGAGTTATTGGTGATATACACGGCCATTTATATGATCTTGGAAGTATTTTGAAACTCTGTGGAATGCCTAGTGAAAGGAATTTTCTTTTATTTAATGGTGACTATGTAGACAGGGGGAGTTGGGGAGTGGAGGTGGTTCAATGTTTTATTTATTTTGTGAAAGTCACTTAGGTTTTCATAGGTCTTGTTGATTTTATGTATACTGAAGTTATGGAAGCCGAAGCAGGTTGCTCTTTTACGGGGCAATCATGAAAGTTCTTATTGCAACGTCATCTACGGTTTTCGACGAGAATGTTTGCAAAAATACGGAATTAAAATGTATCTTACTTGCCAGAATTTGTTTGCGAATTTGCCAATAGCTGCTGTTGTGAGTAATCGGCCTTGCCCTTCCAACTGCAGTTATGTATCCTATCCCATACCTATGGATAGTGTGACAAGTGATGAAGAAAAGAGTTGGAGTTCTAGTTTTTCTACCTCTTTGAAGGGACTTTTCAGATTACCCAAATCAAGTTCTCCCCCTAGTAAGCTGAAGAACTCAAATTTGAGAAGCCCTATTATTAGCAATACTTTGGAAACCAGTCGTCAACAAAAGTGTCAAATGGGTGGAGAGAAGGATATGGATTACTCTACTGGGTCGCTTCCTGATCTTTCTCCTTCTTCTTCTTTTCATAACAATGAAAATTGTCCTTTCATTCATCGACCTCCACATTATACTTTACCTCTTGAACAAGGAGAAAAGCGAGTATTAGTTTTACATGGAGGTTTATTTCGCAAGGCAAATGGAGATATGGGCGATTTAAAGGTATTATACTCAACTCGTTAGTATTTCTTTATTTATGGAATATTTATTTAGGATTTAATGGAAGTTCGCCGCAACTTGGTTGATCCTCTTGGCACAATAGAAGACGCATTATGGTCGGATCCCGATCATATTTGTGGTTTCGGTCCTAATCGTTGGAGAGGAGCTGGAATTGCCTTTGGTCCAGATGTGACTATGCAGTTTTTGAGAAGTAATCGTCTTCACTTTTTGGTATGTATTATTTTGAGAGTATTTTATAATATTATTCATAATTTTATTTTTGGTATTGTTTAGATTCGTTCACATGAAGGACCAGATGCCAGAGAGAAACGAACTGAATTTCCATTACTAACACAGGGATATTCTGTCGATTTCAAGTGTTTGAAGAAGGTATCGTCTCCATTATCTTCCTCTCCTCCTTCCAAAACGCCATTTACTACAACTATTCCTGAAACAACTCGAGAGTTTTCAAAACAACGCGAAACGACAGGTGAAGAGAGACCCATCGTAATTACTGTGTTTTCGGCACCTTGTTATCCGGAAGGTCCCAATGCTAGGAAAAACAAAGGAGCTATATGCATATTGGATGAGCTATTGGAACCGCAATTTGAGACTTTTAGTGCAATGGAAAGACCTGCACGTTCACAAACGACCAATCTAATGTTTGGAGATTTGGCAAAAGAACTGAATGAGGCCTCTTTAGAACGCTCCAAATTGGGTCGCATGTGGCTCAAGTTGAGTGGTCGAGGCAAATGATTAGAGTTGGTCACTATTTCTGTTTTTATGAATACGAAGTTTAAAGTTTCTTATCTATTTACATATACGTGTTTATATGATATACTATGGTTGCGGTTGTGTTTGAAGATAAATTGAATTCGCTATTTTCCTTGTATTCAATGGCCTTCACTTTGAAGTGCTCTGAATTTGTTTATATATATTTACAAAGTCTTCCCAACTAACGGAATAGCCATTCGAAGAAAACAAAGCAATGGCATCCTTGATCACTTGATCATCTTCCCATTTTCCACTTTCCAGTTCCTTCACTGCATTACACAAGTCTTGTTGATTGATGCCATCTTTTTCAGAAATACATAAACAACGATAAATATCTCTCATCTGTTTCTCGGATGGTTGCTGTTTTGTCTTGGAATCCTGTGGACTTGATCCTACTTTATCTTTGATGGAATCCATTCTTCCTGGTTTATGCAAACGTTGTTGAGAAGCAACATACAATGTGGTTCTTCCTCCCACTTGCAGTATCTTGACTCCCTTTTGTTGACCCAGTTGAGCTTTATCCTTTTTCCAACGAAGATGAAATAACCAATCCTTGGGAAACTCATCACTATTGGCACGTACTCGAACGCCTTGTTGTACGACTTGCTTAGTTGCTTCCCATAAAGACTCAACATCATTCAAAGATAATAAACAAGCCCATTCTAAAGGATGAATTTTGGACTTGTATAGAATCTAAAGCTTGTTATTCCCATCCCACTTTTATATAGATACTCACCTCATCTGCCATCCAATTACCGATACCAGCAATAACACTACCATTCAGTAACACTGTCTTTATAGCACTTTTGTATGATTGTATCTTATCATACAATTCCTGAATAGTGGGGTTGGATAAGATTGGATCGAATCCCAAACAAGTGATATATGATAGTTGCATAGGACTTTGTTCAGTAAATACGACTTTCCCCCATTTTCTAGTTTCCAAAAAGGCCAACTCGGAACCATCTTGGAATACCAACCTTAACTTTGCATACTGACTGGGCCACTCTTGTATCAACGACGAGTAATGTTTTCCAACATGGGCAAACTCTAGACTACCATCCGTTTTCCTATGAGCCAAACTACCTGACATACCAAAGTGGAATATAATATATACAACGGGACTAGACAACTCCAACCAAAGGTATTTTCCATACCGTTGCACTCGAATCACTTTCTTATGAACCACTTGTATTGGAATAGTTTCCATAGATATATGCCCCTTTGGGAACAAACTACTGGCATCTTGTGAAAAGTAAATATTTTCAACAACAGCCGTATCCAAAGATAAATGTTCTTGAATAAACTGTCGGAAATATTCAACTTGTATCAACTCTGGCATCGACAACTTTGGAATTCATGAATGGTAAAGCCATTGTGAAGATTCTCGACCATTCAGAGTCAGCAAACGAAGAGATACTCGACCACTTGAATAACTGCTTATCTTCCGAGCATCAATTACCCGAGAGTATTAGACCTCGTATATGGAATTTTCTTTTGTTGGGAAAAAGTGGAGTACCAGAACTACATATTCCTGTTCGTGAACTGAACACTGCCTTGAACAGTTTATCCAACACGGTGAAGGAACAAATATGGTTAGATGTAAATAGACTGCGACCCAGTTTATGGTTATTTCAACAAAAACAAGTTCGTGTCATGGCTTACTGTATGCTTTGTTTATTTTGTTATCAACGTGAAATATCTTATTTCCAAGGGTTACACGAAATGTTGGCGCCTTTTATTTTTCTGTTTCAACACGAAGTTGTTACGTGGTCAGATGATGTCTCTTTTAGTATTGGAGACAGTAAAGTACCACAAGTGGCTATATTTTCACCTCTATGGAAGTGCTATCAACTCTTTTGTGCATTTCTCGAACGTTTTGCTCCGTTTTTATTAGAGAAATCGGAAGAAATGCTCTTTCGTTTGTTGAAAAGAGCCTTTTGTTACTTTCAGATTTTGCTCGTCTATCATAGTCCACGGTTGTTTTGGACACTGGCAGATGCAGAAGTAACTCCCGATATGTATTGCATCAGTTGGTTTGTGACGTTGTTTGCAAGAAATGTAAACTTGGAAGAATTGTTGGTACTTTATGATTGTTTATTGGTTTCTGGAAATGTGATGAGTATTTTTTATTTTGCTTTGGAGTTGATCAGTCGACATCAAACCATCATTTTACAATCCAACAAAGCCATGTTACCTGAAACTTTGATGAACATTTCAGTGAATGGTAATGATCAAGTATGGGAAACTTGGCTAGGTGGACAAAGGAAACAGTGCATTACACCGCAAGGCTTCCATCGTCGTTTCTATCGAGCACTTTATGAAACAAAAGAGTATTCTAAAGAAGATACATCGTTGGACAAGAATTGTATTCAGTTGCAAGTTGATGACTGGTTAGAGGAATGGAATCGAACGCACCAACTCAAGGATTCTTCGTCTATTTTGCCGTTCTTTTTGTGGGATTGTAGAAGTAAGGAAGAATATGATGCGGGGCATTTGGCAATAGCTGCTAGAATTCCTTGGGAATCCTTTCATATAGCAACAGAAGGAGACAATAAGAAGACAAGGGTGATGGTTCCTACCCAGGAAACGCTGAATCAGGCAGTCGAAATGTTCGAACCTTTGAGAAATATTGTTAGAATATGTTTGATTGGTTCAGGAGATGATATATTGGATCAGATCGATGTTTATCCTATGGCATTGGCGTTGACTCGATCCTATTTTGCCTATGTTTCTATTTTAAGTGGTGGAATTCATTCAATTTTGGAATGGAAACAACAAAGAAATGATAAAGCGTTACCACATCATTTAGATTGGGTTGATTTGGATTCCATGAGTCAAAGGTTGATAGAAGAGAGAAGAAAGGCGAGCATTCAGTCAACCATAGACTCTTCGACTTTGTTGAATAGTCAGCCAATAGTGGATTTGCGTCATTCGTTCAATCGTTTGGTTTCCAAATGGGTAAGAGGAGGAAAGACAGCTTCAACTATGAACTTTCCTCCATCCAATAATGTGGAAGAAAAATCTCCCCAACAACAAAGTATAGAGGAGAGTAAGTTGGGAAGTTTGGCAGATTCACTTTTGATGAGAGAAAATGAACGACTGGTCTCCAAACATTGGTTGGATTCTCCATTACGTTGTGATACTTGTGATGCAACAACATGGAAAGTTTGGTGTCAACGAGTCCCTAAAATAGGTTCCGTCGTAGATCTCGATAGAGAGGAATGGATTGCTTCTTTGCAACTTTTTTATGTACAGACTTGGTCAGAGTCCAGAAACGAATGGACCAACAGAATGATAGGTATTTCAGAATATTATTTTGTTGTATTGGCTAGAGACACTTTACATACGTCTTATGCAAGCATCAAGACATTTAGGCCATTGGAAGATATTCATCAAGTGGAAAACAAAAAAGATAATGTAGTTGTGATATATGTAAAAGCTTGTGTCGAAGCAAGCGATGATATTCCATGGCCTTGGGATAGACAAGATGAAAAGTGGATCATCAAGTTGGATGAAAGACAAGTGAATAAGTTTATCGAATTGTTGAAAAAGTGATAATTATCGATGCCAGTCAGTCAAGTAGCTGTTCCATTGGACGAGTTGGAAGAGTTGATAGAAAAGAGGTTGGAAAAGTTGAAGTATAATGAACAAGAAATACAAGTCATAAAACAAGTAATCTTGTATTCTCAACTAGTAGATGGTACGCAAGGAGTCCTCAAGTTGTTGATGGACGGCGTAGGTTCCATAACTCAACCTAATCCTTCTCAATATGCTCCTCGAGTAGTTTATGACGGAGGCGTCGCTCTGAGAATAGGTTAGTTATGTTCACCAAAAGTAAGATTGATTCGACATATGCCTTGAATAGATGGAGGATCGAGTTTGGGAATGGTTGTATTGGACTTTGCAACCAACAAAGCTATAGAAAGAGCAACTGAATTAGGTTTGGCTATGGTTGGCGTATTTCATTCTTGTTCAAGTACGGGTGCTTTGGGTTATTATGTGGAGAAGATTGCATCCAAAGGTCTGGTTGGAATAGTTTCTAGTGGCAGTACTCCTACTGTAGCAGCCTTTGGTTCGGCTGAAAAGTATGTTTTGTCATTTTGTGCATCCCAAGGTTTATTTATATTCCCAATCAAAGAAACTTTGGTACTAATCCTTTAGCTTATGCTATTCCTGGTTCACAGGAACCTTGTGTTGTTTATGATGCCAGTACTTCGGCAATGTCCTTTTGGGGAGTGAAAATGTATGAAATGGAGAATAGACCGTTACCAGGTAAGCAACCTAAGGTTGATAAGAATATAAAAAATTTATTCTTTGGATAGAAAATGTTGCTTTGGATAGTCATGGAAGAACAACCACGGATGCTTCTTTGGTTCATGTCTTGAAAACCTTTGGAGGAGCCAAAGGTTCTGGAATATCGTTATTATTAGAGTTTCTGAATGGAGCATTGGTAGGCTCAACAAGTGCTCGAGGTGATACGAGTAATTGGGGAAGTTTTATATTGGCTTTTCAACCTGATATATTTCATATGGGAAAAGAACAAGTAGAAAAGAATATCATAGAGTTGGTAGATCGAATTCATGCTTGTCGTCCTTGTGAAGGTTGTTCTCGAGTATCCTTACCTGGAGAACGAAGTAGAGCCAAAAGAAAAACTATTTTAGAACAAAAGTGGATTTCTTTGCCTGCTCATGTGATAGAATCTTTACGTGTTCTAGTAAACGATTAATCAATAATGAATCAATTGTTGAACAGCATCTAAACATTTGTCTAGAGATGGAAGATAATATTGTTCGTTGGCCAAAGGAAAAGGTGTATCATAACCACATATACGGAAAATCGGAGCTTCCAAATACAAAAAGCATTGTTCCTATCGCAACAAACTCATCGTTAACTTGTCATTTACCCCAAAAAAACATAACCACAATATTACCTGAAGTGCAGCAGCCAGTTCAGCACCCAGTCCATTGGTTATGGGAGCCTCATGACTGATCAGTACTCGACCAGTCTTTTTTACGGATTGAGCAATGGTTTCTAAATCATAAGGCAACAGCGTCATCATATCCACAACTTCACAGGAGAGATTCATCTTTTCTTTCGCTCGTTCAGCGACTTGACATAAGACTTGTACTTGTGCTCCCCAACCAATCAAAGTCACATCTTCTCCTGATTGTACGACTTCTGCTTTCCCTAAAGGCAACTAGACTAGTATATGAGTATGTATGTATGCAATCCACTATCATCTACTCACTAGATAGTCTTCCAGTGGTACTTGTGCAAAACTACTTCGATATAATATTTTAGGTTCCAAAAAGATGACTGGATTTCTATCTCGGATGGAAGCCAATAACAATCCTTTTGCTCTCACAGGGTCTCTTGGCATAACCACTTTCAACCCAGGAGTGTGACAAAAGTATGCTTCCGGTGACTGTGAGTGATAAAGTCCACCGTGTCCAACTGCACCACAAGGAGCTCGAACGGTCAATCCACCACAGTCAAACAAGCCACCAGAACGATAACGATATTTTGCAGCTTCATTCACAAGTTGATCGAAAGCAGGAAAAATGTAGTCCGCAAACTGTATCTCTGCAATAGCATGGAAACCTTGTACAGCCAATCCTATTCCAAAACCAACAATCCCTTGTTCCGATAGGGGTGTATTGAATACTCTGTGACCACCAAAACGTTGTTGTAATTCCGTTGTACAACGAAAAACTCCACCAAAAGCTACATCTTCACCAAATACGACAGCTCGATCGTTGGTTTCCAGAGCAGTTGCTAAAGCGTGGTTGATGGCACCAAACAAGTTCATACGAACTCTTTCTGGTGAATTACCCAATTGTTGTTGTATCTTTTGTTCTACTTGTAGTCCGTAGTCATATAGGTTAGCAATGGTACGAGTTGCATGCAAGTAACGACGACTCCAACCACCCATGCGACTCATGATGAGAAGAGACTAGTAAGAGAGACAGACGGATCAACTCAATGATTGATGATGATGTTGGGGTTGAGGACGGTTTGAACGATGCAAACCACGAAAAGTATTTTACAAGCCAATGAAAAGGAACTAGACTTGGGTCATATAGGTGGTTATGGGTCTTCTTGGCACGATAAGTATTCTCACTCATCCTATATATTTGTTGGCAATTTGCCATTTGAACTGACAGAAGGTGATTTGCTCGTCGTGTTTGAACAATATGGTCACATAGCTGATGTTCATTTGGTGAGAGACCAAGATACAGGAAAGTCAAAAGGGTTTGCGTTTATAGGATATGAAGACCAACGGAGTACTATTTTAGCCGTTGATAACTTCAATGGAACGGTTCTTTTAGGACGCACTTTGAGAGTTGACCATGTGGCACACTACAAAAAGAAAGTGGATGATTCAGTCGTCCAAGAAGAGGAGGAGCTGTTTGACCAGAATAGAGAAAACACGGTGGATAGAGAGCGAGTGGAAAGAGAACTACGCCGTTATATAAGACCTGTTTCTGAAGAAAGCGATTCAGGAAAAGTGAAAAGTGCAGATGAGTTGAGACAAGAGAGAGTATTGGCCCAAATAAGAGCAAAGAAAAGAGTTGAAGAAAAATGAATGTACAGATTCCTCAATCAAATGAGAGAAAGCAAGCGATCCTCATTTCGATTGTCATTGGGAATGAAAACGATTCAGGTATAGCGTTGTGAGCTTTGTTGGATTCTCTTTGTGTGACGGAAAAGATATAGGTATTTGCTGTAAGAAGAGACTCTTGTATACGAAAGAAACCAAGAAATAAAAAGAAAGCTTTGGTATCTAATGAGAAACAAGAGGCCAGTTCATTAGCCACAAAGGAAAACGTGATTTCTCCACAAGCGTTGGCAAGCAAGTTAAAGAAAGAAAAAGTATTGGGCACAAAGAAAACCCGACAAGCTTCGTCTAGTCGTTTCAAATCACCCGGTATTAAGAGACAAATAGAAAGTTGTGACGTAGTTGAAGAAGGACTCAAGAAACTGGAAAAGAGTCCTAGGAAGAAGGTTGGTTGGTTTCATTAAAAAAAAGAGAGAGAAAAAGAAAGAAAGAATTGTTTAACATAGTGAAATAGACACAAAGTGATATTGTTATCGATGCTTGTTCCGTTTTGTTGGAAGGCAAAGGAGAAGCTGTACTTTCAACACAAAATATTCAGAAAGAGTTGGGCAGATTTGGTGATATTGAACAAATAGTTTTGTCAGAAGATGAAAAGTATGCTTTGGTTCGGTATTCTATTGATGATGCTGCAGTTAACTGCAGTAGTGTTCTCAACTTACCTGAAGAGGCAAATGCTCGTTTATTTACCGTTCGTATGGCCAAACCAGAAGACCATAGTTTATTGAGCTCTGTTTTGGACAACATTGATGATGTTGTTGTTCATTCTGAGGAAGATAACGACGTTTTAGAAAAGGCCACTTGTTTTTCTCAGAGTCGCACAGATTCTCCCACTTGCAATCGACCACTGATTGTATACGATGAATTTTAAAGTATTTCAAATAACTTGATTATAAATGATGATGGTGTTTCATATCTATCTATCTATATATATATATATACAATGGAAACACACACACACACAAAGAGAGAGAAATGGAATCGAGAAAATCTGAGATGTTGAGTTTTGGTCTTTTGTTGAGTTGGACAAAGAGCATTGGAATATCTCCTCGCACAAGTTTTCAAAGATATAGAATGAGTACTTTACCACCAACTGTAGACTTTTATTGTGTACGATGGTTGGATAAAGAAAATGTTGAACAACTTCGTAATCATACGCGCAAAGCCCATTTGGAGTATATGGAAAGGATACAGTGTGTTTCTCTTGGTGGTCCTTTGTTGGATAAAGATAATGTAGAAAAAGGTAGAATATTACTATTACAAGGAGTGAACCAAGCCAAAGTCGAACAAGTGATACAGCAAGATCCCTTTCATTCTATTTTGTCTTCGGTGAACTTGACAATATTCAAAAGAGTGAGAGACTTCCCTAGTGTATGGCCTCAACCATTATATGTCGTCTACTGTTTGGATGATCCCAATAAGGAACATATTCGATTGGAACAGAGACCTCAACATAGATCGTGGTGGCAAAATGAGACGAGAGTGGTTAGTGTAGGACCTATGGCTTCCTTAAATGATGATTCTTCTTCATTGGTAAGTCTACGTCGTGTTTGAAAGGCTTTTACTTATAGGCTAGATTGGCTCGCTGTTCTTTGTAACCGGTGAAAGTGTGGAGCAAGTACAACATTGGGCAAGTCAAGATCCTTATGCTGAAGCTGGATTATTTCAACAAGTTTCAGTTTATCAATGGAAAAGAGTAGTTGAAAACGGACAAGTAGTTGAATCTTTTTAATATTTCATATACACCATTCCATATAATGTGGATTGGTCGATTGTTGAATGTCTACTCGTTTGGAAATAGAGGAGGATGTTGTAGTAAGCCTAAAGAAAGTTTATCTTTCCAATAAAAGAGATACTAAAAGCAATAAAGGTATCCGAGTTTCCAGTAATATTATGTTCTAGTGAACAAGACTGCTTCTTGTTTCAATTTCCTTTAGAAACCAAGTAAGTAGATAACGACAAAGACTATTTTCCTGAATATCCTTTCCTCTTTTATTAGGCAATCGAAAGAGGTCGTTTCAAGTATAAAGAATGTATATGCAAAACCTATTCAGAAAAAGTTTCAACTACAAGTTGTACCCGACGAAGAAAAACAAAGTGAAAAGGGCCATTTGAACTATTTGCATTTAGAAAGTAGTATCTGTTCTCATAGAGCAAACTATGCTCTTGGTCAGTGGACAGGATCGAGTCTTATTTTGAAACCAATAGATGGTATACTTCAGTTGAGGCCGTTTTCTTTGGTCGACAACAAGGGAGTTGCTCAAGCTGCAGTTTCAAGTTTGCAAGATAGTGTTGCTGGAAGGTGGTTGGAAGATTCTACAACCGAAGAGGAAGCTGAAGTTGTCGGTGTTCAGTTTCGAAGAAGAGAAACTCCTAAAGCGGCTGCTTGGAAACGAAGTTCTTTTCACTATCAGAGAATGTTACGAGATGAAGAGCCCTGGAAGCAGTTACAATATACTACACTTTATGAAGTTGAGGAATGGTGGAATGGGCATTCTGTAGAAGAAACGTGCCCACACTCTACAGAGTTCTCTTTAGATACTTGCTCATCAACTGATAGTATCCCCCTTTGGATCGATTCTTTAGGTAATAGGGAACATATAGAGCAAGTGAGTTTAGATGTTCCTCAACGAGTTTATCAATATTTATATCAACATCGAGTGATGACTCTTTCATCTTTGTTGAAGCATTTTTCTGATGAGCCCTTATCCTCTTTGTTGAAAGCGTTGAATGAATACGCTATTCTAATCAATCATGTTTGGGTATTGAAAAGTGAAAAGATATCTCAATTGAGTCAAGTGGAACAATGCTGTAGAGATATTATTTTGGAGACGTTTGCTTCACAAGACTATGTAAGGACAAGTGTCATTCGTGAAAGGCTTCCTTATTTGGGTCCATTGATCTGGAGAAGTATATTGGAAGAAGTTGGAATTCATCATAAAGGACAAGGATGGAGATTGAAAGTCCAAGGTATGATATATTGCTGTATGTAAATAGAATGTAGAAATGATTATCATTTCTATTTAGGTGAGGATCATTTTGGGAACCTATTTCATTCCTTTGTTATAGAACAACAAAAATATTTGTATCAAAGAGTTGAGAAAGGCAAAGAATATTTACAAAGTTTATATAACAACGGTTCTCATAGAAGGTTGGGAAATGTATCCTCTCTTCCTTCGAGTACAACAACAACAACAACTCAAAGTTTGACTTTTAACCATATGCGAAATGAGCATTTGAGAAGATGGTTATTTATTTTTGTCAAGAAATATGGAACTGTTTCCTACAATATGGTTTATACACAAGCCAAAAAGGATTGCCTTCACTTGTTAGGTTCCCAAGAGGAGGAGAAGGAAGAAGAAGACAAGTTGAAAACTATTCTAAATCAACTATTGAATGAAATGTGTGTGCAGATTCGAGGTTGCTTTATTTTAAAACATTTGAACAATCCTTCTGTGGATAAGTATAGAAGTAAGTTGTTACTATTTGACAAATGAGAGGTATTCACAACCACACACTTTTAGATGCTATTTTGAGACTATTCATGAAATATTCCAAACTCAAAAAGTCTGATATCGTCAAAGCTTTGGAAGACACCTTTTCTTCGAGTATATCGAATTCCATGTATAGTAAGTAGTCGAGTTGTATTCTTATTATCTTTGGAGAATTCAAGTTGTGTACAGATACCATTTTACACGAATTTGCCACTTTTAAAGACCAAAGTTGGCATTTAAAGGAACCTTCTTATTAGGAAAAATGGAAAGCAATAAAGAATAGGTATTCTATACTGTTTTTTTTAAGGATGGAAGAAGAAGGATTGTTCTTCAACAGTTGTGGAAACTGGATAAAAAACTATTTACAACAGCAACAAATACAGTTGGACACTTTTTTGAAATCGGAAGCTATTCTTTCTAGTGAGAAACCTATAGTTGTGGTAACTTCTGGTGGAACTATAGCACCTCTAGAAAAGCGTCTAGTGAGGTACATCGATAACTTTAGTACGGGCAATAGAGGTGCAGGAGCAGCAGAAAGTTTTTTAGAACATCACTGTCACGTTATATTTTTATATCGAGAGGGCTCTTGTTGTCCTTATGGTCGATTCTTTCCTAAACACTGTTTGGAAATACTGCATACATATTCTCTAGATGGAGATCACTTGAGTGGTAAGTGTACATTGCAAACAAAAAAAAGTAATGAAAGTTTTGGAAAGATAATGGCAAGTTGATTGTTCCTTTTCAGAAACTAGCAAAGGTAAGGAGGAGGAACACAAGTCTGACACAACTCATATTTTACTAGGCAACAGAGCAATCACGCATCCTTCTTCTTACCTTTCAAACAGTGACAGAATATTTATATGCTTTGAGACAGATAGCTTTGTCTTTGAATCCTTTTGGAAAGAGAGTCATCATCTTTTTGGCAGCTGCAGTATCGGACTTTTATATTCCTGAGTCCGAGTTACCAGAGCATAAGATATCTAGTACTATCTCACAAAGTCATGAGGAAGATGAGCAAAGCTCACAATCATCCTTCTTGTTGAGACTTTATCATGTTCCAAAATGTTTAGGATGGCTCAAGTCGAAATGGGCACCTCAAGCTTATGTCGTTGCATTTAAAGTAAGAAATGCCTTTTTTGGGAGATGAATCTTAAGAATGTTGTTTAGTTGGAGACGGATGCTAATGTGTTGTTGGAAAAAGCAAAGCACACTATTGATAAATATGGAGTGGATGTCGTTGTAGCAAATGAGTTGACAAGTCGTTATGAACATGTTCAACTGGTAAATCAACAACAACAAGTCATCGATCGATATTCAAATGACAAAACGATAGAACAAGTTATCGTACAAAATATTTTAGATATGCATCAACGAAAGGGTTGATTGGACACTTTCCATTGTCTATCTAATTCCTCAATGGCCTTTGCGATATCCGGTTTGGATCGATGCGTTGCTTTCATTGTCCATTCTAAATCATCTCCTGATTGTACTCTTTTCATTTTATAATGAATACCTCGTTGGTTACCATAAATATAATTTTGGCAACTATCAAAACCTCTGTCGTTAACCCAAAGATGATGAGATGTAAGTATCAAATCGTCTTTCACATGGATGATGTCTTTCGTTTCCGGAGAGTAAACAGAACATCCACCACCTTTCATAAAGCCAATAAAATGGGGTCCTTCACCTATTAGTTCATGAACACTCGCCATATATTTCCAATACACTTCACATCCAACCAAATACTCATACATATCGCTGGACAAATCCAATAGAGAAATATTAAAGTTCATCTCCTTCAAACGTTTAGCTGCTTCTTCATAGAATCGCAAGATTTTCATTTCCAGGACCATTTCATCGGAATTGTAAGGAGAAACACTTGGAAAGGCTTCATAAACACGGAAACGAAAAACAATATCTGGATTGCCATTAAAATAATATTTGGCGAATAACAAAACACGACCATCGGGTTTACAGAATAACGGCTCAACAAAACAATGTATGTGTTCGTGCCCTCCTCCTTCTCTTGGAAAGATTCTTTGGTTTCTCTCTTCAACTACTTGTTCAAAGTTGTCAAAGTCTCCGTGGAACCAGTCGAGCCACTTGGAAAATATTTCTGATGAAGCCTTCTTGGTTTGTTGTGCACTCCGATGAGAACAGCAACGAATCCAAGAATGGGAAACAACAAGACAAGAATATTTACGCAAACGCTGAAAAGTAAGACTTGTTCTCAGAGGAAAAAGATTGAAAGTTGTCAAAAAGCCACTCGTCATCACAACCTCCGCTTTGGCCAAAACAACAATTTATTTCTTCTCCAATTCTGAAGTGGAAAGTAATCCACCATGTCTTCTATCGACTGTTGCGAGTGCCGCATCACGAAAAACATCTCCGGTAGAAAAAGAAGAAGGAGGATTCACTTTCTGATTATGATTGGAAGAAGAATGTGAATCCAATGGAGAGTCTTTGCTTCGATATATAAAAAGACTTCCAAACTCCTGTCGACATGCTTCGATAACATCAGGTCTATCACGAATAATCACTTTTTTGCCTTTCTTAGCCTTCACTTCCAATTTAGTCGTGAGAATGATAAAAATGTGAATATAACTCACCACTTTCCTAGCAACCAATAGTTTTTGACTTTCCTCTATAATAGGCACAGCACATGGTTCCTTAAACGTCACATTCTCGAAAATATATTCTTCTCTATCCTCTTCTAATAACTCTTGGGCCATAATATCTGCATGAAGTTTGTTATAGTCATCAGTAGCAAAGGCTAAAGCAGGATGAATGCCAACTGATTCTGCATATCCTGCAAGTGCTCGATTGTCTCGAGGGAAACAGGGTCCTCCAAAGCCATAACCCTTTTTTTGATGCAAATGAGAAACCATCCATGAACAATCCATACTTACCCATCCTAAACATTTCGTACCAACACGAGTATCACTACCAATTGCAGCTAATATGGCATATTTGTCTGCATTTGGAGTACGGTCTGCTATATCTCCAATCTGGTTGGCAAAGGAGATTTTCATTGTTACAAAGCAATTGAGAGATAATTTGGCAATTTCAGCACTTTCAGGAGACATTCGACAAATTTTAGGTTCATTATACGTAAAATCAGACCAAAGAGTTTCAACAAAATCTCCAGCTTCTTTGGAACCTTCACCAATCAAGACGATATCGGGTCTTTCCAACCCTCGAATAATATCTCCTTGAGCAATAAACTCTGGATTGTATGAAAGGCTCGTGTTTTTACAATCCTTCAAAAGTTCTCTTCCAATAGTTGCGATATATCCTGGCAAAACAGTACAACAAATAACTACATGTTTGTTCTCTATTCGGTAGTTGTTCTATTATGCGCCCATCAGCAAAAATACTTTTCCAATCATACTGCTTACCATATCTGTCAATACTCTTGATACTTGAGTAACATCATAGTGTCTATCACCACCTGTACTTGGAGTAGCTACCAACACCATAATTACGTCAGCAAATTGTAGAGCTTCTTTGACACTAGTAGTAGCGCGAAAATTCTTGCTTGCCTTCAAATACTCAGTAACGAAAGGTTCTGAAGACACCAATGTTTTGTCATTTATTTTCTCAACATATTGTGGAAGTACATCTACACCCAACACTTTGTAGCCCGCTCTTTCAGCAACGAGCGCCAAACATAATCCTAGTCTTCCAACTCCTAAATAATATCCACCACAACTGAGTTTTGAGAACTCATCTCTTCTGCAAGATATTACCTATCAAAGTTATTCTTTTTGGGTCATTAAGAACTTGGTGAGTCTTAGATGACCGTCCTTCTCCATTCCAACTCATTCTTCTCACCAACAATTCCAAGATGAATAGAATCACAATAAGTGAACGACTTTTATTTCAAAACCCCATCAGTTGGTTTTCAACTGAGGCAAGTGTTTCTCTATATATTGTTGAATCCCTTTCTTTCCCAAAGCCCCTTCCGAAGATGCCACTAGTCGACCGTCTTGAAAGATAATCAAAGTGGGTAAACCTCTTACGTCATATTGTTTCACTAGAAAATAATACACAACATATGAGTTGATATCAAGGAATAAAGTTTCAGCTTTTCTATACCATAACGAGGATTCTTGTCTGTGTCTATTTTGACCACTTTCAGTTTCCCACCGTATTCTGAAACCAACCAATCCAATCTATTCAAAGTTACATACATAAAAGATAGATGATATAGACTTACAAAGGAGTCACCAATTTACAAGGACCACACCAATCAGCGTGAAAATCCACCAAGACAGGAATTTGCTACGAGAAACCACGGAGAGTTACATATAAAAACATTTTAAACGAAAGAGAAAAGGAGCAACCTACCGACTGGAGTACCTGTTGTTCAAAATGGGTATCATCCACTTCGACAACAGTCATAACTACAAGACTGTTGGGTCTTTTATAATGTTTTGTAAAGAGTTGTTTTCTCAAAAGGTATGAACCCAATACACTTTTCTTTGACAAGTGTCTTTGAGGTTCACAAGTTGTTTGACTGTATAGCTTTGTATTCAAACACAAGGAACCGGACAAGAAACCCACTAACGCCATCATCGAATGAAATCATCTTTGGATGGAATGAGTCTTTTTGGAGCAAGTGCAATAGTGGGATCCGATTTTCCTGTTATGTCTATATATATATATATATATATATGTGTGTGTATTCCTTTTGTAAATATCTTATCAAAAATTCTCCATAGATTACTTTCTCTCTCTCTCTTTCTTATCGTCAGTTCTATCCAGATGTCTTCACATGATCGGCGAGCCATTCCATTCCATCTTGTAATCCTTCCCCTGTAACCCCACTACAAGGCTGTATAGTCCAAGAATGGGTTTTAATATCGTGCAATGCAAGTGATTCACTAATTTCAGCAGCCTTCAAATACTATAAACCATCGAAAAGGAAGAATCAAAACGAATACTTGCCGAAGCTGCTTGTTTCATATCCTGTTTGTTAGCAAAAACTAATATCACAGCCTTTGAAAGATTCTCAAAACGTAAGACTCTCAATAACTCCTTTCTAGCCAAATCGAATCTTTCTCTATCACAACTATCTATCACAAAAATAACAGCTTGAGTATTGACAAAATAAGTTTGCCAAGCTTCACGAAGGCTATCTTGTCCCCCCAAGTCCCAAACCTAAACAACATATAACATAAATATACAGTAAGCTCTAAAAGAAAACCATCTTACCTGAAAGAGAAGATTTCTGCATTTCACTTGTTCTACATTACTGCCAATAGTGGGAGTCGTCACGACAACATCACCCAAATGAAGACGATACAATATGGTTGTCTTTCCAGCATTATCAAGGCCAATCATACATATCTATTCAGAGGAAAAGAAACAAAACAATAAGAGTGCTTCTATGGGAAATAACAACCCTACCTTAAGTTCTTGGATTCGATAAAGCTTTCGCCAAAGTTTCGCAAACCAAATGCCCATCAGAAACGAAATACAATTGTAACAAGTTGTTGTCATTGGATGTCTTCAAGTCGTGCTTCGACGTGGAACAAGTTGGGAGATGCCGCATATGCCAAGTCTGAAAAAGTGAGTGCTGACTTGGTGGCTCTAACGTAAGTAGAATAAATGGACATACGCAGCTATTTGGGCTCAAGAGTTGTGCCAGTTATGGAAGTTTTGTGCGGGAAATCATAAAGGATTTCGAAGAACCGGATCAAGTCAACAAAGAACTGGAAAAGCTTGGCTATAATATTGGTTTGTTATTTGACACAGTTTAAACCCATCTATTCATCCTCTTGTGTACAAGGCATCCGTTTGATTGAGGACTTCCTCGCAAAGTCTGGAATAAGTAGGAGTCTATCTAGTTCTCTTGGAAGGTTCAAGTGCTAAACAACAACACAGGTAATTGTTCCTCGTTTGAAGAGTCTGCAGAAATAATAAGCAGAGTGGCTTTCAAAATGTTCCTTGGAATCCGTGCCACCGTAAGCAACTGGAACAGCGAGCATAACAGCTGCAGCATTATTTTTGATGAAAATCCGCTAGCTGAATATGTTGAACTCCCTGTAAGTCGTTTGTCTTTATGAAGTTAGTGACCAATGAAATGGATTGTTTTTTCAGCCAGAATATACTCATTCATTATTCTATTCCAATCTACTATGTGGAGTTATTCGTGGCGCATTGGAAATGGTATACATTAAGAAGTAAATGAAGAATGCAATTTTAATAAACTATACAATTAGGTTCAGATTATCGTAGAATGCGAATTTGTAAAGGACCAGTTGAGAGGCGATGATACCAACGAAATTAACATAAGATTCAAGGAAATGCTACAAGAACAAGTGCCTTGGAATGATGAAGAGTAGTTTGAAATATGAAATGATATAAAAATGATTATATAAAGCATATTTGTTGCTTCGGTTTCAATGCTGTTTTATACTATTTGTTGTTTTAGTTCGAACCTTTCAAGTTTAAATGTACGGTGATACGGTCTCTTTTAAAAGGAAAATCATGCTATCAACATTTTGCATCTTTGATATTCATACACCGTTTCCTTATCAATCAATTTCAAATGTTTTCAAATGGGGGGGGGGGGCCGATCTTGGACGAAGAAAAATGACAAAATTAAGGAATTGCCACGTCGTAAGAAAATTTCTATTCACCAGCATTTTTCTTCGAGGTCGTATTCAAAAGAATGCCAGTCATCCAAAATTAAATTTCTTTTAAATCGTTTCTTATTTGTACAAGCTTTTTTTGTGACTACCTTTCAAACTATTCTTCCTCGATGGATCCTAAATGCGAAAATTGTCATAAAGCCGTGTGTAAGTTGATTCTTATTTCAATATTCCTTTACTGAAGTGGTCCTATCGGGAATAGATATGGCCGAAAAAGTGACCGTTGATGAAAACAAGGCATATCATATCGGCTGCTTTCGTTGCTCCACTTGTAAAGTTAAGCTTAGTCTCGGAAATTATACTTTGCTAGATGGAGTCCTTTTTTGCAAGCCACATTTTCATGAAGCATTTCTTTCAGCTGGAGCATACCGAGCACCAGACAATTCCAAAAAAACAAATGAAGAGTCTTCAACGAATGAAAATGAACAAGGTGTTGCTTCTCAGACTAGTCAAGTTCCATCTTCACAAACTGCCGAAAATCCAAAAGCAAACAACGCTTTAGAAGAATCGTCTCCTGTCGCAGTGTTGCAACCAAGTCACAAGAACAACGAAAAAACTCCGATTGATACAGAAATGCATAAAGACGTTCACAAGAAAGAAGAAAAAGAAGAAGAAGATGATGAAAACGTTGATCCAAGACACCGACACAATTTACGTTCGGTACTTCGCTCTTCAGGACAAAAAAAGAACTCAAAAAGAGATGTTGGAATTGCATCCAAAGGCAGAAAGACTGGTTCTCTTCTTCTACAAAACTCTTCAAGTGGTGGACTCATGAAAGGTTCCGGAAGATTCTTGCACTTGTCACATATGGATTCTGCCGACAGCTTGGATACCTATGACCTCGTGGAAGATATTTCCGTGATTTCCTCGATGTTGAAGGAACACCAGAGAGAAATTTCTGCTATTAGAGCAGCTTTGAACAGAATACAAGAAAACTTGGAAACTATATAACTTTGTCAAAAGATTAATAAAATGAAAGGTTGCATTACAATATTTTTATTACAAAACAGAGACAACACTAGAATACAGTGTTTTGGATGAGTTAGCTACATTACATGGATATACATCAGTCATGACTAAAGGACTAGCAGTATTTGATACTCGTGATTTTGGGTTGACAACTGAATTGTTTTCTCGAAGCAGGATTGAAGGTCGACTTGTTTTCTGGTTTGAATTACACTGGGAATTATTGTTAGGAACTGATTGATGACGAGTTTGGTTTGCAACTCTCTGATTCTCATTCTCATTCACTGCAGCCTGTCTACGCCTAAGTGGCGAGGAGTTTTTCAATTTGTCTCGAATTTGAGACTTCCAAGCCAAAATATCAAAGCTACGAGATGCTGGTTCAGGTTTGGTTCCAGAGGAGCGCCGAGACCGTCTGAAAAAGGTTAAAATACTTTGCCAATTCATAACAGGTTGACATGCCACGGTAGTTTCTGAGTTTTGTATCTTATCCTGTTTAGTATTCTTCCCAGATAACGACTCGTTGTTGTTTAATAGATCAGTATTTTCGGGGGGCTTTTCTGAACGAGCAGTGTTCTCTTGAACCATTTGTTTATGACTCAGGTTTCTTATTAGCCTATCTGCTTCGACTCCATGAGGAGCTCCTATGGATTCTAACAAAGCTTCCACTCTTTGAAAAGCTTCTTCACAGGAGATTCTCTTGGACTCATCTTTTATAAGTAGTTGAGCAATGAGTTGTTTAGTTCCAAGAGATATGCGGTCCCAGCAAGGTGTCCTCATATTGGGAGGCAATGTACAAATCTTAGAAAAAACGTTATTATCATCCCAGTCATCAAATGGAAGTTTTTGAGTAATCAAGGCATAGGCAACTACGCCAAGTTCCCAAGAATCAACTTTCTCAGGAATATAATCTTTCTCCTTTACAATTTCAGGAGGCACATAATGTAAGGTTCCTACAGCTTCCGAACAGCGGATGACATCTTCTCCATTGTTCTTAGGGTATGATTGGTTCCAATGACACAAACCAAAGTCAATAATTTTCAGAACTGAGTCATAACTGTTCTTGCTGGGTGTTTCTACAAAGACAAAGTTTTCCAATTTGACATCTCTGTGAGAAATTCCCAAACGATGCAAGAAACATAAGCCACTTAGCATTTGTCTCAGCAGCCATAAAACTTCAGATTCAGTCATTAAATAGCCTTTCATAGACTCCAATCGTGAGAATAAATCTCCTCCCTGTAAATGTTCGGAAATCAGATAGACATTTTGGTTGATTGGGTCACGTATAACTTCTATGGGGCTTAGAACGTGATAGCTTCCCATATCTGAAGGAGTTCCTTTTGCTCTTCTCAAGTTTATGAGTTGATCAAATATTGATATTTCTGTCTCCAAGTATTCACTGTCTGTCACAGTGAGAGAGCTAGTCTTGATCACCTTCACCACGACAGGAAAGTTGTCTTGTAACCGTTTGCCAGAAAGTATTATTGCAGAGGAGCCTCTTGACAGTAAACAGTCAAGTTGGTATTTCTTTGTTAACATACTGGACACTGCGTGACTCCGACAAGCCCACTCTACCCTTTGTTTCCTCCTCAGTTGCTCCTTCTCTTGTACCTTTTCCAAGCAAGGTTGCCTTTGCGTTGGAGCCATAAGAGTTTTGTTTCCACTTGCACCCTTATAAGTTTGCTAGCTCAAACTGTGTTTCACAAACCAAAGAAATTGAATCATTCGTTGTTTCTATTTTTGTCTCCGATCGGATCGCGACGATACATTTGCGGTTGCTCCACGTAAGCAATGTAGCAATTTTTGGCCGAAGCAAATTTTGCCACTTGGAAACTCTCCGCTATCAATAGAACTTTTTATCTAAAGATTAGAAGACTTGTAACATTCCTTTGTATTTATTATCTACATCAAGCCTTAGCTAGTACCAGGAATAATATATTTAGAAGATATTTGGTATTGGGAATGAACAACTATTGAAGAAGCAAGCATTGATAATAAGAGTTCGTGGTTTCTCACAAACCTCAAAGGAATAAACAGGGCTTTACGAAGAACAACACGTACAACGATTCGTATTAAAAATGTATGCTTTTCACTAGGAGGACCAAACTTTTTCCTTTCTCTGTCTTTAAGAATAACTTTTAAGTCTTTCTCATATGCTTGCCAAGGATAAAAGCTCCTCCAAACAGAATCTATTCCAAATAACTCCTTTTTATGCAAACAAGAAAAGTTGGTTACTAAATAGCCTCTTTTACTTATTAGAACAAACAATAAAAGATAAAGCTGCACTCATTAGCCGCTCTTCCATAACGCAAAAGTCTGAGAATAATATCAAACAAATATTCATGTGTCAAAACATCTCCAAAAAGAAGTGGTGGAGTGCTTCATAAACAAAATCATTTGTTTTAGATAATTTTGTCCTCTCTCATCCATTTAAATGAGGGTGCGTATATAGCTTGTGGTCTAAAAGAGCTTGAGTCGAATCTCCTCTTATCCCATTTTGGACTGAGCTCAAAGAGTTGGTATTTTTTTGTTATAGGACATTTGCGTTTTTGAGACAATTGGTTGGATAGTTTTTCTGGCTTCATCCTCTTTCAGTTTTGAAAAGAACCCTTCATATAGTTTGGCGAAGTTTTGATTGACTGTTTGGGAAGATAGTAACCGCATTGTTAGGAAAGGACATATGTCCGGTTTTATTTGTCCGCTTTCCAGGAGTCCTTTAACTTTTCAACATAGCAAAGTTTCTGTCGACTGTAGTAGTTTTTGTAGCCATCCGCTTTTGCTAACAAGTAGAGTGCTGTTTATTGCACAAGAAATTCGTGTGGGTGGAGAACGCTTCCGGAGTCAAAGGTTTTTTTGTCCTAGATACAACTTACAAACAGAAAACAGCTTTGTTTACAGCACCAGTCTGGTTGCAACACGAGACATCGTTTGCAAAGGTTATCCTGCAAAGTCGCGAACAGCTTTGGCAGTGGCTACCTTAAGTAAAGGGGACACTTTGGCAATAGTCGGTACTAAAAGTGAGACTCTTCGTAACCGTCCAAAACTTCCAAATTCAAATAATTCTGGATCTACAAGGAAGAAACAAAGAGTAACTTCCGAGTTGCAAAACCGAGACTATACTGATGCCGAGTTGTTAGAAAATGCTCTTTCCTTGGAGAGCTGTGGAGACGTTCTTCAATATTGCTCTGATAAAAGCTTTGCGAATGACTTTTCGAGTTCAGGACCTTCAGAAAGATATTCTTTGATTCGCTCTTCCCGAAAAGGTCGAAAGCTCAACAACCTTGAAGATATTCCTTTAGAAGATATTCGACATCTCGAAAAGCAAGAAAGAGAAATTCTTTCCATGGCTATTACCAAGGAAGATGCTATGCTTATTGAAAGTATCGTGAATAGACCAACTACTGTTTCCACAAAACAGTTCAAAAAGGGTTCTTCTATGGGTGCATTTTTAAAAGAAATTGGCAGCGTTCCTCTTCTGAATGAGAATCAAGTTATATCATTAGCTAGAGAGATTCGAAAACTTGCGCTGTGGAATGCAACTCGAATACAGTTGCGACAGCAGTATGGTAGAGAACCGGATAGAGTTGAATGGGCCAAGTCGTTGAATATGTCATCAGAAGAACTCACTAGAAATCTTTTGAGAGCACAAAGAGCCAGAGAGTCTTTGGTTGCAGCCAATCTTCGGTTAGTAGTTTCCGTCGCAAAACAATTTACGAACAGAGGACTTTCTATGCAAGATCTTATCCAAGAAGGCTCCATTGGTCTTATAAAAGGTGCAGAACGTTTTGATTATCGTAGAGGTTTTCGCTTTTCTACTTATGCAATGTGGTGGATTCGTCAAGCGATGCAGAGAGCCATTGCCGATACTTCCCGTCCCATTCGTATTCCATCGACAATTTCGGACCTTTCTGTTCAGATTTACAGAGCCCGATTGGAGTTGTCTAGTTCTTTGGGAAGAGACCCAACCGATGCTGAACTTGCAGACTGTTTAGATATATCTGTGCAGCGTCTACAGGATGTGAAACTTTATACCAACCAGTCTGCCACAGTTTCTTTAGACGCTCCCCTTGGTCATCAAACCACGAATAGGTCTATAAAAGCAAAAGGGACAGGAGACACTGATCAATTTGCTTCCAAAGGAGAAGGCAAAATCTCCAAGGGCGTTTATGGGTCACGTCCCAAGCTTGGAGACTTTACCCTCGGAGATACCGTACAAACAGATGACTCTGTGTCACCTGAACATATGATGGCTGATTCATTAATGAGAGATGATATTGAATGTGCTCTTTCTCTTTTGAATCCATATGAAAGAGAAGTCATTCGCATGAGATTCGGTTTAGACGATGGTCGAATGAAAAGCATAGATGAAGTTTGTGCATACTACTGTGTACAAACTAGTCGTATTCGTCGAATAGAAGCTCGTGCCTTGAGAAAGCTACGTCATCCATCTGTATGGCATATGCTGCGTGACTATATAAGCAGTTAAACTTATTAAATGTTCAACATGTCAAGTAAAAAGCATGAATTCGTACAAATTAATCCAAGTTTTTGTTTAATATATATTATATATATATATATTTATATTTATATTGCATAGGCATTATATGTTTTTCTCCTCACTTGAGTTGGCCGGAGTTTCCGTCAACTCGTATTCTCCATGATCAGAGCTAGAAGTATCTCCTGCATTCGAATTCCCTTTCGAACCAAACTTTGAGCGATATAAATCAGTCGCCTTAGCTGATAAACTCTTCACTCCACTCAAAAAGCCTTGGACTCCTTCGTTCTCCATTGCCTTTTGCTTTAATCTAGAGGCATGTTCGCTTACTTGAAAGCGACTATCAATGTCTCTTGCTACTTCACGTCCAGCTGTAGCCACTTTCTTTGCATATTCTGAAATGTGCAAACGCTCATTAAGTTCTAAAGCTGCACCTTTTCCTTTATCTGCTGCGTCCGCAAACTAATATAAAACGTAAAAATAAAATGGCCACTCTAAGCAAAAACTTACTTTTTCACGTATATGATACTTTGCATCCAATTCTTCAAAACGCTCCGAAGTCTTGGTTCTGGCAACACTTGCTTGTTCTTTTGCAGCAGCGCTCAATTCTTTCGCTGTTTCAAGTATTTTATGTCTTTCGTTGAGGTCTTTTACGTCATCCGCAAGTGCTCTTAAAGACTCTGAAAATGCCTCTGCCATGGAGGAACGTGAGCGTGGTACCTGTTCCTGGGTTGTCTCTTCCAAGTTGGCTTGCGACTGTGTAGTAGCACCTACTGCATTCCAGTCCTCTGGTGCTTTTGTAACTGTAATATGCCTTTCGTTAAGCACAGCATTATTCAATAAAAGAGCAACTTGTTGGGCAGATCTAGATTCAAAGACTACCACAGCCTCCTTTGAAGGGGGCAATTGTTGTCCTTGTTCTTCTTCACTTGGGTGTTGCGACTCACGAACTTTAATGTTTGTAATCTTTCCACAAAACGAGAAGAAATCTTCTAAACCATCTTCCTTGGTTTCTGGACTAAGGTTTTTTACTAGAACAGCTCTGTGTGCAGAACCTTTTGGCGGGAATGGCTCTTCTGTCATTTTCAGTGACCCAAACAACAAAAGAATTTCAAAAGATTCCCAATTCTTAGCTGCGCATCCATTTCCTTTTGGTTAGCTACAGCAAATATAGTTACATTTTTAAAAAATCTAAGACAACAGCATCTGTTTCTACATGATTCAGTATATGATAACGCATAACATACGAAGCAGAATCAACTCTATCGCATACAATAGGCTTCTGTGACGACTCTAATGCAATTTATTTAAAGTATAATAACAGTTGTTCGGGTTCTTCAATGCAGGATTTCCACAGTTTAGAAAACCTTGCAATAGTTGCACCGTCTATGATTCTATGGTCAGCTGACCACGAAACAGTAATAACATGAGCAGTTTTGACATGTCCATTCGAATCCACTACAGGTATCATTCTTGTTCTTCCAAATGCTCCAATGGCAACTTGCGGAACGAATACTACGGGAGCTGTATATGTCCCACTAATAACTCCTACGTTGGAAATACTAAAAGTACCATCCTTTAGTTGCTCTTCACCAAGACGTCCAGCTTCTGCCAAGTCCATTAATACTTGCAAGTCCTTTGCTACTTCTAGAATGGACTTTTGATCTACATACTTTAAAGTATTTCGTTCAATATTTCACACAAGTCAAGAATTCCACTATAGTTGACGACTTACTTTGATATTCGGGACCGTAAGACCCACAGGAGTATCCATTGCAATGGAAATATTGTGATGACGATGATAAATAATATTTTCACAATTTGCGTCCACACTTGAATTTAAGATAGGAAAACGACTCAAACAATATGAAGTTGCTTTGATGAAGAATGGCATATACGTAAGACGAACACCCAATTTCTCTGCAGTTGATTTTAATCCACTACAAACAATAAGCGAATTATCCTGACTGTTTAAATGTTGTTCTCACCTTCGAATATCTATGAGTCGATCCATGACAACTTCTTCACCCAGAGTCAGTTGAGGCACTGATAGCGAGGCAGTCATTGTTTTGGTCATTGCTCTTCGAAGACCTCGAATGGGTTCTATTCGTCGTTGTTCTTCCTGAGAAGAAACACCAGAGCTAGATTCTTCTTTTAACGGTACTTGTTGCTTTTCAATGTAAGCTAAAATATCTTCTTTCAAGACACGACCATTACTGCCACTATTCTTTGAATAAGAAATGAGAAAACTCTTGGCAAAGGAGAACTAACCTTCCTGGAACTTTGGAAAGATCAATCTTGTGTTCTCTTGCTATTCTTCTAACAGCTGGTGTGGCTAGAACTTTCTCAAAATCTCTCATTACTTCCGCATTTTCCTTGTCTTTCTCTATATTTGCTAGTGGACTCATTTCGATAGTCTCCGGGACATGCCTCATAGTTTCTGCAGCAATACTTTCAATGAAGCACTATTGCAATTAAGACTCATCGATCTCCAGGTAGACTGAAGGAACCTACCAATGGTTTTCCAACCTTTGCAATATCTCCTTCTTTGTACTGAACATCTCTCACTACTCCATCGTATCTACTAGTTATTTCTACCGTTGCCTGAGAAACGCCATCTTGACTTGTCAGCGATAGACAACGTTAAAAAAACCTACCTTGTCACTTTGTACCTCACAAATTTTGTCGAATTGCTTTACTTGTTGTCCATCTTTTACAAACCAACGAAGTATTTCAACTTCTGTTATACCTATGGGTTCCGAGTAGGTCCATAGTTATCTTCACAGTACTTTTAACAGCTATCCTACCTTCTCCAATATCAGCTAGCGGGAAAGGAATTTTTTGCATATTTTCCACTTTAGAAGCCTGACTAGATAAAGGCTGTAGCGTTTGCTTTCCAAGAGGAACCAACATAAAGCCTTGTGTTCTGTTGGTTCGATTGAAAGCAATCGACAGGGAGTTCAACGCATCGTGCTTGCGTAACGTGAAACCATATGCTGCAAGTCTGATGTTTTTCAAGTGAGTATAAAAGTTTCGAATAATTATCGTGTTTTTGGATATGACAGACATAACACGGTCGGCGTTTCCTTGGATGACCTTTCCCCAATAGACAGTCTACTAGTCCACAGATGAATGTAACGACTTGGCATATTGTCAATAGCTTTATACCTAAATAAGAAAAAAAACAATACTCATCAGAAGACCGAAATGTATGAAAATTTTACAGGTCTTGAGCCATATAAACCTTTTCCATCTTTTAGTCCTATTCACTTGATAAACAGTGGATTGTATGCTTATATGATTTTTTCCAAATAAGATATACATTCCCACATAATAGACATAAATAAAAAAAATTCAATATTAACTCTATTCAAATATTAACTCTTATGTAACACTGACAGCTCCATTCCGTATCATCATCTATCGCATTTCTCTTTTGGGAAAGAATTGTTTGATTCACCAAACCAACAGATGAACGACTCACAAGTTCGACAGCAAGTTCAGCAGATGGTGTCTTTTATTAGACAAGAAGCTGAAGAAAAGGCAAACGAAATACGTGTCAAGGCAGAAGAAGAATTCAACGCCCGAAAACTGAGTGCAGTGGAAGCTGCAAAAACACAAATCCGTTCCGAATACGAGAAGAAGTTCAAGCAAATCGAATCTAAACTAAAAGTGTAAGCCTAGTGTGTTGTTTACGGAATATTCTAGTGTCTCAGTATTTTTGTTTTCTACGACTAGTGCCTATTCTACTCAGTTGAACGCCTCCAGACTAGAAATATTGAAACAGAGGGAAGACATCTTGAGGGAAATATATGAAGGTGTTGAGAGAGAACTCTCAAAGGCTAGGGGGGACAAAGAAAGTTATAAAAAACTACTTGAAAAACTTCTCAAGCAGTCTTTTCTTACCCTGGACGACGCAGATGTATCCATAACCAGTAACGAAGAAGACTTGAGTTTGGTGGAGAGTGCAACCAAAAAAGCTCTTGAAGGTGGTTTAAAGACAAGTGGCGGTCAACAAGTGAAAGCAGAGATAGATAGAGAAAGCTTTCTTCCTAAAACCAGCATAGGGGGAGTCATCGTTTCCAGTCACGGAGGGAAGATAGTTTGTAATAATACTCTCGAAGCAAGATTAGAAACAGCTTATCAACAGAATCTTCCACAGCTCCGTGACTTGCTCTTCGGTGACAGCGAATTGTGGAAATAATCTATATTTTAGCGTTTTCCCAAGTTTATCTTCCAAATACAGACTTTTCCGTCTTCTCCAACACTTGTGATAGTTTGACTGGCAGTGTTCCATACAAAGTCGCGTACCACATCCTGATGTCCTTTGTTTAGGGATACAAAAGGTACTAAAGTATTTGCTTCTTCATATTGAGTAAGTAGTAACAAGTCACCATTATCCAGTCCTCCGCCAATAAACAACTTTCCTTCAAGAGCGTCATAAAAGCAAGATACAAAGTAATCGATGTTGCCTAATCCTTCTACTTTGTTTCCAGCGTGTAAAAGACTTTCTCGTTGATTCTTTGATGTGGGTATCCAAAGTATCCAAGTCAAAACAATATACCTCTTGTGTACGTGTAATACTCCATAAATTCGGATTCATGGACTCATACAAACCAAATCGATAAATTGCCGAACCAATATTAATAACATAGTCTAAAGCCTATTCTAACCTATTATTATCATTATTCCCAATTCTTAAAACAAAGATACCTCGTCTTCATCGGGAAGATTCTGGGTATACAAGGAACATATATATCCATCTTCACCACAGGAAAAAAGTTTTTCATCTTCCGTAAATAAAAGCTGTGTAACTGCCTCAGCATGACTTTCTTCTAGGTTCAAAGGCTCTCCAAGGTTTCTCAAATCCCACCAAAACAAGCCACCACTTTCTTGGAAACCACAAGCCACAGAGTTCTCCTTCCACGCCACACAATTAGCAGGAGGAGGTACTTTCAAAGTTTGAATGGGAGAGGACTGAACGACACGAGAGTCCCAAAGATAAACCGTGCCGTCAAAAGAACAGCTGATCACAAAGTTACTTGAATCCGTAGAGTTTTGACAAAACGCCACGTCGGACAAGGCGTCTTCATGCTTGCCTATTTGTAAAAAACGCAATTGAACTACGTTTAAGCACCATAGTATTCCGGAATACGCACAGAATATATAGGAACCGCCCTACACAAGAAAATGAGTCCTTGCTGGTCAACTCGCGTCAATTTTGACTGACATTTGAACTGTTTGATATTTTGGAAAAACTTTCAGGCGCAGAGCTGTGTCTATTAGGTGAAGAACAAAAACTCAACTGTGCTTCTGTATTTTGTACAAAACGAGAACGTTTCATAACCACGTTTATATCATTACGATAAGCTCAACATTTCTTCCAATCTTTGAATTCCCCACTGAACGGAGTCCTTATCGACACCTCTCATTTGACACCAAGTCTGCCTTATGTCTTCAGGTAAGTTGGATTGCTGTACTGGAAAATTGTCACAGTCGCCGAATTTTGCTTGTAATCTGCTGGCTTCAAGTAAATGTTCAAGATGAGAGTCTCCTTCATTCACTAAATTGTCCATCTTGACCTGTCTACCTTTGGTAACTTGTTGTTTCTGATCCTGTTGCGAGACTAGAGGTGAGTCAAGAGCTTTTGATTCAGTAATTGGAAGTGAATTCGACTGAAGGTCTTTTTGGACAACATCTACTTTGTGATCTTCTTCTTGTAATTGTTTTTTCGACTCTTCTTTGTCCGTATTGGTCTTATAGAGTTGATTCCAGTATTCTGCCTTTTCAACTTCGAGTGATATTTTATCTTCAGAAGTGCTTGTTTGTTCATTTGAAGTAGTTTGATGTTTCTCAGTGGATTTTGTTTGACTAGTCTCATCACTACTTTGTTGTTCCTTCAAGTATAGCTCTGTACTAGAAGACACTTCCGATGTGCTGCTGTCTTCAAGCAAGGCTTGAATATTGTTTCTTGGAAGATCATTATTATCCTTTGGGTTTTGCACTATTGCATCATTGGCTTGTTTTTGCTTCCAATCTTGTAGACCCCTGGCTCCTTTTTGTAAAAAGTCTATCAAGACTTGGGATTCTGCACTATATTTCTCCAATAAAGTAGGAAATTCACTCAATAAATCTCTATTTTTGAGCTGAAGGTTATTTCCTAACTTGGATACGACGGAAAAGAGAACCAAGGTGCCTATTAAAGCAAAGATAAAAAATCTCGAAATGCTTTAGCTTGTTTAGTTTCACAGTAAGTTTAAAAAAATTAACACGCCAGTACCGTTTTTGATATAAACTCGTACGAAATTTTCTCATTACTTGTAAAGATTCACAGAAAATCTATGCACAATCAATTTCTTTTCCTGAATCAAAAAGTGAAACGGTCGGTTTGGCGGCAAATCTACATTACGTCTTAGTGCCATTGTTGAGCATATCAAATTGCTAAAATGCGAATAAATTATCCTATTCAATGAGACTCTTCGAGTTGGTGTCTGATTTCTTGCATACACACACATACATATATATATATATATATATAAACAGTCTTCTGTTGTCTAGTTGAAAAATACTGGCTAGGGTGACCGATATTTTTCAAATTTCCATTATCGTTTCAGCCCTATGTCAAAGAGTTGCCAACATGTTGCAAAGTTGTACACGTGTTGAATCTTTACCAAGAAGAGTATAACTACAGTTAAAAGATTGCCCGAGTTATTCAAGTACAGAAAAACTATAGTCCCAGTCATATTCTGTACCTTCGAAAAGCAGAGAATAAAGTTCTTCAAAAAGGAACCAGGAATATTTCTATTAGAGACGCTTTCAAGGTTTTGAATAGGCTCTAGGATAGGTTTAGAGCGCATCCTTCACTTCATAGCTTGAAGCAGAAAACTCACGAATATATATTCCATTCCTTCCTTTCGGGTTGATTCTGCGGTCATTTGCTCATTGTTTAGACGCCAAGGTTTACACTTGATAGCATAAAAAGAACTTGAATTCATTTTTAGTTTTCAAAAACCTCGCATTCGTACAATAGTAGTCTAAACCAATATGATTATTCGTACCCGGAAAACTAGTGGACTCAAATGCATCATATTGATTATCATCGATTCCTCGGGTTGCGGAGATTTCGTGATACCTGCAGAATTTGTTAGTTCTATGTCGTTTGCTATCAACGTGGTCGGGTCATTTGGAATAGCTGTTCCTTTTGGTGTAGTTGCTTCCGTTGCAAAAGCGTGGTCCGACTTGGACTACTTATGTCATAGCAACGATAAAAACTACTTATGGAGTTTCCCACTAGTCTTCAAAAGCTCTACATCGGACAAGGGGAATCTTTTGGCTCGTCAAGGGCAAGGGTCGATAGAGGCTCCTGGTGTAGCTGAAAGAATTGCTAGGCAAAGGGCTGGAGGTGTTCGCAGTGTCGAAGATGAAGTCGTACCAAAGGTGAGAGACTGTTCTTTCCTGAAGCCTTTTTTTGATCGTCTGGACTAGGAGCCGAAATTTTTAGCCAAGGTTCGCAATCGGGAGAGAGGTGGTAGGGATGCGTTTCGACCATCGAAGAAAACGAACCCTTTTTCTCTTGGCGTCACTCTGGGTAAGCGAAAACTGCGCATAAGTGAAGGTCCTGTCTCACTCATTTTTATAGGGGATATATTGCTTAAAGTACCAAATAGAGGTGCAGGTCCACAGTCATGGGCGAGACCTGAGCCTAAGCGACCAGCTGGGTTTGACAATAAATCGTTTCCAATGTGATTAATAAATGACTATGTTTTTATGCGTCAAAGTTTCCTTAGTGCAAGGCAGTGAAGTGTCTTCATTCACATATCTGCAACTTGTTCAAAGACCTCTTTCACCAGCAACTCATAGTCGATCATCACTTCAGCTTCGGTATGGATGCTAAAGCTGCAATACAGGATAGTTCTAATGATGAATAAACTATTGACTAGACTTCAAAGAGATTCTTTATCACCATTACAATTTCAATATTACTGAAAAGTAAGTTTGTATAACAATAAGAGAAACATAAGCTCCTTTGGATATGATGACACACGTTATGGAATGGATGTATATTTCGTTATTCAATATTATTTCAGAGCAAATCTTTTTCTCACCAAGGTCTTTTAAAAGTTTGAGATAACTCTATCGTTAGTGTATGTTTTTAATTAGTTTTGGTTACAGTTAACGTGAATTGTTTAACAATTACCAAGCAAAAGATAGTTTATACTCGATTAGCTGTCCTTTCCACTGTTTAAAAAGAGTATACAATTTCGTATTCATTCTCCTAACAATTGACAATATTACCAACTATTTTCTCATCTAGAAGAAACATCTCTTTTGAACAAATTGTCATTGTACCAATAACTGTCTAAACTTTCAAGAAACCCTCTCAACAAAGAAACTTGGTGATTCACAAATACTACTAGTTGATAAGGAAGGAAATAATAAGGAATTAAAGAGTGACTTAAAATCTCAATTTCAGAAGAAAGGATGAATAGGGAAGGAAGTAAAAGAGAATAAAGTTGAATGTTCAAGAAGCTTCTTAGGTGTTAGGTTTCCACTACAGGTTGCGGCCATTCGACCTTCGTCGATATTATAGTGAGAAAATAGGAAATCTCCAAAAAGTGATAAAAGTTATGTTTTGCCAATTCATCCCAATGTATGGCAAACTGAACGCTCACATTTGAGTAAAAATTGAAACAAGTTAAAGATTATCGCAAAATGTTTTCTATTCTGTTAATATGAAAACAAAGCGGTTTCCGGTTGATTCAACCAAGTTTCATCTGCTTCCATCTTCGAGGTTTGCAACGAAAGTGTTGTGGTGCAAATCTGCAATGTCTTGCCAACAAACTTGTGGTTCTATCAAACCTAACATAGTTGAAGACTCAGCAACGTAAATGCTATGTTTTCATCACTGGAAACCTGGGTGCTCAATCATATTGGGTCTCTGACGGATAAAGATTTGTTTGAGAAACTTTAATAGTTTCCTCTTCAAGAGACAATCCTAGAATTTCAGTCTTGTTTTGTATCTTTCCTGGAAAAACTTGTTTGTAGCATAATTTTTTCATTGCTCAAGTCGGAGTCATCATCTACGTCTCAAGCTTCAATAGCAATTTGTTTGGGTAATAAACTTATCCGATACTCTTTTGAGAAAGACCGGTGAAGCCATTCATTCTGATATTATGTTGAAAAATCGAAACAATTTAGAAGCTCTTCAATGTCAACAAATATTCAATCCATACGTAGAAGAGAAGAAAGAATGTGAGATTCTAAAACAATTGGAGCAAAGACAAAGCTCTTTCTGGTGTCATATAGAGTTTTCTGTTTCTCCAATACGGACTTTTTCATGACTTGAGAGCCTTTCCCAACAAAGTTTTCTACAATTGCTTCAAAATAGCCAATCTATTGTCATAGACACCAAAAATGACTCAACTTATTGAATACAATTGTCGTATGTTTAGTATTGATAATATTCAGAATGTATTATGCAATTACATAGCCATGTAAAATGGCTAGATAAGAATGAACTACTGTGAACCAGCCCTGTCAGCCAGCTAATAAACTCTTTTCAAGGAAGACTGTAAGGTCTCCAAAGAGGCAAAAAGTAAGATGTAACCAAGTTTCAAACATACAAAAAAAAGTTTATTTGCTCTTCAAAACAAAGGGAAGGATTGAGTTAGAATCTATTGCCAACTTAAGAAACTGTTNCGGATTCTNTCNAGTAAATCTAATCCAAAATCCCAAAAAGTAGGATTNTGAGAAACACCAAATGCTCTTTCNAGTCCATTCAATATTTCGTCGTCNATCAGCATTTCCATATCTCTTTCNCAAAGAATAACAAGTTCNGAATTNTCNGGTACTTTGAACGAATCNTTTCTNATAAACATTCCACTGGAGTAACAACGACTCTGATTNCCCAACTCNTTNGAAACATTCAATGATAACTTTGTACTNACAATAATAAGCATACAATGATGATAATCCATTGCACTGGATAAGACTTGATCNTAAACAGGATCTAAAAATTTCTTGGCTTCNTCTATAATATCTGACCAGCCAATTCCTTCCGACTTCCAACGTCCTTTNCAAGCAACTCCAACAGTAAGAACTTTGGGTTCCACAGGAGATTATAATTGGAATATAATATCAGGACTATGAGAAGTAGCGTCCAAAGGAATGTAAATAGTCTCTAAATAAAGTGTTTCTCGAATAATCTTNTTCCATTCNGTACTGGCAAAAGTTCTTCGACTCTTGTTCGATTCNCTTCTTGTTTCTCTNGAACTNACAACAGACTTCATATAGTGAATAGGTGATATTGTACTGATTGGAAGTTTCATTTGTTTCCATATCAGAGACAATTGACCCAACAATTCCCTCAACTCNTTTCGATTCTTTGAAGACAACATCAAAACTAGTCGTAAAGCAACAATTCCTTCNAATACACGACACTTTGAATAGAAGAAACAATCTACTGGTTCTACATCNAGTGATCCAAGAAGTATCTTTTCCAAAGAAGATATGGAAGGGTCGTTCTTGAAGATTACAACAAATACTTTCGGAATAAGAATTTGGAAAGTATTCTGGTCNATAGGATATCGATATAATCCCATCTCNGTGACTGCATCNAATAGATAAGACTCCGATGTCAATATGTCNTCTACTTGAAACGGTATACGATAAAGTGCCATCATCAAAAGTATATCNAAAACACTTTTTCTNTCCTCGTCCAAATTCAATATTCGTTCCAAAAATGGTTCNGCACAAATTCTTCGGAAATCGTAGTCNTTCATACACGTCAAACATTCTTCTTTCGATATGAAAGGCTGGTTTCTCATTTCCACATAATTCAAAAGCATATTCACTGCACGAGTCAACAAACCAGGAACTCCACCTGTACATTCCAATAACGAATCTGCCAATTCNTTTACTGAAAATGAAGAACTNCATAAGACATTNCAAACTGGAACTTGAGTAGGTGTCTTTAGAAGACTCTTTTCNAGGAATTCNACGATACTGGAAGCGTCCAAAGGTGATAAAGGGATAAAATGTAATATAACTCTTGATAGCCCAAAAGCCACATCNTTCTTNATACTTAAACCCTTGCTTTTCCCAACAACTATAAAAAACAAGTCGGGTTCTTTGCACAATTGACTNATGATACCGAAAAAGTCNTTGTAAGGTCGAACCACACCTTTGTCNTTCTTCTCCAGTTCNAAAAGAATTCCATTCGTATCCAAAACACCAACTTCNTCNAATGCCAACAAAAGATATTGATCGGAAGGAATCCTTAGTATATCTAGTAAGAGTGGAACTAGGTGGAGGGTTCCATGTCCACCATTCGAACG